TTCGGTACTGGTTCCGACGACACTTCCTGCCGTCTGTTCGATATCCGTGCCGACCGCGAGCTTAACACCTACCAGGTAATTATCTTTTACCCGAGACACTGATTTCATTGATGAAAACTGACGTTTGAATTTCTTTCCAGAGCGACCAAGTTCTGTGCGGTATCACTTCCGTTGCGTTCTCAGTCTCTGGCCGATTATTGTTCGCAGGCTACGATGATTTCGAGTGCAAGGTACGCCGAGCCTTCTTTTTTCCCTCCCCTGACAATACGAATAAATGCTAATCTATCATTCAGGTATGGGATGTTCTGCGTGGCGACAAGGTGGGTTCGCTGAGCGGCCACGAGAACCGCGTGAGCTGCCTCGGTGTCAGCAATGATGGCATCAGTCTGTGCACTGGATCTTGGGATTCCCTTGTAAGTTTTACTGCAATTGTTCATTCAAATGCATCTACTAACCTCTGATTTTTTCCCGTACAGCTCAAGGTCTGGGCATGGTAAACCAACAAAAAAACAAAACGCAAGATACCCCGTGTCGATCATTCTGCAATGCTCTTCTTCGAAATTCTTTAGGCCCGATGGTTCGAATCTCCGCCATTGTACGATAATAATCAATTACCGGGGAATCCCTTGGGTTCTCACGATAATACACTACCCGCGGCGCAGACATCGTCGTCGCATGCGATACGGAAGGTGATGGAGGTGGATGTGAGCGCTATGGGATGCTGCCCCGGCGAACAAACGATAGCGATGACACAATACTTGTTTGGACGTGACGAGAGCGCGACTACTTCCTGCCGATGGATGTATAGTGACTGCCAGAACGAAATGCTGGAACGAGTCGATCTATCTGGCGCTTCCGCAGTCGCTCTCTTCTCTGGTCCCTTGATTTCTCCTTTGACATCTTGATGACGCCCTTTCCCTTATTTTATTTTTTCCTTGAAATTCTTTATCCCCCCTTCAGTTTACTATTTCATTCTGGATTATCTCCGCATTGGTCACGACATGTATTTGTTGGCGAAGTCGAAAAAAAAAGCCTGGTTGCCGGGTTCTGGCCTGGATATCTTTTGCCGATTTACCTCTGCGTTAACTTATTATTATCTTTTCGATTTCTCCTTTTTTCTCTCCTATCTCCCCTTATTTGTGTCTCTAAAGAAAGAGTCTGTTGTACTTAACTGTCTTTGCGTTGGAATCTCTTGCTATGGGATTCTTTGGTGTCGGATTTTGATAATGGTTCGAGCAGCTCCAATTTCTATTTGTGAACTTTTTTCAAACTCGATTCTCCATTTCCGATTCAATGGACTGAATGTGATGGTGATAGTACCGGGTAACGTGTCGCTTCTTGCCTGGCTGGGTTCTCTGCAATGCGAGAGTGGTGAGCATCAGACACAGGACATGTCTACACGGCATTGAACCCTCGGTCCAGCCGCAGGGTAGAATGTGCCATCAGCCCTATATCGGATGTGATATGTCCACTTCAACCTCAAAGTCGGGGTGAGTTCCGTAGCAGCTTTTGTATAAGTTCAGACTCAAAGAACAAAGTTGAAGTCTTGATTTGCTCGCAGCCGAGAGCCACTAGAACTGCCACTAGGGTGACTACCAAGCCACTTACCGAGGTACATATGTATACAATGAAGGAGTGACCAAACACCCCATGTATTCCGTGGGACTTCGTCCGGGAGCTATGGAGCGCAAATGCTCAGCCACGATATCAAAGAAAACCCCGTTTGATTTGGCTGCGGACCTGTATTGACCTCAACAGTGTTGAGGTCCTTTGGGTGGCACCCAATTGCTACGGTACCCTCCCCCTACACTGTCTCGTGGGCTACGGGAGATGGTAGTCCAGAGGGTTGGGGAGAGGAAGAAGACAAGAGGAAGACGGGTGGTGGGAGGTCTTTTATATCCCCAACAACGCGTTCCTTCCTAACATAGACGGGCCGTTTGCTCTTGCCTTTTTTACTGCCCAGTGTCACTGGTAGCAGGTGACCATGCGGAACCCTAGTTTAAATATGCAATTTCTTGCCATTGCAAAAGAAAAGGACCTCGGGAAGTAAGATAGACTTAGTCCAAGTAGGCTACTAGAGAGACTATGGGAAACGTAGCAGTAATAGCAGATGGGATATCTCGAGTAAATCAACATGAAGCCCGGCCCCCGCCGGGCTGGAAATAGGATAATCAGACAAGGAGAGAAGAGAAACGCAACGTGCCCAGTGGGACACGGCAGGATAGTAACCAGACCATCGATCAACCGAGTCCCAAACCCCCACACCCCGTTCTAGTGACCAACGCCGTTTCAAGAAAGTCTGTTCTTGGTTATTTCAGTGCAGATGATGCATCCAACGAAGAGATCGAAGACAAAGAGAGATGCGGGAGGAGATTGTTTGAGAGAGTAAAAGAAAAAGAAAAATGAGAGACAAGTCAAGTCAAGTAAATCATGCAGAGGAGATCACGAAGGAATAACCAGGACGCCTTGCTGCTGTGCTTGTAAATGTGGACGGCTGAAAACATAATAGCGAAGAAAGTATCATAGCACGCGGTGTCTGGAATCATCATTAGTAAACGTTTCAGCGGAGAACGAACAAGAGCCCGGGATAATACGCACAGCTTCAACAAGTCCTCAAGACTGTCAGCACTGCAGCTGCGGCCACGAGGAATGTTACGCAGGACATCGACGATGGTAGCAAAGACATCGCCGCCACGGTATGCCAGCAGAGCTGGTGCCTTAACGTGATCCATATCCGCGATATCCTGGTGCATCTTAACGAAACGGGTAGTTGGTTGTCTGGCAGCGATAGTAACGAGACATTCCTCGACGATAGCACTGTCATCAAACTGCAGAAACCAAATTAGCGAAACGTCCAACCTCGGCAATCATATCCCGCCAATTCCATACCTCTTGATCATAGATACAGACCACAACAACCGTGTCCGAAGTTACTTTCTCAATAGCATCGAGATACCCCACTGCATCAACTGTCTCAACCGATCCAAACCGTCTACCCCGCGGACTGGGACGACGATTACCGCGGCCCTGCAGCTCTTGCATGCGCGACTGGCGCCACTTGCGCATGAAGCGGGCCTCGTCGTCGTCTTCGCTGGCGGAGGACTGGTCACCTGCTAAGGGGGCGTCATCGCGAGTGGACTTTGAGCTGTAGGAGGGGCTGTTGGAGTCGAGGCCTGCGACGCTGAGGAGGGTGCGACGGAAGGACTTCTTGCGGGCGCGTTCGAAGGCCTGGGCGTCGGCAATGACGCCCTTGGGGCCTGTGTTGGCTTCGTAGACGGTGTTGGGGATGTGGTAGTTTGTGTTGGCGGTGCGGGAGGAGACCATGTCGGCTTCTTCGTCGGAGGAGTCGGCTGTTTGGCGGGAGCGGAGGCGGGAGGAGGGTTCGTCGTCGGAGAAGTGAGGGTCTGAGTCGTGGTCTTCTGGGTGGGAGGTGAAGCGGGAACGGTTACTGTTCACCAGCTGGTTGAATTCTTCTTGGGCGGACATATTGAAAGAATGGGGCAAAGGGTGGTTTTAGAGAGGGAATTAAGTTGGGAGATCGCGGATCGGGCACTGGTATGTTTCGGGTTTGACTGGGATCAAGGATCGAGGATATGGGGAAATTCGAAGGTTGCCCCTGAAGTTGAAACGGAGGTGAGGCTGAGGTTGGAAGAGATCGTCGTGGAAGGTCAAGGGAAGTCATGAAACGGTGAACCCCCTATTTTTTTTCGTGTTTCAGGACTCCACATGGCGGGAGCTTGTCAAGGTCAAGGAATTCAATTGTTTACATTGTAAGTCTCTTTGTTGAATCCGTATATTTCTGATCAAAATGTACTATTCTCAATATCAGCATGCAATATACTATAGCATATTATATGCATAAATATATTATAGTACTATGATGTATACCACATATAAAGGTTCTATACTTAGCATAACTTGGCACTTCGCCTTATATGGCCTTAAATAGCATTCACGTTTATCCCTGCCAGTCTTGAAACGAACCTCTGAGGGCATTGCCCCTGAACTACTCCGTATGTGACGTGTCTACGGCGAAGTATCTTCGTTAAGATAGCCCATTGCGTCTTGCAGATCTTCCTCCCGTATTCCCAAGTCTAGACGTTTCTATTTTCTTTTCTTTTTCTATACCTTCGTATTCCCAGTTTAGTTTGATATATCGGGATGAACTTCCAAGGTTGCCTCTGCGTATATGCTTATTATAAGGATAACTACAGGGCTGATCCTGTGTTCTTATTTCGAGTTCAAACCTTCTTCAATTATCGTCCTAGTCCTACATCTCTCCATGGTCGACTATCCTACCCGTCCTATCCCTTGTTTCATGTCAGACTCATAAGAAGGAAATTGGGGGCCCTGCGCTGGCCGCGGTCGTGTCGGCTTTTGTTCCGGGAGGTGTTTTTTTTTAAGAGGAAGACAGGAGGTGGAGGTGGTCGAGCCGGTGTGGTGCCCCCTGGATTGTCACCAATACACTTCAACTTTCAAACGTAGCTTCAAGTAATTTGACGTCTAGACTAGAGTCATGGTTCGACCTGTATGTGAATTGGGAGATACTATTCAAGGAAGCTGGTAGACATGCGCAGTCCCACAGTCTCAAGAGTATCAAGAAACAACCCCAAGTGTAACAACTGAGTTCCGAGATGGTATAAGACCCATAGTATCCAGTGCAAAGAATCGAAAGGAACCCATTTTTACAGTCTCCAATCCCAGTCTTCTTGAGAGATGAGTGAAGACCACGAGAAAGAATACGCGCATTTTAGAACCAGAGAAGAAGCGCGAAAGCAAAGAAAGCGAAAAAAGAGCCATCCAATTTCCTTCGGTAGTCCGCTAACTCCCCGTGTCAAAGACAGAAAAAAACATGAGAAAGTAACTAGACGTATGGTCGTGGTTGACCGAGGATACATAGCAGTAAAGAGGCGAAGACTCGAGTAATGAGAAGAAACGAGAAGAAAACAGAATAAACACTCCCACGCCTGGTTCCTCTCTTCCGCTCGCTCGATTGTCTCTTACAGGGCTCCGCGGTCCGCCGTGAAATCCCAGAGCATTTTGATCAATGCGTCCGGGAGCGTGTACAAGTCCACGTGGAATTCTCCGACTGTATAAAACGAAGCAGGTTAGCGTTTTCTTCAGAGTAAACGTCAAGCAGAGAAAGAATATGGATTTTCTTTTCTCTGATATACCCAATGGCAGAGAGGAACTTACGCTCAACATCGTTCTTTGTGTATGAGTCCGCCGCCTTGTGGTCATGAACCATCTGCACAACCTGCAGAAGGTCGTCTTCGTTCAGCTTCTGGAGCCCATCGGCAAGCTTGTCCATGTCGACCTTGAGAGAGAGTCAGTCCTGCGCCAATCTCAGACTCACGTCACATCAACAACTCACATTCTTATCTGTGCGCTTCTTCTTCTTGGCACTCTCCTCGCCACCGGCAGGGCGCTTGTGCTTGATACCATTCTCGTCGCCGGGAACGGGACCAGACTCGCGCAGTGCGGCCATCAAAGCAGGCTTGGGGTTCTTGAAGGTCTGCACGGGCAAAAAAAAAAAACGTGCCATTGATCAGCACACCATACTTTATCTCGAATGGAGGGTTTCAACAACAAACTTACCAGCACATGCTTAGATTCATAACGGGTCTGGGCGAAGTTCAGGTCATGTTGAATGGTGTACGACTTGTCAGCAGTCAGCTCGATAGACATATCGAATTCACCCCATCCTTCCTCTTGAATGCGGAACGGCGGCTGCTTGAAGACTATTCGAAGTGGTCAATTAGCTTCCAATCGGAAAAGCGTACACAACACAGAGCAATGTATGACCAAATCTTGGCCGTGGGATTCTGGATCGCCAGATAACCCACGCGTCGCCAAGACCGAATCGAAAAATACCATTAGGGACCAAAACATACCCTGGGTAGCACGTTCACCGAAACTGGGGTGCAGGTGGTAGGTGACCTTGTCGAACAGGTTCGCGGGGACCAAGGCGCCCTTCTCGTTCACGAGCCAGACCTCAATATGCCAAGATCGCTGTGGGAAGCCCTCGACTTCCGATGGCTTATCTCTATAGTTTGGGAAGAAAGCCCCAGTCAGCCAATATGTCTAATCCAGCGTTTTTCGTGTATTGTAGGGATGGGTGTGGGTGTTTGAAAAGAAGAGCGGTGGTGTGTTAAGCGCGCCTGTCTTCATCCTTGTGCGCATTATCGTCCTCGTGTCCTGCAAGTTATAGGACCGAAGTGGCAATAGCGTTAGAAGGAGATTATGGGAGGAGACAGTAGCTCCAGGCGCTCTTCTTAGACCGGATTTTGCGAAGGGAGGGAAGGTGGAGGTAGGCAGAGGGGAGGGCGCATACATAATGTTCTGCTCGGTGATGAGACGGACAGTGCGCTTGACCTATTGAGACGGAGTGTTAGTGTATGCAAGCTTAATTGTGCTGGAAACGGAGAAAAGAGCAGGGTTGGGCTTGTCGGCCACAGCAACAAACCCACAGTCCTAGACCATAGATGCAGCTTCGCGGCAGTTGATGAAGGGGTAGTATACTCACGTCAGGCATGATTATTTTATTGGCGACTTGGGGTCGTCACTTGGAGAATCGTGAGGTTCTAAGGTTTTGAGGCCGAAAGGGGACGTTGACGTGCGGAGAGGTGGGCGTCTCGGAGACAAGTTTGCGCGGTTGTCTGTCGGGGTCAACATTGAATGAGCATGAGAAATCATAACTACATATGTAGGCAATACCTCAATATAACCAGGCAGCGAGAACTCGCTAGGTTGTATATAGTGTCCCTTGATATATTGTAAACAATAAAGCGGTGAATTAAGCTCGAGGAGGTGAGAAATGGAAGTCCTCTTTATCTCTAGGGCTGCCCGCTATTTAACTTGACCTCGACACACTCTCACTTTCGAAGTGATTTGCCTCTTTCTTTACTATATAAAACATAGACTTGAGACTATTGGGATCAAATTGATATAGCCATAACATGTTTATTCTACAGTAACATTTGTTTCCAATCACTATCATTGTGTCTTTGAAAAAAAACCAAAAATCTAAGCTTCAAAGGAGGGTTTTCTTCCAAAAGGATCTTTTCGATTGTGAAAATTGTACCATCTTTATATTATTGTTGGCATACACTTGCTTATTAAGGCATACTCATCATTACTTTTATTTGTCTTTTTTTGCTTCAGATATCTTCAGGGTATGGGGTGATGTGCAGGTATATTCGATGGGGAAATGTCTATCTACTTCCGAAGAACCACCGAACGTTAGGAAACTGCCCTCCATTTCGTAGTCTGCATGGCTCGCAATAGCTATGTGAGGAGCATCTTCATAACTGCTGCCTCGCTCGTCGCGTCGTAGGGGATGGGGTGGGGATGGGATGGATCGGGGGTGATTGGGTGGAACGGTGTGAAAGGGGCGGAAAGTGTGGTGATTTTTCAAAGACCAAGCTCCGGGACGATGGACCCAAATGCCTTGGAACGCCAAGTGCACGATAATTGGGTATCCTCAGTCCTCAAAGAGTACAAGACGAGAGACGAAGAGTTGTTTACTCCTCAGCGTTGAAGAGCTTCTCATTCTCCACCTGGGCGGTCTCGAAAGCATCCTTGAAGGCGTTGGCGTCTACAACCATGGTTAGTAAAAGCTTGATATCAAGTTGGGATAAAACTACTCACTCTCACTGTTGGCGAAACGGATGGCCAGGGTCTGAGCCTCGGGCTCGCCCTCGGAGACATCGGCGGCGGCGTTCCAGACCCAGCTGCGGTCACTGCCGACGTTGGCGCTCAGCTTCATGTCGGGGACGACTGGAAAATAACATATTAGCACTACATCTTCTTTGGAAATTATGACCGGGGAGAAATCTCACTGTAGTGGTTGGCGCAGACCTTGAGGGTCTTATCGCGGCGCATGACGAGGCGAGTCTTCTGGTTCTCCTTGTGCTTCAACAGGCGGACGTCACCAGTACCACGCTCCTTCCACTCCTTAGACTCGCGGTCGAACTTGAAGAGCTTGGCGCGCATCTTGAAGGTCTGTTCCTCAAGCTCCTCGTTGGTCTTGGTCTCAACCTTCTCGGTCAGGCGAATAACGGGCTCGAAGTGGACGTCGGCGGACTCCTCGACTTCATCCTGTATTGAGATACTATGGTCAGTATATGCGCGGAGCTAAAATAGTCATTGGCACTGGCATAGGACGGCTTGGTTGCGTTGACCCCACTATCTGGAGACAGGGGCACAAGACCCCGCTCCCATCATAGACGCGACCAACAACAACCGCCTATATCCCCGGCTTCAGATGTATCAAACTCACCTCATCATTGGCCTTCTGGGCCTTGGAAGAACCGGAGGGCTCATCAGTAGGCTCCTCGGCCTCCTCCTTCTTCTCCTTCTTGGGACCGCCACCGAACATGGAGAACATGCTGTCAGAGGTCTTCACGGCGGCATCCTTGGCGGTGTCGGCGGCCTTCTCCGCGGTCTCAGTGGCAGCCTCAGCAACAGCCTCAGTGGTAGACTTCTCACCCTCACCGGTGGCGGCGGTGGTCTCCTCAGGCTTGGTCTCGGAGGCAGAGATGGCGGGGTCAGGCTTAGTCTCGGTGATGTCAGACATGATGACGAGGGGTTGGAGAGGATCGGTTTAAAAGGTTAAAAAAGAGAGATGGCAGAGATCCACGATAGATAGAGTGGAATTTCAATAAGAGATAGTGTTTGTTGATCAGAGAAAGCGGCGATGAGGGGGGAAAAATTAATAGTTTGGGTCCCATGCCCGGCAGAACCCGCCACCGCCCTCGTCTGCCAATAGTGTGCTCCATGTAAGTGTGAACTACATGCAACACAATTATCAAAGAAAAGAGAAGTGAATATTTTATCTCAGTCGATAAGTTCGTGTAAGACCAAAATTGGGATTATGGTTTAAATAAGAGATACCATTGCGCCGACTGAATAGTTCACGTGAAACCCAATTCCAGTACCATTGCCACCCACCACCAAACCAGATCGCCATAAACAAAAACCAGTCCTCAGCCAACTCATTAATAGGGAAAAAAAAGAGCAAGTACAAAGTCATAAAGTAAGTTCATTCATCGTTTCGACCCGCGGGTTGAGCAATCCCCAGACTTGCCGGACCGGAGTCCCATAACATGTCGCGCACGCGATTGAGCCCGATCCAGCGCATTACATTTCCTAGCGTTGCGCACTCGATCCATCATACTGCGAAGGTCAAACTTCGTCGCTGACTTCCCAATTCGGCTCCATGCATCATGAACAAGGCCCTTGGCTTCCTTGTTCACGCGACTAGATCGCATTTGCAGCACAGAAGAAACACTTCGGAATTGCTGAATAGTATTGCGAGTGAAGACCGCTGAAATCTGTTTCGAACGTGATAAAACAGCATCACGCGCATTCAGACTCCCACGGCGTAGCTCCTCGGCATCGCGGCGCAAGAGATGTGTTCTCTTTACCACATCTCCCACGATCACCTGCAAGTCGGTAGAGAGACGGCCGTATACCTCAGTCAAGCCGGTCTGAGCCGTTTGGACCTCCTTGGTGAATTGTGAAGAAATTCCCTGTGCTGCACGTTTCCAGTTTGCGATCTTCAGCCACGGGGTTCCGAAGTCAACAGCCATGGTTTGACTAATTGGCTGTCTTGACTTGGTTGTGATTGTCAAGTTGACTAACCCGTACGCATCCTCGCGGTTCAACTTCAGTGTGTAGACTCCATCAAACAGCTGTGACAGCTCGTATGTAAGAGACCTGTTCTCTCTGTGAACACTCACATTGAATTGTGGTTGTTTCTTGGATGATGCAAACTTATGTGGGGGTTTGATGATAACATGGCAGTCCCCAACAACCTGTATCTCGAATTCGTTCGTCATTCCCGATGATTTTGCAGTAGAAATAGCTGGCACTGTGGTATCCCCAGGGATTGAATTTCCGGAATAGGGCACATGCAATCCTCGCATAGAAGCTGACGGCTGTGTTGAGATTGAGGTTTGCACCACGCGATCCAGGGTTAGAACAGAGGTGGGAGAGACATGGGAAGCCACTGGGAAGGATGCATTGGATAGCGCTGATCCGGCAAAGCATTGTGCTAGAAAGACGACCAGAACTCTAACAGCCGCATACCCAATAGAGATCGCAATGGCCGAAATGAGAGTCAAAGTAAGCAGACGCAGTGTGGGGGTCAGCTCTCGGGCCCGCGTGGCATAGGAAGGTGGGAGCCAATTGCCAGGATATTTCTCGAGATCCGCAAATACGTGCCTCTGGAGAGGCTTGGAAGTATCGGCAATGACTTTATGTGCCTTCCTTGGATACAAGCTGACAAGAGAAGCTAGGTTTCGATTCAACTGACCGGGTGTGATGCTCTCGAAAGTCTTCAAATCGATAGGGTACCGTCGAAGGACTGCGGTCTCTCCGGAAACTGGATGGCGAGACTCCAAACATGTGTGTAGACTGTTGTGGTTAAGAGGGATCACCTCTCCGGCCATCTTCCAGAGTGGCTCCTCCGAAATCACCATCGCCGGGATTCCATGGCGTTCCAGGAACGCGTGGACAAGACGCTGGGTCTTGGCGACAGCTGCATCATCGAGGCCAGAGACAAAGAGAATTGCAACATCTGGTAGAGTCCAATCTGTTGCAGAGGTTACGTGATAGTCGGACCCATTCCAGGCCGAAGTGCAGACAGGACGATTTTTGAACTTCAGGTTGAGTGTATTGGGTCGGTCGGCGTGGGGCTCGGCCGTGGCTTCCAGACACTCGTCGACCACCAACTGGACATGAATCGGGAGAAGTTCTGCGAAGTTGGGAACAGCTCCGGCTCCAAATGAGGTTGGCACGACATGATACCGGGAAGATTCGGCCGAGCTGGGCTCTGAACCAGCACATGAGCTTGATACTAGAACATCGCCGATCTTGTCGAGAATAATGTTTCGAAATCCCGGTTGTCCGACATAGAGCACGCGGAACGGCTTATCCAGGTCGAGGCTCTGTTTCGTCATGGTCTGTTGAACCGTGGCCATGAGAATGGAGTCAGTTGAATTGTAGGGCAGCCAACTCTTCAGTTCCGAGGCTGCAGCACCTTCGAAGATGCGGATAGTATGCTTCAGCTCCACTCTCTCGATCTCGGGCCACTTCTCTGGCTCCACAAATTCGATCGAATCACTGGCGTGGGGGAAGGAGGGCTTCGTGGTTGTGGTGCTGTCATCGATCGTGGATTGTCTGGCGGCAAAGAGGGCAGGAAGCTCCTGGGAGGCGGATTCAGTGCACTGCACTTCATCCCTGTCTATCCCATCGTCCTCTTGGTTCTCTTCATCCTGTGCCTCGGCCTCGCTACCGCTGTAGCGTTCATCGAGGCTTGCGACGTCGTCAGGGCTGGCCTGGTCGATTAACGAGCCTGTATCGGTTTGTTCGGAGTGGCTGCCATCCTCTGAGCGTATGTCAGATACACTCAGAGTCGCCCAGCTATCACTCAGGGTTTTGGGTGAATGATCAGAAAGTTGATCTGACGTCATATTGGTAGGCCGTGAACGGGACAACCACTCCTCAACAGAAGCTGTCAGGGGTGGAAGAGTCGGATATTGCAGACTCGACGCAGTCTGGGCACGGAGGAGCCGCCTATGAGGCGAGTCTGGATCGTCAGTCATTTCGTCGATGTAAACTTCATAGAGCACACGGGGTGCGGCGGAAACAGGAGCTTAGGGATAGCCCAAGCAGTAGGAAGAAGGTCAAAAAAAAAGCAGAGTTAGAAACAGATATAGAGATATGAAGGGAAATAGAAAAGAAAAGGGAGGTCGGAAGATACTGGGAGTGCTAGGCAGAGATTCAGAAGCCCAAATAGAGTGATAAGGTGGGTCTGCGGGGAGCCGGATGTCAGGATGGGTCAGGTGCGTTTCTGACTTGGAAGGGGAAGTAAGGGCATACCTAACGTGAAACTATTGGAAGGTCGAAGAGTAAAGAAACACAGTAATGAAGATGAAGGTGAGGCATAAAAGAGAACTGAAACGTGGGAACCTTGGAAGTCCACGGGTTGATGAAGGAGATGATAAGCAATGGATGACCCAAAGTGACAGTAATGGCGGGGTAGTACAAGGTACCTGGGTGTTGTATGGTGGTGCCTGCGGTGATGGCGGTACCAGGTACCAGAACACTTTGACACCTGACTTGTCCCTTTGTTTAACTTCTCTCTCGACGTCCTTCAACTCCAAACTCCAAAATAAAGAAAGGGCTGGTCTCCTAAACGTATCATATTTTCATATTCCATAATCTTTTTCTAAAGAGCTATTCTTATACTTATTCTATACTTGATAAGGTAGAGCTCCACTATGCCCCACCATGATCGCCTTAAAGCCGAACATTTACATCGTCCATGTATACAGTCAAGAGTTCACACTGAAATGAAGCACGATTAGAATAACTCTACCTAGGATTGACCTTGCTTTAGTCACTCAATCTGAGCTACCCAACTCTCTAAAAGCAGTGCCATGTCATCCCGAACGGCATCCCGCTCAGCAAGATCCATCGGCGTATGACCCGAAGAATCCCTGCGCGCAGGATCCACCCGCTTCTTACTCGAAACCCGAACGAGCATCATCACACATCTGAGCAGCGGATTGTTGACACTAGAGTGCCCTGTACATCGTCTCAAGATCAATGCCAAGTTTCAACAGAAGGTGAACAATGGTTTCATTGGCCTGGATAGCAATGTGCCAAGTAGTAAGGCCCGAACTAACCATAGCCATTGGTGTCGACTGAATCAGTCTGGACACCGGTTTTCCACATGCTGGAGGATTCGATAATCTTCAGCTAAGGCTGCTTCGAGTCATGGGGCTTGATGGAGCTTTTAGCAAGAAGTCGGCTCGCTGCTATACCTGCTCCGAAAAAGATTGGGTGTACAAACTTCCGGGAAAGCCGGAGTATAAATGGCAAGGAAAGGAAAGCAAAAAGAAAAGCAAATCTTTAGATGTAAGCCATAACTGCTATAAAGTTCGACGGGATCCCATATATCATTGTACAATGGCAAACAGAATAATAAGAACTAAAACAGAGCCACGAGAATCTAGTTACTATATAGTCATAGGGAACTCCTCTGCCAGAAATAGACAATTTTGGGGTACAGCAGCAGATGAATCTCTCATTTGAGCCTTGAAATATCTTTTAGGCACCGCCGGCTGCCGCTTCCATAAACAATTTCTCACGCTAGATAAAAAGTTGTCAGTGCTACTTGTGGTAATATCATGGCGGATAGAGCCCACCTTTAGGAACAGCGAGAGGAGGACACCGAGCGCACCGGCAACGATTAGCAGAACATATCTAGAAAGGAAATATTAGCAATCGAGTGAGTCACTAGGCACTGCTGACCAATAAGTTGTTGAGCAAAGAAGAGAGACCTACACATCATCAATGGCCGAAACAATAATATCAAGAGCTGCGGCCTGCTGCGACTCTGTCAGGGTCTTAAAAAACCCACTAGACGTTCCTGTGATGGAGTTCTTGACATCGGCAGGACTAGCATCCGGAAGCAACTGTAGAAGTTCCTCTGTTGTCTTGTTGACGAAGATAGCACCCGCCATACCCAAGGCCAAGACAATGCCTCCTAGTTGGGCTGTTTTATTGAACATTAGTTAAAGGCAAAGAAGGAATGGGTGAACTGGGGTTCACTTACAAACCATCATGAATCCCAAGGCCCATGGGATCTCAGCTTTCGGCACCTTTGCCTGCACCACACTATAACCTGCCTGGTTGTAGGCACCAACCCCCAACGCCATCAGAGCCGTGTATCCATAGATTGCGCTGGCGGAAGTGTCGGCTTTGACATGGTCTAATTTGAGTCTCAATTAGTATAAATTTTATGCACGCCGCGAATTTTCAACGGGGATAAGGGCTAATTTTAGGAAACGTACACATTAACACAGCGGCGATGAGCTCAAAAAGAGCGCCGAAGAAATACCATGGAATATAGTAACCAAATCTGGACATCATGTGGCCGTTGGCAATGATTGTGAAGATAAGGACTAACACGAAAGGCAGAAGACGTAATGACGTCTTGACGGCCGTATCACCCTGTGATAGTGTTAGCTCCTATACCTTCTGTATAAATACCAAAATGGCTATCCTGACCTGTGTGAATTGGAAAAACAACGGGATGTAATAAACCGCAATAAATAGCCCACTGCTAGCACTTGCTGGATAGAGGGTATGAATTAGTAGAGCATAACAAAGGAAATCCATGGCGGGGGCTGACTCACTATTGAGAATAAATAAAAGCAGAAGGGATCGTCTCTTGAGGAAGTGAATTGGGAACAGTCGGGTTTGCTCATTACAAAAGATAAAGAAGGTCTGCTGTACCCCAAACACGATGAAGAGCACCCCCCGATACTACAAAGAGCGCAATTGACTGACCGTTACCCCATTGCCATTCCACGCCTCCAAAGTCAATACCCATGATCAGTGTTGTTAAGGCACCAATAAAAAGGACGCTACCGACCCAGTCGATATTCATTGCCTTTTCCTTAGAGGTGGCATTTGGGAGGGGCTCGAACGAAGGTAGAAGAAGGATATATACCGGAGCGAAGACTGCTCCAATCACAAGGTTGATATAGAAGGCCTAGGTATAGTTAGTAAAGTATCACTTCATCTCCCAATTCCTCGACAATATACCCAACGCCAAGTGGCGGCACTTTCAGCGAATGCGCCTCCAATGGCCGGACCTGTGACCGTTCCGATACCCCATGAGACAGCACTATAAAAAAGGGAAGATAATCAGCAGGTATATTGAGCCAAAGGGCAGATTACGTACGTCAATCCAATATAGAAAGGACGTTCAGATACCGTCGTGTTGACGGACAACTGCGTCAAGACGCCAAAGTACATGCCACTTCCCTACGAACCTCGTGAGTATTTAGGGTTGCAGAAACCAATTAGAGCAACATTCACTTACTCCAGCACCAGCCATTGCTCTACCAATGATCATAGCATTCATGTTTGGAGCACCTCCACATAGAGCAGAACCTGCCATAAACAGGATGACGCACTACACAAAGGTCAGAGATGTTCTATCTCGCATGGGATAACCAGACCTCCTCGACTTACCCCAATGTAAAGCCATTTAGCATTGTAAGTTGCGTAGACCTTAGACCAAGGAAGCACAGTCGCAGACGAGCAAAGAGTAAATCTGCAAACAGAATCGATCGATGAGAAATATTCTATATGTTAACCCGAATATAATGGGAGTCCTACCCGACAGAGAGCCATGAAATCCGGCCAGCTTCATTGTATTGCGCTACAATAGCCTGATAATTCGGAAGTTAGCGCTAGGTACTCCCTAATTTAATGAGAAAGTACTGACCGGTTGAATATTAGCGACAATGGTATTGTCGAGAGCGAAGAGCATATGACTGGATAAGATAGCAATCACAACCAAAATCCACTGGTTTTTTTCAATATTAGCTATGAAAGCAATCTCGGATCGATTTAACGGACCTTGAACCCGGTAATGGCTCTCACTTCCTCGCTCTTCTCCTCCGTACCAGAAAGCTCGGTGTGCTTTGTGCTGAGCTGGGACATGATGGAGCTGGGGGTGTGGGCCTCCACAAGAGCGTGCTGAGTCCCCGATTCACCACCGTCTCCTTTGAGATGTTCAGTCATTGCAATTGGTCGTTCAGAGTTTTGCGACTCAATCGATGCTGTTCTGTAGAGAAAGATTGTGAGGGATATGGAGGTTCTCTAGGTGGTTGGATATGGTGCCTTTTATACAAGAATTCTATTGACCTGAAAACGATCTTCTTAATCAAAGCCATGACTAAAGCTATCCGTAAGTAGTATAGATGGGATGAAAGTATACCTGGAATTTACAATCTGGGATGACGATGGGATACCGCTCAACCAACCAGCGGCTAGAACGTGATTCCTTTGGGATAGCGATGGGTTGCCGAATGTTAATATCTGTCAAGCAAACGAATTCGCAGCCATAATGGGATGCCGCTGGGATAGCGACGGGATATCGTACCTGAACAATGCAAGGCATCCCATTAGGATTACCGTTACCCCAAGAGATAAAAAATAATGCTTCAAGGGGCAAACTTGAGGTGGCTCTAGTTTAGATATCTACTCATGTTGAGAATTGGCGAAATACACCGTTGAAGAAAATTTGATATATTCAATATTTAGCCTTTCGATTTCTGGGGGGAAACATATATCTACTGCCATTAATGACCAACTTTAAGTGAAAGACATATGTATATGCACGACGCCCTTGCAACTGAAATATCGTTATATCCACTCAAACTGTTGACCATGAGGCTGCAACACTCGCGCAGTCTGAGAAATCCACTTGTCTTCAATGTTATCATTGGCATACGCGGCTTCGCTTCCTGCAATTTTCACGGCCAAGTCAGAAGTAGCATGCCAGAGCTCATCACTGCCCGGCACAGCAAATTGCAGGTCTGCCAGGGAAAGAAGTCTTTCATCCGGTGACCGTGGTCCACGCCGAGGATTAAAATTGGGCGCATCTTCCAAGAGTTTAGTGTCGTATACCCGGGCATGCCTGCATACCCTGTACAAGGACAAGTTAAAACGCTTGACTTCCTCGATACCAAGCCAGATGAAAACATCGGGGTCAACTCCTTGTTTGAACTGGGCCAGTATTGAGGGATAGAAGAACATGCGTCGCTTCAAACAGCTGCGCACGAGAGAAACGAGAAGCTGAGAGGGGATCTCGGGGAGAACTTGTGACAATTGCAGATCTGACGGGTCGTGGTTGTGGAGGAGGGAGAAGATGAGGTGTAACAGAATCCCTTGGTATGTTGCCATTGGCCAGGGTGCGGGACCAGATGAGGATATTTCATGATGTTGCGAGTGTGGTTCATCATGGTGATTCGATACGTCCCATTTTCCCTACGTGTCTCTTTAATAACGAAGGAAAACGTAGAGGGATAGAAAAAGGGCTGAACTAACTCTTTGCTCGTATATCGACGATGTCAGTCTTTTGTGTAGGTCTTTTGCGGTACGTTGCGCATTGCTTTCCATCATCGCCCATGAGCCCATCATCACCACTGATTGAGCAAGGAAAGGAGGCTCATTATTGGGATCGAATGTCGCTGGGTGCAAAAATGGCCATTTTGGGTGAAATTTGTCGAAATAAGCCTGGACAAATGGCGCAGCTCTACATGGGCTATTTTCAATACTTTCCGAGCGCTGTATAAGACCTCCTGTTTGTGTCGGAGGAGAACGAATCGAATATGGATAGTCCGTTTCTATTGAAGGGATAGGGCTTGTGCGGGGATTTCGAGACCTGCTTTGCTCTAATGCCCGCCCTCGTGAGTTTTGGATATAAGAACATTCAATCGCTCGCTGAAAGCACGCGCCGCAGGGAGACCGTCCATCGCATCTTGACCGCCGTGAGCGACAATAGGTACAAGCTTGAATCGCCCGGGAGTATTGTAGCTCTCTGGTTTCATGATGAGTACGGACATGTTGCCGCAGCGTGTCATTCCTGCCGAAAACGCGATCACAGAAGGAGCATTCAAAACACTTTGTTTGGAAGTGGCTTTTTGCATGTCGGGTCAGATGTTCCTTTCGTCGATAGCTTAGGCCACACCCGGGAAAGTGACATTGGAAAGGGGTCATCGAAACCACGACCGAGAGAGCGATAGGTTGAACAGAATAGGTCGGAGGGTGTGTAACCCCAAATGTGACCATAAGCAGGTATATTGTAGGTATGGCAACACTGGGATCCGGATAGTGAAGATTTGGGATATTGATGGGATATGGGATATCGATGGGATATGGGATATCGATGGGATATGGGATAGCGATGGGATATGGGATAGCGATGGGATAGCGATGGGATAGGCGGGAGGTGGGGCAGTGGTGGAGCACCGGGTCACGGTTGGCCCGATAGAGAATGTACTGTACACGGGCATAAGTTTAATGACATGTGCAGATCACGGCGTTTAAGTCTTAGTATTAATAAAGGGAGGAATATATATATATATATATATATAAAATATCCAAGGAAATATCCAAGGAGACTGCTGAAAAGACTACTGAAGAGGCTACTAAATCAACTATAACAAGGTTATATAAGCGGTTAACTACTTACCTAGGTAGGTAACTATTCTCATATAGGGACTAAGATGACGAAGACGACAGCCCGATTAGGCCGGTTGTCGTGATGACCTTACACCTGGACATGAATCAGGTGTTAGAAAACGGATTGAATACCGTGCTCTTAAAATAATATTGCGAAGGAGAAAAGAAAAGAAAAACTAATGTGCTGCACTTCCTCATCTATCATTCTGGCTACTTCGTAAGTTTCGTTACCCTGAACCAACTCTGCTTCAGCGGCCACCGTTCGAGGCGCCGTCATCAAAAAGACACCCGTACAGTTCAGCGGAGAGATAAAACGTATTGGACCTCGTGCCATCCAACTTCTCCTTCATACTAACCCAGCTATGGATGCCACGACCAGCCTCCAAAGGCCGGCGCTGCACAGCGATGATGGCGTTTTTATATCTCTCTCGGTACAACTGAGGCGCAGAAATAGCATCCATGTACATTTCGATACGTTCGCGCGCTTCGGCGTCATTTGCTGTGTAGCTGTCCATTGGGTAGAGGACCGTACGGGCCGCTGGTCGAGACGGATCTTTGTTCTTGAAATGGAAACAGGATAACCCGGGTTTTCCACGGTACGGCCCAAGCGAGCCACCAGCCATGATGGAGTAAAATAGTTCGATCGCATGGACGCTGGAATTGGGATCCATCTTGACATGTTTTTGCGCGATCTGCGTTGCAGACGCGCCGCGGTGCGCAACGTATACCTTGACTTCGGCGTCTTCTGGGTTCGGCGATAGACCAAGCGAGAAGTAGATGGGATAGTCGTCGCCAGTCATGATGCTCTCCAATAATTTCCACGAGCCGGCCAGCCCCAAGCGCTCCAGAGCTTCTCTCGTCACTTTAAAGGCGTTTTTTCTCCCAGAAGCTAGTGGATTGAGGTAAATCTTCCATTTTTCCAGTGTATTTGAGGTAGCGAAGCTGTGCCATGAGGCTAATCTACCCTCAGCATCTGAGGGGAAAAACAAATCCCGAACGAGATTCAAGCGGTCCAGAGAGACCTTTGTGGGGCCGTACTCTTTTGCTATGTCGTCGGTCAAGCGCGAGGTCCTTTCTTGGAGGGCGGCCAAGCTATTTTCCTCTGGCTGAGCCTCGATCAAGAATCGCAGCTCAGATGCTCCAGTGTGTTGGGATAAAGCCAATGAGTATTCAAAAGGCGAGTGATCATTGCTCACGTCAGAAACCCAGGCCGATATATCCAGCTTCTCTGGTATGACATTATGACACCATTCTCCCCGGAAAACTCCAAGGCGTGCAGCAGCTTCTCTCGCGTGACCTCATCTTGTCCAATGGCTTTAGAAAGCCGTGTAAGTTGCCGATTGGCTTCACTAATATAGTTACCGTTGATCGCCTTGTTCATGGACGCTGGAGCAGACGCTGCCGGCATGGGAGGCCTGACTGCTGTTGTGATGTGTTGGCATTGGTGGGTGAGTTGGTGAATTTGCGAGTATGACCAGGCGTCTGGTTTTCTATGGTCTAGGAGAGCCATAGTTGACGTAGGGCTGGGATAATCAATGTTATTGTCATGCATAGGATGGGCGCTATATATGCGACATGTAATATTCGGCTGAAGGTGGGCTCATATAGGATTGGGCTGCTACTCGCAAATCATTCCCCCGCTCGAAACACGGTGTAGAAAAATGTGATTGTAAGCCTACCTCTGACTATCAAAATACTTTATGCTCTTGACAGGACTTTATAGTACATAAGAGTTTGAAACAGTGAGATGAGCGCTTACTAGGTGCATAGGAAAGCCGCCGTTGACATACACAACATGGATTCAGACAAGCATAGAACGGAGCACATATAAATTTTGTTGCAGAGGTAAGTATTCTTCACTAGTCCTGATAAGCGACACCTTTCCCTGTTGGACCACGTGGAGGGTAAAACTGGCAGGCCGTTCCGGGGAATAATATGAACACCATTAGCAGAACGAGATAAAAATGTTTATAAATTATCGAGTAAATCCAATAATGGCATTGTGTATGACCGTGCATTGCTTTAAATGCAGGGTGCCTTTGGTGGCTGATTTTCCGCCTTAAGCTATGCACTAGTACGTAGACCCTTCAGATTAGGAATATGGCCTCCATTCCAAGCCACATGCAACAGAGGCCAGATTTGTCTATTGCTGTACAGTTCCTAATCATACAGTTCCGAAACCCCTGTTATCTTTCCATGGTTGTTTATACAGGTTTCTACATAGTGATAATATCCCTGGTCTAGCCTAGGATGAATTGATTTCTTAATACGGCAAGGATATAGTACGCAATACGGACGGAGTAAGTGCGAGGAGTTACGTGTTATCTGCAGCTGTAACGGAGCATAATGCACGTTATATATTAAATATAAATTTTACTCCACGGCGCTTACATGGATGTTCGTATGTGCGTAACTAGTCGATATATAAGCCCACTTGTATTAGATGACGAGTCCTTGCTAAAACTTGCCTAGCTTTGCCCAAGTGAGCCAGGGTAGAAATAATAGTGAAAAGAAAAAGAAAAAATACCGCTATTAGTAGGATAGGTGCCAATCTTGTAATTTTTACCCAGATAACCACCCATTATGCCGATATTGCGAACTATACCCTGCAGCCGGGACTAATTAATCCGTCGGTTTCTTTGTTCTATTCACCCAAGAGAATATCCCCTGAAATCTCCCAACAAACAACAATTCATGCTTTTATGTTTGACCTCGGAGCTCAAGCAATACAATGGAAGGAATGAATCCCATTGCAGCCATTGTCCAGCCATCCGCCTTGAAGCCTCCAGTCTTCGTGGGATTGGCGAGCGCTCTATGTGCACTTAGTGGCGGCATTATTGCACTACGACTTTGGACTAATTTCAACCACATTCAAAAGCTTCACGTCGACGATTGTACGTATGACCTTTATAGTTTCAGTGGGGCTGTTGATGACTAGCCAAGCTTACCTCGACAGACTTATGTGTGCTGGCACTCTTGTTCCTGATATGGAATTCTGTGACTTTCTCCATGCTGTTTGATGGTAACATTTCTCCCAATCTGATATGTTATCTCACACAAGGACTAACACGTTCAAAACAGTGTTGAACTCGAATCCTAACGATGTCACGATTGAACATCTTACAAGAGTAAGGCCTCAAGGGCTTTTTATACACGTTATTTCCTTGCATCGTGCTGTTTGCTAATGTTTCCTCGCAGCTGGTTGCGGTCGGAATCGCTTCAGGCAACAGTGCAGTTTACAGCGCGAAGTTGCCTCTGCTTTTCATGCTTATCCGAATCTTCGGGATCAAGGATTGGTTGCGCTGGACGTGCATATTTCTCATCTGTCGTCGGGACTTTGGGCGGCGTGATAACACTGCTGTATGCAGGTATCTCCTGCAGCCCGGATCTTCACGAGCCAACTCCGCCATTCTTGTTCTCGTGCGTCGGCGCCCTCACGAATGCGACCATTGCCCGTGGCTCCATCTCGCTCGCCGTAGATGTCATCGTATTTGTTGTCCCGATTCCAGTTATCGTGGATCTTAAGATGCCACTTCGCAGGAAGATCGGAGTTGCGTTTGTCTTTGCTACGGGTCTCCTGTAAGTTCTGCTCTTTCTCCTCTATTGGCTTGGGCAAATTTGCTGACTACAATGTTCAACAGTGCCATTGCAGCCAGCGCATTGGGTTTGTATTTTCAGAAAGCGCAGTCCACTCAATCTTCTACCAACTTCGCCAATGCTCTGCTTGTCACGTAAGTTTGTCAACATCAACATCACCGCCCCGCCCCTATGAGTCTGCCACTGATAAGTCCACTAGCGTTATCGAAAGCGCCGTCGTCCTCATGGTCAGCTGCACGCCTGCTATCCATATATTCTGGACCAAGCATGCAGGCTTCTTGCGCAGGCGCTTTGGACTGCTAACCTCATCACACACCAAGTCGAAGCTTTCGGAATCCAAAACCAACCTGGGAGGAAGCAGTACATCGAACTCGGATCGCCCCCAGGTCCGCGCACACGATTACGTTGAACTGCAGGAAGTCGCCGATATGGGGAAGTCACCGTACGATCCTAAGGTATTGAGTGTCAAGCAATATGTGTAAGATATCACATGTACATTTTGAAATGTCTAGTGTATTTGGCTTTGTGTTGGATCGTCTTACCCCTCTTCAATAGTGAAACAACACGAGATATAGCGCACATGTCAAGTATCATAGAAACCTAGGAAGCTCGGATACGACAGTCGACGTTTAGCTACGATCCTCCACATGTAACGATCGACGATGCACGGCCCGCTTTTCTTACCCGCTGTTTCAACGCCCTCGGATCTTTTAGGGTCTTGAAGGGTCAAGGAATGATGCCCGCCACACCCAATAACGAGACTTCTTTTACATCTAACCTTGAACGACGAATGAAAAAAAAAAATGGACGTCATCATTAATGGGGCATTGACTGTGCAATGCAATTTCTATTGTGGGAAAGTCCTCGGCCACAACTAGTGGGTGACGTTACATGTACTTCGTACTCCGTACGTGGTGTCGAGTTAGTGCACTTTCCAATTAAAAACAAACTTCAATAAACACATTATTTTATCATATCTGCGGTAAAGCTTGGTATGCCACGGAGAAACTGTTTAAGACATGTTTAAGACACTGATGATAATGGAGGGGTATCGAAAGTAGGAAAATCCCATGTGGGCAATATTTCAGTCCCTATTGAGTAATTCAACAGGAAACACAGGACACCATCAGCCAAAAGAATGCTTTTCATATATCGTAATTAGTTAATATATTCGAAAGTTTACATCCTTGTAGTTCACCGGGACTTTCCCGGATACGGAAGGTGGTCCGGGCAAGGCGGGTAGTACCCGTGGTTATCTCGGAAATCTAAAACCTTAAGGAACATCCCACTTGGCAATTATTCTTTACACGGACAATCCTCAATGAATATCCTGCTGACTCTGGGCTATCTTGTCTGTGACAATACGTGATCAAAACAGACCCTTGTAACGGAGATGAAAGGAACATGTGGCGTCTTGCACTGAACCCCTGCACGCCTAAGTTCCAGCACCCAATCAATTGCGCCAATTCCCCTACAATGGGATCGTACAATATTGACTATTTGCGAGATTCTACTAAGCTCACCAAAGAGGACCGCGGCCCATGACTGCCTGGTTGCCCTTTGTTTTTTCTTCCCCAAGTTAAACCAACTTCCATCGCCGACACTTTGGATCTGGTTGCTTATTCTCCGAATTTCAACTATGCATCTAGCAACATTCATAGCCATTACCGGGCTGCTAATAGGTGTGTACATCGTCACGCGACGGAAATCAACATCTTCTTTGCCCCTGCCGCCAGGCCCAAAGCCATTGCCGATAATTGGCAATGTTCACCAAGCTCCCAAGTCCCACGGCTGGCAAACATATCGTGAATGGAGCAAGCAGTATGGGCCAATTGTTCACGTCAACATGCTTGGGCAGTCTGTCGTCGTTCTATCTACGTCTGAAGTAGCCCACGAACTTCTAGCGAAGCGCGGAGCCACATTTTCAGACCGACCTCGTCTTTTTGCAAGGCTCTACTCTCCTCAACTTGCATGGGCAACAATGAGCTAATAGAAACTTCAGTTGGCAACCGAGCTAGCCTTGAAAGGGCTCAATATCCTCATGATGAATTACACCGATCAATTCCGACAACATCAGAGGCTACAGGTCTCGGTGTTGAACGCGACGCCGGCAGCCGCCTATCTCCCCTTCCAAACTCTAGAATCGCAACAATTGATGCACGATCTCCTAGAGAATGCGGGTGGTGCTGGTGCTGAGGTTCAAGGACATTTCCAGCGCGCTGTCGCTAGTATCATCCACACATTGTTGTATGGCTTCCGTGTCAAAGACTACAACGACCCGGTACTTCGCACCGTTGTGAAACTCAACGAGGAGTTCTCCGAGTTTATCCAGGTTGGCGCGCACATTGTCGACCAGTTCCCTGTTCTAAATAATCTGCCCGGCTTCTTGGCTCCATGGCAAGCAAAGGCTGAGAATCACTACAAAACCAAGTATGATCTGCGCGACGAAAACTTCCGGCGGGGCCAGGAGTCGGACGCCTGGAATATATCAAAGCACCTCAAAAAGACTGTCGAAAAGGATAATCTCGATATGCCCTTGCACGAACTAGCGTTTGAGCTTGGTACCATGATCGACGCCGCGCTGGACGGCACTACAGACAGCCTGATCTGGTTTGTGGTGGCTTGTATCACACAAGACCAGGGTTTCGTCGTCAAGGCACGCAAGGAGCTGGATGCCTTTGTCGGACACAACCGACTCCCAGTCCCAGATGACAAGCCCAACCTGCCGTACATCACCGCGATTGTCGAAGAGATATTCCGATGGCGACCCGCTGGCCCCGAGGGCGTCCCCTCATCTGAACAAAGAGGAGACTACCTACAATGGATACACCATTCCCAAGGGATCTGTTATTATACCCAACGTTTGGACAATATCCCGAGAAGAGGCCTTGTTTGGCCCGGACCCCGACGATTTCAAACCGGACCGCTGGCTCGATGAGGACGGCAAAACGCTCAAAGACCTCCCCGCTGCTGCATTTGGCTATGGAAGACGGACCTGTCCTGGGCGGTATTTTGCCCGCAATGTTATCTGGATCGTCGTGGCCCAGCTGCTATGGTCATTTGACATCAAGGCTGGTTTATCTGAGGAGACGGGCGAGCCCGTCGTCGTTGACCCACTTGCATGCACCTATGGCCTGGTTATGCGGGCTCTGCCTTTCAAGGCTTCTTTCAACCCTCGTGGGCCTTGGGTGCGTGGCGTGATTGCCAGAAACGGTGACACTTATGGCAAGGATCATGTCGCTATGCTCAACCAAATTGGCGCGGAGTTCGCTAAGATGTAACGGAGCTTTCTTTCCTTTCTCCCTCCCTTATTATGCACACATGTACAATAGCTATAAAGGCAAAGTACAGAGGGTTTTGTGACGATGTGGATATGGAGAATTGCAATATGTATGGAATATCTTGGCTAATGGTGCTAATATTCTACCCTAAACTTAATATTACATGGTAACCTTGGAAGATAAATACCTACAATATACATATGTAGGTAGAATAGCCTCTTCTCAGGAATGGAAAATCCCCCTTGTCCAAGCGGGATAATATCGGCGTAATACGTGGTTATCCCAAATCTCAATTCACATACGGAGTAATCAGTACAGGGTACATAGACTGGATAATAACGGGTTTTTTCTCTGTGGTTTTACCCTAGCTCAGCACCAGAATCCTAGTTCGCCGCTAGGCAAGTTTAATATAGTGCTCGTACTCCGTCCTCCGTATTCCGTTTGTAGTTGTATATCCACATGTGAAGAACCACGTAAGCCCTACTGCATGCCTCCGGTGGGTCGTATTCCTGATCAGAACGTTCGTCATGCTAGCTCATATCGCTTCCTTCGTCACATCCCCAGCCAAATCATTGGCTGTTGGCCACTAGCGGCGCGACGTGGCCGCTTGCCCAGGCAGGAAGCAATATATTGATGCCCAAGAATGTGCTTGATTTCGTTGTGGCTGACGAAAAATATGGATCATGTCAAGGATAATTGTAAACTTGATGAGATCCCCAATATCACACAGCAGCTCATAATGCTTTCCGTCAGTGCAGTACCTACGATACTATATGGCAATTCTAGTGCAATATTCAACGACCCTCGAGATGATTCCTCGTCTTACAGGGTCAATTTGGCTCTTGTGGTTATTTTCCTCATAGTTTCCGTACGATTAGCGAGATCGAAGGCACGTATACGCCTCATTACAATTATCTATGAAGATTCATGCGCTCATGTTCTATAGACACACTCTATCTCACCACCCTGTGAGAAAATAATCGAAGAGGCAGAGCGGACAAATCGTCGCAACGGACATGAAAATGCCGGCTTCCTGTCTAAAGAGGCAGCCTTTTCGCCTCTGCAAACAATAAAGGCCCTCCCGCCTTCCCATGCACTATGGGACCAACTCGCCGCCGACCTCCCTCGTCTGGTCCAAACCCAGACTGTCCGAGAGACTGTAACCAAGATGCCACTGCTTGACGCGTCCACCAAAACATTACCCGACATTTACCTCCAGCGGGCCGCCACCATCCTAGGAATGACAGCGCACGTGTTTGTCCGCATGGAAGGAAGCGAGCCTCTCACATTGAAATACGACAGCCATAGCGATATACTGCCGCCAACGCTTGAGATCCCGTGGACGGTACTGTGCAGACGTCTTGGGCGACCAGCACCGGCTCTCACCTACGTGGACGGGGTGGTATCGAATTTCACATCAACCAGCTTGTCGCACAGTGGGGTGGCGCTCGATAACTTGGAGTTGCTCGTTCCAACCGTCGGCACGAAGGAAGAGCACACGTTCGTCGGTATAATGATTGAAATAAACGCCAAGACGATACCAATTCTCCATCAGGTCATAGAGGCGCAAAGATCCGTCTTAGCGAAAGATTCCTTCTCGCTCAAAGACGCAATACGAAGGCTTCACGCACTCTTAAGACAAATCACCGAGACTCTGGATAAGCTCCATGCGAGCCGAGCACACAAGTCCCATATCGATCCCGTGCTATGGACCCTCACCGTAGGGAATTTGGGAATCCCGTGGGTGAAAGGCATGGTTGGGGCGGCAGGAACAGCGCACCCATTGTTTCACATGATGGATGAATTTACCGGACGATTTGAATATAACACTGGTATCGGCCAAGAAGCGCAAATCGTCCGAGCTACGTATCCTATCCATTGGCGACAGTTTCTCGAGGCTATGAAGGAAGTGTCCGTCACAGAATACATTGCTCTCTCAAAGGATAGAGAGTTGACGTATCTCTGGCAAACCTTTACATCCTCGTACCACGGCAACGACGGTTTACTGGGATTCCACCGGCGAAAGGTGTTCGGGTTCCTTGCTGTCTCATTCAGGATTGGTCGAAGTACAACCATCAACGGTCTGGGTCGCAAGCGCAGGACCGAGCCCTGGCACGAGGTCGATCAGGAATTGGAAAAGGCACGTCTAGAACGCGGATGTCTCGACCCAGATGAACACATTCCGGATACCGTGCCCAGCTCAAATAAACTCTTCATGTCCCAGCTCCTAAAACATAACTCGGAAGAAACTGGTTATTGGTTCTCGGCCAAGGGGAGTGTATACGACGCGAGCGCATTCATGCAGAGCCATCCAGGAGGAGATACTGTGATTGCGTTGTGCAGTGGTCAAGACGTTACCGACAGCTTGAAGGCAGTCGGTCATTTGACGAATGCTTCGATCCGAAATAAAATGGAAAGCTATCGGATAGGGACGCTGGAAAAGCCGAAATTCGCCTCTTCACATGCGGAAGAGGTTTACATGGCCGCCGTTGATCTTGGTCAAAAGGCAGCCGAAATGGAAAACGTGCAGCGGAGGAATTTCCGGTTGTTGAATGGGAAACTTACCATCCTGGACGAACCGGAGACTCTCACGCCTAAGAAGGCACGACACTTGCTTGATGCGAAGAATAGGCTTCGAGATGAGCATGTGCCGGGTTTGGCGACGCTTTTGGATTCCCTACTCGATAGTATCGCCAAGTTTGATATGAAGCTTGATCTGAGTGCCGTTCGTGCGCAAACTGTCGGCCTTGCTATGCCAGAAACAGGCCTCGGCACGGCAACTCGTTTCTTGAACTATGAAATGGTACTAGACACGCTGCAGGAAGACTTGAGTCGGTTGACTGAAGTAAAAGAGCTTGCTGCAATGGTGCTTGGGACTTTCGAAAACCCTGGATTCACATATTCTGGGCAAAGTCGGCTTGAATCTATTGTGGACACATTAAGTAGAGTAGCAAGTCAATTGATAGTCCTTGGGGAATGAATTCTTGTCTATTGTTGCAGGATATAGAAGTGATGAACTTGACTGCGCTTTCATACTCTCTGTTTTTTTTTTCTTTTTTGCTAAGACTTTTGGCGAGATGAACATCATTTATCAGACAAATACCCTTTAATATATATATACATAAATATATTATTCCCTCTGTTTCCATTTCAATGGCAGAGATATACTATCCATTGGATGAATTACCTGCATTCGATTACACTTTTGGCTGAGAAGACCTCGGAGTGAGCCATTTCACATCAAGTGCCCGGGTGGTCTAGTGGTATGATTCGCGCTTAGGGTTCACCCAAAGCAATATTGCGCGAGGTCCCCGGTTCAATCCCGGGCTCGGGCCCATCTTTTTTTGTTTTTCCTGCTTTCTTTTTATATTATAATCGTGCTCCAAATGGAGCTACCTACGAATTTATTGTGTAGCAGTCCTGCCGGCAATTCGACTACAGGGAACTTGGATTCGGCTGTAGATGTATACCATCTTAGGTGCGCTGTTAGTCGTGATCTGAGACGGGAGTATAGACAGTTCACCTTGGTTATGCTTCCATCTATTATTTGAAGTGAAAGAACTATGTAGATTGGCGGTGTAATTGTGATGGCCCTTTTAAGAAGACTCAAGACCGCGAGCTTCCAAGGTTGGACTCGCGTATTGTTAACCGAAATCTTGAACAAGATTATAGTATGCCCCTTGAGGTAATAGTAACAACTTTTATGGGTCAATTCAAGCTACCGAGGTATGACTAGCACAGCTACCTAGGTAAATTTCACGTCTCTTAATATTCAGGCCATAGTAAAATCCGAAGAAATAAAGTGCATTATACTGATATCATTCTTCACGTAATTGACCTGGTGATTATCCCATACTCTATAGACAACCATGCTCGATCTGGTATTTGCGAGGGTCAAGGGTGGGCAATGCGAGAAAACAACCCGTGGATGTATGCCACGGATTCAAGGATGGGTGAGGAGAGAGAGGAAAGGTATGTACATCTCACGAATGCATGCTGGAAGACAACCACAAAAACTGCGCAGACGGGGACGGGAAGGGGGGAAAAGCAGCTGGAGGAGAAGTGGCCGATTGGAAGGTGAAAATAAAGGGGAGAAGAGACGTCAACGTAGACGGCGGGAGTTGCTTTGGGCGTGGCTCCCAGCCCCCGAATCAATGGTCTCCTACCACCGAGAGGAAGCTGTGCTCCTGGTAGAACAGAGGATATAGCGATGGAATCTAGAGAAAACATTGGATATAAGGGTTGTCAAGACCATCCGAGATGGCCCCGGAATCCCACAAGGTACGGTACCAGTGTTCCACTGCCGACGATGCACATGTTCTCTTCCAAATGTAACCAAGAGACGGATCACAACAGCCAGACTCAGTGGCACAACATGCTTCATGTATGTGTCAACAGTGATGATGGAAATGGTGACACCATCTTCCGATTAAATAAAAAAAGTGCAGATCCGCCGAACGCCGCCCAGAAAGGAAACCCCATGACCAACATAACATGCAGGCTGAAGCTGAAAACTCAAGGGCGAACCCAAGAGATGCACACAGCCGAATAAATAGACAAGGGGGGGAAGGAGACGCAGGAAGATGTGGCGAGCATTGAGCATTACGGCTTCAGCGTCAAGATCTATGGCGAGGCCCAGCCACCTGCCACATCTACCCATTCGTTGAGACAGCTGCCTTGCTTGCCCTCAACATCGACAATGTCAGTGTCGCAGCGGCATCGGCAACCCACACCGTTCTCCTTGACTGGGTCAGGGTTCGCCCAGTACTCGTCTTCCTCAATCCGTTTCTTCTCGTCATCGGTCGTCATCTCGAGGTAAGGAATACGGGCAAGTTGGCGGGCTGGAGCGTTGGCGGGACAATGCTGAATGGTAGTGTGGCGGTAGCCAAAGTCACGGAAGTAATGAATATCGCTAGGGGCGAGGAGAGCACCGGCAGCGAGGGAGTGAATAGGAGCATCACCCCACTAGTACAGTCAGTAAAGATCCCCTGGCAGAGTTCAAAGACAGAATATAACATACCCGCTCATTCCAAAATCCTCCACTTCTGTCCATCATAGTGAAGAAGTCTTCATACTCCTTGCTGCGGAACCAATCCAGACGGGCAATCTCGAAGTTGCTCCAGAAATGGCACATGTTGTAGCTCTCGCCTTCCATGGCCTCTGGGTCCACGTCCTTCAGGTTGTTGTCACCGGGGTCGGTCTGCAGGATTTCATCTGGCAGTTTGTCCTGCTTGTTCTCTTCGGGGGTTTCTGGTTGCGCTGGCTGCTCCAGGAACATCTCCCACAGACCCTTGGACTTGAGGTTGTTTTTGCGCTTGTAAGCAGCCGCATACCGGAAGATGTTGGGGACAGTCTCGCGAAGCTCTTTCACTGCAATTGTGAAGCCGTAGGTCTTGTTTGCCTCGGCCATCTTGAGGAATGGATCACTGAAGTAATAAGTCAGCAGATTGACCAGAAAAATATGCAACAGTGGGTATCTTACTAGGTGATGTCGCAGAAGTACTTGATCTCGGGCTCCAAACGCCAGTACCACTCGTACTTCATCAGAAGAGGGTGCTTGTAGAAGTGTCTATCGCAGAGTTAGCTTTATAATCCAAGTCTCCCAATCCGCTATTGAAGACTGACCCTGAGTAGAACCGACACATGTGGTGGTAGCTTTCCATTCCACCGTACATGATGGCAGCATCACCCTGCTTCCTGATGCCCTCTTTGGCAACCTCATGGTCAACCCAATCAGGGAATCCCCACATGGTGTTGTCAATCTTTCCAAATTCAACTTCCGCGCTGGTGTAGTTCTTGACCGTCGCTTTGAACTCCTCGTCGAAGTCGCCATCGTTGAGGAACACATAGGGGTAGTGCCACCACCGGTTGAAGTGTCTCTCAATGGACTTGAGCGATTGGATCACACCATCCAACTCTTTATTTCTAGCAAGGACGACGAAGGCGGCATTGGCGCGGGGAGCCTTTGCAATTTCTTCGGGCTCAATAGGCATACAGCCCGTAGCAAAGACTTTATCATGTTTTTCGCTGATTTTTCTGTAAAACGCGGAATGTTAGCTATTGCACACACGACCACCGATTGACATGGGAGTACGAACCGGATAGAAGGCGGAGTGCCCGCTGGAATTAGGATACCCCCGGGAGAGGTAGGATGTCGGACAAAGAGGAGCAGAATAAACACAATTACAAGACATGGAAATAGTAAAACAAGACCCAGGGGTATAGAAATAGATGAGTTGCCCTTTAGGCGAATCCTCCGTCGGAAAAAGGCGAATCTAGGATGGAGGCGGCCTTTCTCGTTTGGAGCATCTTCCAACGGCAGACTCGGCGCACTAGGCAGCCTTTTCGTGATGCGTTGTATGAAGCTCATGGGTGCGATTGTCGTGAGACCACACAAAGAACGGTAGAGGTCAGCTGTCAGGCTGAAGCGACAGCACGGGGCCGTTAGGGAGATAGCGGAGAAATTGTGTCGGGGGTGTGATCAGAAGAGAATTGCTTCTCGAACGGGAAGAAAGGAGGTGAGCACACGATCAAACCGAATTCGGACCGTATGGGATCACGGGAAGATCCGAAAGTCGAATGATCTTTGAGAAGTGAAAAAGAAAACAGCAAAACGAGTGGCCGGAGGAATGCCTCCTTTTGTCCCCCAACTTTCTCAGTCCCGTAGATAGATGAGTGCGTCGGGAGAAACGCAAGCAACTGTGAACAGCAAGGCACACAGAGAGATCGGGGACATCAAAACAGGATGAGGGTGATGAGGGAAGAGAGAAGAATGGGGGATTGGAAGATGGGATGGGTTCCAAGAGGTTGCTTGCGCCTCCCTGGTCTTGGCGAAGTCCGGTGGCCTCTCAGTTGTCACCCTGAGACGGTTATTTTACCCCTGGGTTACTGTGGAGTGGCGCTATAACCAGTATTGTATGGTATTTTAATTGTAATCTTTACTTTTTGTGCGATTGTACTCCGTACTGCTTCTCTGCTTTCTAATTGCCTCTTGTTCTTAACGTATTCCCTTCGAGGTTTACGTGGACTTGATGTTCTCTTCCATCCCCGGGTCTCCTTTGTTCTTTCATAATCTGATTGGCTTTCCGAGGTCTCATGGCATGGTCTAGCGGTGATTCTAAACGGTAGTACTAGTAAGTACCACTTGTACTCCATACTAGCCCCAAACGAAGAAAGCTTCTGTATGCTTCTGTGATCATTTTGATCCCGTCTGCTGGGACTATGCTTGTGCTCGTGTACTTTGTACTTTGTACAAACTCTTGTACCTAGTTAAAAAAAAAAGATATCTCATGATACTCTATACAGTTTATTGTACATAGCCCACCTGATCCACCATCGGCCCTATGGGGCAATGACACATAAATATGCGCGATGGGCAATGTCTACGGCCATATGTTGTAGATACTTGGGTTTTCTGGAATGTATCAGTTGGTCAAAATCTTTTCACATCATTCCAAGATTGATCCAGATAACTTCAAAACTCAGAACCCTCCTGAGACGACTTGTCTCACCTGGTCCTATATACGGAGTAGCCAATACAATCTGTATATTGTAGAATTAGCGCATGACGATCGAGGGTCCAAACTTTTTCAGGCCGTTAGGCCCGAAAGTAGTGTCTGTAATAATTTTTGAGGGCGGCTGACCCTGTCATCCGTTCGCGTTCAGCCTCTTATGTGTCTATTATTGCGTCGCTTAAGTACCTAGTACATGACTTTTCATGCTGGCAAGGGCGTGAATGCAGGTACTATATACATCGGATATGTACCATCCTCCGTTCAGGATGCCTATCTCGTAAGATCTACATGTATTGTAAAATACGGTTATTGTATGTAATTCTGTTTTCAATCTAAATCAAATTGCAAATTTAATTATCCTCCTATGGGTCTCCAAGGTCTGGACCCTGGGACGGGTTAATTTTCATATTGAACACATTGCTACTTATATTGTACTCGGTATCTATGTTGTATGTTGTATACGAGTAGTCTGTTATTTTCATCTTTCTCCTATATCACTTCCGAGTCATATCTCACCTAAATCCAGGGTACCGCGTACCTACTTATGTATATACAGAGTACATATGTAGTAGTACCTACATAGGACTACATATACATGGTTTTATTATTGCTCGTGTGCATGGTTACTCGAAGGAAACAGATTTCCAGAATATATATATACTTAGTTAAGCACAGTATATGGATCTTTGCATATCAAAGTCATATAATTTCCCATGCAGCACTTTGTAGATCCTAACTTGTTGAGAAGCCAAAGGGTCAAAAGGCTTGGTTCCGGCCAAGATCATCCGTCATCCCATCATCACACTCCCGCATGATAACTATATGGAGTTATCACCGTGGGGTTCCCCCTTATTTTTCATTTCTTCCCTTCTACCATACCTCATAATGAATACGACGAGGCCCTCAATTTCTGAGGGCAAAACCCCCATGATCAAAGTCCCCGAATCTGGCCCGTCTCATTTCCGAGGGCCTCGCAACAGTGGAAATTTCGATCCCTTTTCGCCAGTCAACGAGAATGGAAGCTTCGAATTCGATCGAGTCTTGAAGACAGGGAGAGTCTATCGCCGAGTCAAACACAAGCATGTCTTTCGCGCCTCATGGAAACCAGCCTACCTCGTCCTCCGACCGAACCTCCTTTCCGTATACAAGGACGAGGAAACCACCCGCCTCCGAGTCTCCATTTCCCTGTCTGAAGTGACCGCCGTCGCGCCCGTCAAGTCTCCGCGATCAACCCGGCGCCATGTTTTCGGTGTCTTTACCCCATCCACGAATTACCGCTTCGAAGCCCTGAGCGAACGCGATGCTGAGGACTGGATCGATCGTATTCGCGCCGAGACCCCAGGTGACGAGGACGAGCAAGCTTTTCTGGCTTTGACCAGGAAGCGCGAACCCCCGGCCATCCACAAACAGCTCGTTGACGAGACAACCGATCACTCCGAGTTAGATCACACTGGTCGCGCCAGCTCTCCCGAACCGCGCCATCCCCTGTCCCCACGCAGCAAAAACACCCAGAGACTCCCTTACATCCAAGATTACTCCGGCAACGAAATGACTTCATATTCAGAGTTCTCCGATGGCCCTGCGCCAGCACGCAACACTCACCTACGATCTATGCCCTCTATCCATTCACTGTCCGTCTCAGCTCCTGAGGATAAACTAGCACGGCCGTCAGCATCTCTACCCCGAGACACCGCCAAACAAACTGATCTGGGCATCCTGCGTGACCCGGAGCGGGTCATCTGTCAGGGGTACCTGCAGGGGCTGCGCATCCAGGGGACCGTGCGCCAGTGGAAACGGCTCTGGACTGTGCTTCGGCCAAAGAGTCTAGCCTTCTACAAGGATGAAGCGGAGTACGCTGCCATCAAGATCATCCCCATGTCTCAAGTATTTGATGCCGCAGAAGTGGACCCTTTGTCGAGGTCAAAGACGTTCTGTATGCAGATCATCGCCGAAGAAAAGACCTATCGACTTTGCGCTCCAGATGAAGAGTCCCTCGCGCGCTGGCTGGGATCACTAAAAAGCATTCTCGCTGCGCGCAGGAGATTGGATCCTGGTCTGGGCACTTCTGTATAACGCCCCTCGCTCTACGGAGTAGAGCCTGTTTTATTACTCTACCTATTCCCATTCCCTTCACTTCATTTTCCCTACATCACAGCGACCCTTTTTCTTCATATCATATCTTTTCTTTTCTTTCAATATACCCAGGTTGGTGATCTCGGTTTGACTACTCATCTCGAGCTTCGGAGTCTTCAAGGAACGGATTGGCGTTAGTACCTTCGTGCACATTCAGTGGGCGAAGGGGAGTTCTTTTCATTAAGCTATTCAGCTTTTTTTTTCTACCTTTCATTTCTCTAACACCCTTGTCTCTTAATTTCATTCATCGAGGCGATGCATTCTCATTTTGCATGCCTCTCACCGTCGAGTCTGACATTCTCCCTTGTCTGTTGTCTGTCTTATTCCATTTCAGTGTCTATATTGAGCACCTATTATGTATCACATTACTTCAGGCCGTAGTCCCCTAGTGCATAATATATAATATGGATGAGAAACTCTCCAAATTTCCTATGGGAAAGACCTATACCGTTCTCTCGTATATGTCTGTGCGCATGGTATAGTTTAATTCGACGAAGCGCTGTCACCGTAGCTTGGTTCATACAATGGCTCGAGTACATATGCAATGCATGATGCCAACGAATGAAGACTAGCGCAGTGGCGCAACCTCTCGTGAGAAGCTTGGTGGGTGCTCTAATAATAGGTTACGATACCACCCGTAAGCGCCCAGGGAGACATTCATGCAAGATTATGTAGTTGGGATAGGTTATGGGATCCCACTGGAGATAATCAGCCTAAGGTAATGTTTACGATTGACCACAACTATGCCATGGAATGTGCTAGAAGGATGGAGTCGCACATCAGAGACGAGCAGCAGCTGGAGGTCGGCAGGTTAAGCTTTGAGGAGTCAAAAAAGGCTATCCAGCAAGCGGAGATTGGGATCAAAGAAGGAAAGCGAATGAAGATGCGTGAGTGCTATCCAAACCATACACGGATACTCCCCGGATCCAAGTACTAACCTTGCATTGTCTTTAGTTACTATAATTGCTTTTGTTTTCTTGCCTGCCTCGTTGTCAACCTCCGCTTTTGGCATGAACCTACGAGAGCTCAACAACCCGCCAATCTGGGTATTCGTGACCACAGCAGTCATGATATGTGCAGTGTCATTCTTGCTCTGGTTCATAATATACCAGTTCAACCTCGCCATTCATGCTCCACGCTCGCGGGGGACAATGGGCAAAGGACGACCGCTCTATAAAAGATTATTTTGTTTGTTTTGGCTTCTCTGCCACGGTCATATCCGCTCCGGTATGGCCATTTCGTTGCTATCAGGTGGTAGGATCGGGTTTCAACCAGTATGTCAAAATCAAGACTGCAAGGCGAGATTGATTCACAATCGGCTGGGCTTGGATCCTGCTGAAACACACGACGCAAATCGGCCCTGGGCCTATGTCATGTATCATATGCTTGTGCATTCGGGAGATGCCGGGCCTTTCAGTGGTGTCATCTTAAACTATAGGAATGTAGGATGATAGCTAATACAGTGACTTTTGAAATCAAAGTCTCAAACGTGAGAGATGTGATGTTCACAGAAATAGTGAACCAATGTATGTGGATATATATACCAAACATTGAAGTTACTGTGAAGGATACCACAATTCAAGTTTGGATTTGTAATTATTCTGGATGTTTAGTCAAACAGCGCGTATATATCTACCTAGGTATCCGTAGATGGCCCTAAGGCGTGACTATATATCACAAAGCTTGTCATGGGCAAACCAAGCTTTTAGCCGGCCTTGGCAGAAACAACTCAATCTCAAATACGAGAGATCATATTTGTGTTTGCGGAGAGGTCGACCGAAATGCATGCGCGGAAGTAGAGCTAATGAGAATGTCGTTGAATGAGTCTATACTCTATATTAGAGGTACTAGCCCTTTAGCTAGCGAAGGGTAGCTGGGGAAGCTACCGAAATTGTTATGTGAACAAGCTACAATGTGTAGCGATAATTACAAAACCTTCCCAAGGTCAAACTAACGCATCTCCTCTTCTTCAACAGGAATGCTGTTATACTCGCCAGAGAAGGACCTGCCTGCTCCATCAGTAGTGGCGAGATCGTCCTGAGGCTTGCTCTCGTGTTGCACAACCAAGAACGACAAGAACACGATAGCTGCTCCAACCCAGTACAGAGGGCTGGAGTATTGTGATTGAAGGACCATCTGGCCAATTAAGGACAGCGGGATGGTCATACTCAGCCCGACAGTCACGATAAGAGGTGTGGTAAGAAGCATAGCGTAAGCCCAAGCAATGTCAGAGACAAATGATGCGAACGCGTTACTCTGATGGGCGTGAGGTTAGTCAAATAATAAACAAAAGAGGGCTCAGAGTCATACCAGAATGATTGACCACACTCGCGACGTTTCGGGCATAGAGAAGGGCTCCATTCCAGTCCAGTGCATAATGAAGAAACCGGGCCACAGGAAGATAATGTTGAAAAATCCAACCAGTCCAAAGAACAGGGGCATGTTTACCCGGGATTCGTCACCAACTTGCTTCTTCATCACGACGGTGTAAAGACCGTACAGGATGGCGCTGAATGCCGCCATGGCATCGCCAAGAGCAATCTCCCCCGAGGATTTGTGTGGGAATGAACCCTCACTACTATCTGCACCCTCGCCTGCGTCTGGCTTAGAGAGATCTACGCGCGAAATCAGGATAATGCCAATCAGAGAAGCCATGACACCCATGAATTTGCGCATGGTGAATTTCTCAACACGGAAAAGGGCGCCGAAGACCATGGTCCATACACCTAGAAGAGTGAGGGTGAGTATACTGGATTTTGAACATATCTAAATAGGAGAGGGAATCCTTACCACTGGTGGAAGTCAAAATGGTTGTGCTTCCAACTGTGGTGAATTGGAGGCACCCCATGGCGAAGTAATTTGCCTATCCAAAGAAACTTCGGTTAGTTCACTTCCAACATACAATTTACCACATCTGGTGTACGACATACAGTAAACTATGATAGGTTAGCCAGTCGATCATATATCCAATCCTCAAGATTGTATGCTTACCCAGAGAAGACAAAACTGAATACTGAGTTTAGCTGTTGCTTTGAGACCTAGCTTTCTGTCTGTAGCATCCTGTCGCTCCCGTGAGAATGGCCCACCCTCTTCATCGGAGCCGCTGCGCAGCATGCTCTCCTCTTCGGCCTTGGGGTCATGCGAATCTAAATGATTCAAGAAGCTCCTTAGCGAAGTAATCTGAGAGAGTTTCCCGTTGCGCCAAAGACCCCATGTGCGACGAGCGACAATAAAAAGGAGGGGCATCATAAACATGGAGGTATTCGTATAAGTTACGAAGAAAGGTTTCGGGTAGGTTCTGTCGGCGAAGATGGTCTAGATAGCATTCGACGTGTAATTAGCCAAATGTTTGCAACAATATATATGTTTTGCGGTATGAGTTTTCAGGAAAAGGGCACGCATACACTTCCAAGGAAATTCGACGTTGTCCATAGCACAACCACCACCAGGAGTAGTATGATTCCTAATGTTCGCCGCCCTATTCCCAGTGGCATCATGCCGGGTCGCTCGGTTGTGGCCGAGCTCATGGTGTTATAGTTGTTTGTGAGAGGAGGTAAATCCGCGCGACTCATCGAGGTGTACTCCGTAATACTGCCCAGGTGGTCAGGAACCTCGTGTCGCCGATGTCGCAATCGCTACGTTTGCAGCCGGGGATGCCGAGTTGGACGGGGTATCAGTCGGACTGCTGTCATCTGAAACGCAACGAGCGAAAATCTCCAGTGCAGGAGTAAACGAGTGTCACGAGACTTCCTGCCTAAAGATATGAAGAGAACACGGGGGCTATGCCAAGCATTCGCGAGATAAGGGTCCGGGTGGGGAGAAATGTAGTCGCCGATATTAATGGATTGCGCTCTTATTTACTCCGTACATTTATGGTAGTAATTACCATGAGACACATCTGATAAGTAAACATGTCAGGAGTAAAGTGCCCTGGTGATGACGGGTCATCTGATGGTACTGGATTTACTTCGATAAAATATGCGCCATCAACTGCCTATTACGGAAAAATGAAGGTATTGCATTAAGCCCAACAAAGACATTGTTTGCATAAAAAACCGAGAAAGGCTTGAGTAAGATGTTGCTCTCTCAGGCGAATTCCAAAATTGAAACGAAGACATCTACAAGACACCGGGGGAATGGCAAGGTCATCCAAAGTAAAACCCCGTGGTCTTCTCTACAGACTCAGCACCGGAGACCAACCAGATAGTAGTAGGAAAAAGGAAAAACAAAGGAAAAAGGTCGCTGGAACTTCATGGGAATCGGGAAGGGTATATCAACAGGCACATCCATCACGGTCATTGTCTAGATGGATGTTGATTGGATCGCTGAATTCACCACTGAATTCCTCGGCCTCTTCCTGAGCAAGCGCACTCCGTGCGATAACTAAATAGTGATTAGAAACTTTGGAAGAGAACAGTTTTGGGGCAAAGCAGCTAGGCGGTGGAATTTAACTCACCTTCAAACGCCTGCTCGACGTTGACAGCTTCCTTGGCGCTGGTCTCGAAGTAGGGAATGTTACCCTTCGACTGACAGAAAGTCATGGCCCTTTTTGAGGAGATCATACGCTTGTTCTCCTCTACATCGATCTTGTTACCGATGACAACCTGCACATGACCATCAGCACGGACCAACATAGCATTTTTGCCTGCTGCTGCGGCGCATAGATAAGGAAAAGGAATGCGGGAACGCCACTTACGAATGGGAAGCTCTCTGGGTCTCTCGGGCTTGCCTGGATCAAGAACTCATCCCGCCAGCTGTCGAGAGCCTCGAAACTCTTGGAGTTGTTCACATCGTAGACTAGGACGCAGCAGTCGGCTCCACGGTAGAAGGCGACTCCCAAAGACTGGAACCGTTCTTGGCCTGCAGTGTCCCAGATCTGACACCTTTGAGTCAGTTACTGCCCCTCATCACGATTGTGCTAGGGTCATCAGCTCCTTACCTGCATTGTCACCAGTCGGTCGTCGACTAGAACTTCCTTTGTAAGGAAATCGGCTCCGATAGTGGCCTTGTAGCTTCCACTGAACTTCTTATTGACCTATCCATCTCAAAAAGGTGCGAGTTAGCGGTCATAGGTATTCGTGAACGATGGCGCTACGGCAGCAGAGCGCTGGTTGGGGGCGAGGTTGAACGGACATATTGGTTCATCAGACTTGTTTTTCCCACACCACTGTCACCAAGGATGATAACCTAAGATTCCAAAAAGGCTGAAGTCAGCAAAGGCCCACTTTTTGAAGGTTTCAGAGCTCATCACAAGGAGCAGGTGCGGAGATTGTACCTTGAGGAGGACCTTCTTCCTTGACGCCATGGTTGGGAATTAGTCAAGTGACCGAGTGTAAATGCGCGAGGGATAAACAAAAAATTCACTATTAAGCAAAGACCTATAATCAGTCTTCGCTAAGCCTTTCTAGAACAGATAAAGACAAGTTAGTTTGAGAGTTGGGGTCGGGTTGCAGCCGGGTTCGATGATGCATGAGGAGAGGGCGGTGGAGCGGGCGGTGGGCAATTGATAACGATTAGCACTGCATCTCGTTCCCGGAGCGGCAACCAACTCCACTTCATCCCATTCAGGTACATCCCCATTTGCTTGGGAAGGCTTATGGCCCATTGGAGGGAGGAGTACTTGGCTGCCCTGACAGTCCGAGATCAACGAGAGAAAGCAAATACTAATCTGTATGATGCCTGTGAGTCTATCATCGATGCTCTTCGTTGAGCGATTGCGACTGACATCATTCACCAAATCTAGATGCCCAGCTTGCAGATCGTACCAGCAAACTAGCAACAGCAGCAAAATGCGCCAGTCCTGCAACAGCACAAGGTGAAGCTCAACCCACTATTCCATCTCCGATAGTGGCAGCGCCCAGAAAGCAACGATCGGCTGAGCCAGATTCTACCCCGACCGATCTTCTCAATGCCACCCGTGCAGACTTGTCCGAGGCACAGCGATCTCGCTCAGAACTACAAGATCGCTTGAATCGAGTGAATGCGGAAGTGGAAACACTTCGCAAGAAGAGTCTACAAGAGGGCCGACGAATCAACAACTTGGAAAGCGAGAGGGCCCATCTAAAGCTACGACTGAAAGACAGAGATGCGGAGCTGAAAGGGAAGGCCAAGCTGCTAGAGGTAGGCTATTTTGATATTTACATAGGCTTTCCAATCACGCAGGGGTGGGTGAGGGAAAGTGGCTAACATGAATTATCTGCATTTCCGCAGGATTTCCAAGATGAACTGGCAACACTAAATCTTCAGTTGAATATGGCGGAAGAACGATCAACACGACTAAAGAATGAGAACCAAGACCTGGTTGATCGTTGGATGGCCAGGATGGGTCAAGAAGCCGAGGCTATGAACGATGCATCGAAATATTCCTAACTAGTCGCAATACACGAGCAGGTGACAGGGCCAGGTTGCTAGAAGGGATTGGAGCATAGCTTCTGTGACATTTAGATCTTGAATCGTGATACTACGTATGTAGTTAGCCACTTAGATGAAATGTGAAAGCGCTAAATACATGATCATGTTTCCAATCAAGGATTGCTGATTCTTCCACTAAGTTCCGGTTGCAGTGCTGTCAACGGGGTTTCCAATATGCTCGTGCACTCGTTCCTTCAGTAGGGCCCCGATAGTCATATCGGACTTGGTGTCTTCTAAACCACAAGCAACCGGCTCATATGGAAGAAGAACCAATCCCGACAATGGAAGCGGTATGGATTCAGTTGTGAATATCCTGGACTTGATGTTCTCGCTGGTAAAGATAGCATGAAGTGCAGATGTCCGCACCGACAGCGGGACCGAATATTGGCCTCTTGCAGTTATGATACACCTAAAACATAATGCTATGAAAAAAAAAAGAATGATGAAATCTGAAATTTGTAGAATTGGTGGAATTGTACGATAGTAAGCAGAAAGTCATCATTTATACTTCGCCATGACCCTCATAGATCAGACATATGCAAAACCGGATTTGATTTCCGCAGAGGCATGGTCAACCCTAGCTGGTCCACGGGCGTGATAATTGCTGGCATGCCCAATGGAATGTTTATACCCTGTAGTTCCGATCCTATATTGAGCAATGGCAAGGCTGAAGCTCCGCACCCTAAGGGCCTGATCTTGAAGAAACCATTCGTTTTGTACAGGTCAGATTGTTAAAAAAATGGTATCATACAAAAATTCATGGGAAAGTATATCCAAGAATGGACAATGTAATGTACAAAAGTGCCAAAAACGAAAAAAAAGTCTATGTGCCATGTCCATGCCAAGATACCAAGCCAAGTAGCCATTCAAGACTATGACATATTATCAATGAAGGCTCTCAGCCGAGAGCTGTCTTTAGTGGCAATGAAATATGTACCGCCAACGTCGGTCCAGCTCACGTTGTTCGACCAGTAATTCTTCTGCTGGACCTTGAGGAGATTGATCGGAGAGTTCAGGTTGCGAGATTGGATTTTGTGACCAGCTGGAACAAAAGACTTGAGTGAGACAATTTTGCAGCCTTCTTTCATATCCAAAAAGTGGTTGATCAGCTCATTGTTCAGTTGCGGGGTGAAAGCCTGGTTGTTGATGAGCACCACATCAGCCCGTTTCAAGACATTGGTAATACTCTCCTGCTCAAGAAAGTCGCCTCGGACAAGATGAGTTTTGCCTGGTGCAATCCCCCACAGCCGGCATCGGGCCTTGAACTCGGATTGCTGCAAATCTGCCAAATCACATGCGTTTGACATCATCTCGCAACCCCAACTCTCACAGCCAACCTCGAGTGCCGCCTGAAGAACGACATTACCTACGCCCGAGCCAAGATCGACAAAGACCTGTCCCGATTTGAGCTTGGTTTCTTTGAAGATTGTGCTGATAAAGCGAGGGAGAAGTTCTCCGTAGACGTTGTCCGTGCCATTCTCGTATTGCCGGAGGGACTCCACTTGAGGGGATACCGTGCGCGAGTAAATTTGAGTGAGAATCCTTTCCACCCAAGGTAAACCAATACGCTGTGTCGCATCCAAATGCTTCCCAAGACTTCCGTTGCTGCTTAACCGCTGGATAGCCTTATTGTAATCGTCGACGGCTTCCCGAAATTGAGTCTCGGATGTCACAGCCAGGGCCCGGCGTAATCGGCGCTTGATCCCGGTCGTCTCGTTGTTGAATTGATCCACCTCCTCACTAGGGATGTAATTATCGGAGACTGTTTCGATTACCTGAACAATGTCGTCGATAGGTCGGAATTCGTCATTTTCGCGTGGAACCACAGAGTCATACCTGACCGAGCAATAAATTAGCACATCTGCAACCACAAATCAATAGGCTAATCAAACATACCTCTCCTGCTGCGAGGCACTGGGATATTGCAGGAGAATCTCTTTGGGCTTGCCCTCGGCACCGAAGGCGGGCTTGAACTTGCCGGCCTTCGGGCCCGACGTTATATCCGCGGCATGTATCATTTTAAACGGGCGAGATCCTTCTTCCGAAAACGCCTTCACCGAGCGGAGACGCCGCTCCGGGTCCGGTTCAGCGCTGGCGCTGGTCCTCGCGCGTTTGTGCACTTCAAAGGAGGCCTCACTATCGCTCGCGTCATCATCGCTCGAGAGTCGTTGTTCGGGTGTCGGCCTTTTTCGAATGCGCGACGGAGTACTCAGTCGTTTTGCCGAGCGTGCTTCCAGGTCACTGGAGACCGATCGAGATTTCAAGGTCTGCGCCTTCCGGTTCCGCTCCGTCGAGGACTGGACTCGAGGTGACCGAGTCTCCGAGGTTTGTGTGACCGATCGTGTAGGAGCTGCAGGTCGAGTCTGCACAACCTTGCGAATTTGCGCCTTCTTTGGCTGTAGAGAGAAGGCCCCGGCCCTCCTTTTTGAAGGTGGTCGAAAAAGCCCATATGGATAGGTACAGATATAAACAAACTAATGCAGAAAGGAAATAATCTATGCAAAGTATGCAATAAAAACCAGTCAAAGAATATAAGAAGTATAATGCGAGGTGTAAGATGTGGGAGAAGAAAAGAAAAGAGAAGGGCTTATCGATTAAGGCGCCACTCGGGGAAACCACGCGATCCCGCGTTCCTTGGCATTTCTTGGCGCTTTTGTCTATAGCCTCATGTCTTCTATAGGTGTCTATATGGATCTACATGTTGTTAAATTTAACATCATCAAACTGCGAACTTTTGGATTTTTGAAATAGAATCCGAGACTGTATTTATGGAAGAATGAACCCTGGGGTATCATAATTATTTTTGCTATGTAAATTGACTGATTCAAACATTTCAACTATGAACACTCTCTATTTCTTGGACTTCTTCTTTGCCAGTCTCTTCTCCGCACGAACATCCTTCTTCATACGAGCATCGACAATCTTGTACTTGCCCTTGACACCCTTAGGACGGCCAGAGATACCACGGTTGGGTCCCTTGGCAACCACAAGCTTGACTTCCTGCTTGGGCTTCTTCTTGGTTGCCCTGCTCATCAATCTCGCAATAGCACCGGCCTTGTCCCGCTCGCTGAGAGCATCGTCCTCTGCCAGAAGCGCTGATTTCTTGCGCAGTTTCTCCAATCTTTGAGCCGCCTTGTACTTCTTGCGTCCCTGGGCCTCCATCACCTTCTTGATCGGGCGTGCATTGATGGCACGCATCTTTTCTCTGATAGCAGCCGCGGCAGCCTTGGTGACGGGCCGGACAGGCTTGCTGTGCTTGCCCTCATCGTCAAGGAACCATTCGGGAAGGCCATCCACGTCGCGGAAGGCAAATCGGTTGAAGCCGTCGTCAACAATGTCGGTCGACTTCTTTTCTCCAGTAGCCATCGACTGCGCAAGGGCCATGGCTTCTGCGGTAATGATGTCGATGTCTGTAGGGGAGGAACAAATGTTAGCCAGAACGTCATTCATGTTTGGCATCAATTGCAACTTACCCAGCTGGCCATTCGCTTTTAGTGGATCTTTTCCTTCTGCCTCTGCCTCGCTCTCATCGGACTCGTCGACCCAGTCGGAGTTCTTCTTTTCGTTCTTCTTTTCGTTCTTCTTTGCGTCCTTATTGTTCTTTTTCTTGGGGGCAGGAGTCTCCTCCTCTTCCTCCTCATCTTCATCCATCGCAAAGATGTTGTCACTTTCTTCCTCTTCTTCCTCCGCCTCCTCTTCCTTTGCCTCTTCTTCTTCCTCCTCGCCCTCCTCTAGCCCTTGGAAGACATCTTGATCGAAGAACAAGGAGGCATTGTTTGAAAGCTTCTTAGCCTGAAGTACTTGATCTGTAGTGGCAGTTTCATCATCATCCTCCTCTTCCTCATCACTGCTGCCTTTCTCCCTGTCAGAAAAGCCTTCCCACTCGTCAACCTCGTATTGCTTGCGTGTCTTCTTAGCACGTAATTTCGAGTCTTTGTCCTCCATGCGGCCAGTGTACTGCTCGTACATGTTGTCGAGCTCCCTTTCGAGGCGGTCCTCCTCGTCGTCGCTCTCTTCGGTTTCGGACTCATCTTCATTTTCACTTTCGCTCTCGGCGGGAAGATCACGAGCATTGACAACCGCATCTCTCTTATTCTCTCGGTCAATGCGTCTCAGAGTGAATGTGGAGTCTTCGCCTCCCATACCAAGCTGCTCCATACCAATGTCTGTGGGGGTGGTCATGTTCATCTGCATTCGGATGATATCCTTGCGCTTCTTTTCATTCTCCTTGCGCCTTTCCTTCTTGCCCTTGGCGGTCTGCTGCTCTCTCATGCGGATCAAGTCTTCCTGGATCTGCAGTTCTTCGTCCATAGGGGCCACCTCGGCCACTTCCTCTGCCTCGCCTTCTTGGGTTGGCTTCTTTTTGATAACAAGCCCGAACTTCTCACGACACTTGATACGCCATCTGAGCAAGTTGCGGAACTCCTTTTTGCCAAGGACCTTGAGATCCTCACAGCAGGTTCGGATCTCATCTGTTGTTTCCTCCAAACGGTCCAGTGTAGACAACGCAAGATCCCCACCGGGTGGTTGCTGGAAGCTAAGTTTGTTGTAGGCACCCAAGATAGAGATGGGATCCACAGTGTTGATAAACTCCGTCACTGGGAGCTCCTTGTGCTGGGTGTAATCTCCCTCTTCGTAACCTTCACGCTTGCGCTTCTTTTTTTCCGGGTTGAAAACCTTCGCTTCGTAGTTGGGAGTGGGGGCCGTAAGTTCAGCAAAAACGTGCTTCGGGTCGAGGAACTTCGGGTCAATGCGCTTGGGGGCCTTGAATCCGCGGCAAACGACGAAAATTTCGGCAGAGACATTGCGGGACGAAGGAGGCTTGGTTGCCTCAACAGAATTGAACAGCTGCTTGAAAACCCACAGCAGGGGGTTGTAATCCTTGGACCGGAAGACCTTAGTAACGAAGGTTCCGCCTCGCCCAAGAAATCAGTAGCCAGTCTCAGGGACTCCAAAACTAGTTCTGCCTGGGAGAAAGCATCCTGAACCCACGCGGCACCAACGTTGGGGGCACCATCGTGAAGCACCACGTCTGCTTTCCAGTGCTTGATGTGAGATCGAATCGTTGCGCGACACTTGTCCGTTGTGATATCGCTCTGGAATGTAATGGCTCGAGGAATTGGTTTGATGGGGGACAGATCGACACCAATGATAAGACTTTGCGAGGGCATGTACTCTGCAGCGACTTGACACCATGACTGCTCAGCCGTTAGAAAAAGACTTTGAGATATTAGGTGCTATTTGAGGATACTTACACCAGGTGCAGCGCAAAGATCGATACAAACTCTGCTTTTCTCCAAGAATCCATACTTCTGGTTCAATTGGATCAACTTGAACGCGGCACGAGCTCTGTAACCCTTTTCTTTGGCAAGCCGATACCACTTATCCAAACGACCTTTTCCATGCTGCAAATAGTCAGTACATGAATCGACACAAAATGGGATAAATAAAACGTACCTTTTTCTGGATCGCCATTTTGAAGGGAAGCTGATCTTAATAGACCAGAAACTCCTTTTAAAATGACCGGGGAAATAGAACGAATGTATACTTTTTTCTTATGGAAGAGGATCCGAGAAAAAAAAAAGTTGCAATACTTATCGCTCACCGCCTTTGAGCGGGTTCTCCAGTTTGTTGCCTGAGGCCAAGGGTGCCAGACATGTGACGTGATATCACTCAGGCACCCCCCAGTCACTTGTGGCGCTTTGTAGATGCTTTGTCACTTGGGTTTGACCGTTTAACTATAGACCTGATGTTTTCACCCTACCTCCATGACGCCCAAGGGATCTCGCAAGAGAGTGAAGACCAGCCCCTCCCCCGTGGACTCGTCGGCTAAACTGAGCGGTGATGGCCGAGACCGCTCAGACTCCCAATCACGAGGGTACAATGCCGTAAGCTCTTTGTGACCAAAAATAACCAGTCCCTTTGTCATGTTTACTGATAATCTATCGTCCATATAGAGCTGGTACCCCGGGTCCTGGTCTTCCATTGCGAGAGTGTCCAAAGCAGCCCCAGTTACCGAGGTTGCCCGTGAGAGCATTTCAGCTGCCAAATCTGTAGCATCGAACGTCACAAACCCATCGGCTTCTCTTCTTGATACCCCAACAAAGAATCGACATCCTTCCATTCAACTTACGCGAAAAGCGGGCGCCTCGACGAGGTCTCTGCCCGCTGACGCTACCACCACCCGAGTCAACATTGCATCGGATGGTTCGGCTTCCACTACAGCTGTCGCCAATACCGAAGATTCCAGGGCTACAGAACCGGCAAAACCCGATAAAGAATCACCCGACGAAAGTGATACCAAGCCGCTAGAGGAGCCAGCCAAGGAACAGCAGGTCACCCCTAAGGCCGATCCTAGCATATTGCATGCGGGATCTGCAGAGGGCCCCGAACAATCTAGTGGTTGGCTCTCATGGATCTATAGACCGTTGACCACATCTGAAAGCCCTGCAAATGTCCCAGAATCTCCACAAGCAGTGGGAAATCCGTCGGCCGGAAACCAAATGGCAGAGCAGGGCGCTCAACCTACTGTGAAAGACTACACGGCACGGGAAGAAGAGCTGGGACCAGAACCAGAGCAGACCAAAGATACTGTTGAAGTTACCCCCATGTCTCAGAAGCGATCGTGGCTTCAGATGTGGTATGGTACAAATACACCGAGCAAGCAAGAAGGCCCACCATCTACAGAATCCACGATATCCCCTTCTGCGAATTACAATCCTGCCGAGCAACCTGGCACAAACATGGCACTGCGAGATCCCCCGGATGAACCAGCAGAACGAACTGGTGGATCCCAGACCCCAGTTGGGACTACGAGATCGTCTGGCTGGTCGTTCTGGTCCAAAGATCCAAACAAAGATGGACCTTCCAATAAACCGCAAGAAGGCGAAGCTATCGAGGCATCAATGCGACCGGAATCGCCATCAAAACATACAGCACTTGAACCAGATACAGATTCAAATATCAAGATAACCCAGAAAGGCAGTATCAAAGTCAGGCCCCCAAAGGATAACCGTCTCAAAGATGGATGTGGGCCCACTGAAGGCACTGCTACATCTATGCCGTCTGTTGAACCTCGACCGGCTGATATCACCGCCTCCAAACAATTACAGCAGATTCTCCCCAATCAAGTACTGCCGAAGTTTGAAGAAACATACGCGTTTGAGCAATCGCCCTCCATCTTGCAAAGCCTCGGTCGGCTCCTACATTATGGAAAAGGACCAGAGGTTAGGCACGTCAGCAGGGTCAGAGATCCGCTGCATGTGAGACGCGCTTTGGCTATTGGTGTTCATGGATACTTTCCCGCCCCTTTCATTCGAAGTGTTCTCGGACAGCCTACGGGCACATCCATCCGGTTCTCTAAAATGGCAGCAGATGCCATCCGGAAGTACACCGAGAGCCATGGCTACTCTTGCGATATTGAAAAGATCGCATTGGAAGGAGAAGGTCGCATTACAGAGCGAGTGGACCTCCTGTGGAAGCTGCTTCTGAATTGGATGGAGGAGATCCGCAAGGCTGATTTCGTTATGTTCGCGTGTCACAGTCAAGGTGTGCCAGTGACGATTATGCTAGTTGCAAAGTTGGTACAATTCGGCTGTCTTGACGGTAAACGAGTTGGCATCTGTGCTATGGCGGGTGTGAACCTCGGCCCCTTCCCAGATTATCGGTCTCGATGGATCAGTGGGTCGGCTGGAGAGCTGTTCGAGTTTGCACTACCTTTCAGCAAGGTCTCGAAAGAGTACGAAGCTGCTCTTAAATGTGCTCTCGAATTTGGTGTTCGCATCTCATACATCGGAAGTATCGACGACCAGCTCGTTTCACTGGAGGTAAGTACATATCTCGGTATTCAAGCACATATCAAATTGCTAACTCCCCCTCAGTCCTCCCTTTTCTCGCCCGTCGCCCACCCTTACGTCTACCGCGCTGTCTTCGTGGATGGCCGAGTCCACGCCCCAAGCTTGTAAGCAAACCGTCCACGCACCCCATCTCGACCGACAAAACTAATATCAAGTAGCCTTTCCCATCTAGTTGGCTTCACGCTCAAGCTTCGCAACCTTGGTATCTCAGACCATGGTCTAATCCGTGAACTAAGCACCCCGTTAGCAGGCAGTCTATACTCGGGGGAGGGACATTCTCGGCTGTACGACGATGAAGCCGTGTACTTGTAAGTAACAGTCATGAATCCCCACGCGCATCCAAAACTGACATCGTTTCCCCAGCATGGCCATAAAATTCGCACTCGAGACTTCTTCCGTCGCAGACTCCGCGCTCAGCGTCAAGCGAGCCAGCAGCTCCGTCACGCCAAACCCCTATATTCTCCCCTTCGCCATGCGTGGTCTGCTGGAAGAGGAATATGTGCGCCGGGAACTGCACGACGAGACTATGGAACTGCTCAGGCAATTCGACGACTGGAAACCTTCTAGCAAGGTTCTGAAAGATGTCAAGTTTAGGTTAGAAGGTATCCGGTCTAAGCTCTAGCTAGGCTTGTTAGTCAGGAATTAGAAAGTATTTGCTCATATGGAGATTTGATTTTAGCGGTTCGTTAGACATGAAAATACACGTTCTCCCGCGGTCTTTTTGAGCATTTGCTGCCAGACTGTACCTAAACACAACATGCATGTATAGCAACAGTGGATACATGCCTTCTCGCTTTTTATCCAATGGCGATAGAAGTTGTATTTCGTATACGTATAGACCTGTCTACCAACGAAGAGAATCATATTTGTATTATGTCTGAGATGTCAAAAACGCCGCGATCCCGTTGGGCACGGAACGAGAATAGTGGAGAATCCAGTCATGAAAAGAGAGGAGGGGATCATTATATTAATAGAAATGGCAAGCTTGAAAGTGCCATAGAAAAGAAGCTCAGAACGACCGAAGAACAAAATAACCCCGCCATCCCTCCCATCCCTTCCCCGGTTAAACAGATGCTAGTGGGAACGCCGTTTTATATGCACCTTCGATTTCATCTAAAACAATGTTAGCATGAGGATCGCATACCAGATGAAGATGAAACACCAACCTCTCATTCCATCCAAAGCCTCAAAAGCAAGCGAATAATTCGACACAGCCCCAATGATCCGCTCTAAACCCTGCCGTAGTTCCTCGATGAGCTGACCAGTTGAATCCCCGTCATGCTCATTTTCCGGTTCAGGCGCAAGCTGCTTCGCCACGCGCGCTTTGTAGTAGAGCATGAACATAGCATAGCTACTTTGCATCAGACAGCATGCGAAAGATGGCATGGTCCGGGGCAATGGACGACCTTGCTGCTGCTGGGGATCTAAGAGAGGCTGTGGGACGGGCAGGCTGTGGAACATGCGGGAGATGACGAGTGCGGCCTGAAGACAGATTTTCGCGGACTGCTGCGTGCTGTAGGGGAACCCGGCCGCAAATGGATATTGAGCGTACTGGGGCGCGTATGAGTTGATTTCGGGGTGGATGTCTGATGAGGTCGAGGAATCGGATGGGGTCATGTATTCTGTCGAGGCTGCTCGTTCGAAGGAGTTTAGGTTTGAGCAGGAGCAGGTGAGGTTGTGGATGCCGGCGGGTTTGGTGCTGACGGTTGTGGTGGCGCTGTTTGGATTTGCTGCTGTCAGGTCGCAATGTCTTTTGATGAAGAGGGGGATGTCCGAGAAGGCTCGGAAGCGATGCGTTTTTATTTGGGCGCTGGGGTCATTGTTAGTTGGATTTATGTATGAGAAGGCGAATGACTCGAACCTAGATAGTTTGATGCGGGATATTGCGCGTATGCTTTGGGCCGTGATGGATTCGTTGTGATCGCCGAAATCTGATGTCTGAGGCAGAAGGGGTAGTAGCTCCGCCTGCGCAATCACAGAATGGGTCCAGGCATCAAGTTGCTGCATTCGTTCGAACATATAGTACATCCCTGATTGGGACGAAACGCACTTGTTCAGATCTCCAATAAACTGGGTTGCTGATACAAGCACTTGTTGAGCTTGTATTAAAATAGCCCAACCCTGAAGACCAATTAGCGGGCGGAAGATAATGGAGAGACCTCCAAGTACATACCTCGGCATCTGATGCAAACGACGGATATGGAGTCGTGAATTGCGGGTCATTGATAACGATAGCAGGCATCTGGTTCTTCATTAGCTCCAGTCATGTTTGGAGACCTATATTACTCACTGTTGTGCTAACAATAGATCCTTGAATCACACAATAATACTAAACGACAATTAGATCAAGAACCAAGCAATGGAAGATGAGCGCTACGAACCGTCATCCACCAGGCTCTCCGTCGAGCTTCCGGAAATTCATCATTCTCTATTTGAGCATGGAGTGACTTGTCCAAAGCAATCGCAAGAGCCTGACCAGCGCGATACCGCATCTTGAGCAAGTTGCCGCGTTGGGAGTATTCATAAACTGAAAGCACCAAGAGAGCCAGGAGACTCTCATAGTCCACCGGAGTTTGCGAGTGGAATCTTTCCCGTCCGACAAAAGGTCGTGCGGCAGATAATGCCTGTCCGGGATCAGTAGAGGATATATCAAGATCGCACTCCGCCTCGATTGTTGAATGGGCAAGTTGGGCGAATGCATGCGCATATGTCCTGCGCTGGACTACAGACGCTGCAGACGATGGTTCAAGATCACTTGGATGCGGAATCAATGCCAAGACTGCAGATAGTGCAAGACTTAGAGGCGAACGTGGCCGATACATCATCATCGGTTCAGATGTGTTCGAGCATGGAACAGAGCAGTTCAATGGTCGATCACGACACGGTGGTGATGCCCGCGGTGGAAGAATAGGGAAATAGTTATGAATAAAGTCATAATAGGCATTCAATCTGGGGATATTAGACAATGTATGGAACTTATTACAAAGGGATACTTACATTTCGGGCTCGCTTCCATAGGTCCTTACGAAAGTTCGAGTGCTGTTCAAGGGCGGTGATGTCAAGGGCACTTGCATGTGCGACTGACTGCCATCGCCAGCGAAGAAGTTCTGGAACATGGAGGGAACTTCGGATTGGAAATCTAGATGTCTCAAACCTGCGCCAGGCAGAGAGAGCTCATCAATTTGGTTGAACATCCCCGGTGCTAAATTTTGGTTAGTATATGGCCCTTTTTTTTCGGACATGTCGATGACGTACCTTCTTCAAACTCCGGGGGTGAAGGGACAGCATTATACAGAGCTTCATCTCGCCTCGATTCCTGTTCTGGTGACAGGGAGGACTTTTCCTTCTTTTTGCGTGGCCCGCCTCGTTTGCTGGGCAAATAAGAACATTCTCTGTCTTTGCTAACACACTAAAAAGTGAATGTTAGTCCATAAAATGAACATTGACCAACTCAGATCCACGATATAAAAAAAAGGCCTCTGAAGCACTCAAAGGACAAAGAAAACATACATTCGCGCATGGCATCTGGCCGCCACATCGTGTTCTCGAAGCCCGACTGGAATAAGATTAGTGGAGAAGTTCCTCTTTTTTTTCCCACGGGATTTGCTTACCAGGGCAGACATGCTACCTTAACTGGCGGTTTAGCAAACTTCTTGCGAACCGATCGAGGTGCGGTCGAGGCTCCGTTATAATCGTGAAAAGTATCGGCCATGGCGACACTTAATATGGGGTCAAATAGTCTACAGAACCATTAATTTGAAACTGCACCTCCCGGGTGTCTTTGCAACCGAGTACTAGTTGAGATGGGGCATTCTGCGGCTTAATAAAGATGGTGTCCGAAAGGGCGCTGATATAGAGACTTCCGTGTGATTGCTTGATCTTCGCAAATCCCGAGCCGTGGATGTTCGGGATTTGCTTTTAGTAACTAAGCAAAGAGAGATCGAGTCCAACCCCAATTTGGAGAGATGGTGTCAGGATGCAGTGTATATGCAGGGTGATCGAGAGTGGAGATGTTTCTCATTTTATTTTATTTTTCCTCTCTCTGAATCCTGGGAATAAAGAGAGAAAGACAGAGGAAAGAGAATTTTGATATTCGAAGGATTTCGGGCGAACGTACCGGTACGAAAGATACTCGTATTAATTGGCTTTGGGGCGGGAGAGACATGTAATTTTACTCGTCTGAAACATTAGATCACGTGGGTCCACATGAATCAACGATGTACGGAATAGTATCCATATTTAAGTGAATTATATTATTTACAAAGGCTTAGAGATTCATGAAATCTGTCGAAATCTGTCGGTCGGGTTCGCGGCGACTCCTTCCAACCGAACAAGGAGGTTCGGACATAAGTCGGGCGCGATGATATCAAATACATCTCTAACGGGGTGGATCCTTTAAATCGCTAAACGACTCACGATATACGCTATCTAATTATGAAGTACTCCGTAGATGATTTGGAATACATTTCATGCTAGGCATTGTCGATCGATGTCAATCGACTATCCATAGGGATGTGCATAATCCGATTCGTCAGACTTAAGCATGGGCCTTGTCTTTCCCAAGGGGTAGCTTAATACCCGCAACATGCCGTACGCTATCCCAGACACTGTCCCGGACTTTTACAGGGAGCTTGTGTCCCTTCAAGAACTGGTCGATCAACCACATTCCGACCACGAATTCTTCGCGAATTAAGAGTCCGATATGTTGGTGATCGACTAGATCCCACACTTGCCCCAAGATTGCCTCTGGCAGGCGGCTGCGGGACCAAATTTCCCGGACCACCAGGTTGAGCACCATATCCGAGGCATTAGGTGGCCATGGTCCGGTTCCACTAGGATCAGGAGGGATGAGAAGCCCTTTATTAGAGGCCCAAACACCTTCGTAACGTTTGCGTTCCTTCTCGGTGACCTCGCGTCGCCAGCGCTTACGGTCCCCCTCCTTGTGTTTGTGGGGGTGTTTGTGCAGGGGGTTTCTGTGTTTTCGGTGGTCGGCCTCGGTGGGTTTCGGTATGCCGCGGAGTGTCATCGGCATGCTTTTTGGTGGACTTGGTGTCCTTGATAGATCGCTGTTGGATTGGTGCGCCATATGTAGAATGGATCGCGCCCCTCGCCGCTGCGGAGGAACTGGCGGAGGAGCTTTGATAGATGGGGATGCTCGTGCTGAAGCTAGGGATGAGGCGATAATAGCATTGGAGAGGCCTTCCTCGCTCATTCCAATAGAGTCATCTATCGTGCTAGAAGTACTCGTGTGTGACTGGCTTGATATAGATACCTCGCTCGGTGTCAAAGGTCGCAGGGGTGTTGCAACAACCCCATGGTTTCTGGTAGACCCTCGTGATGGCGGCACACGCGGCGGAAGCGTTGGTTTCAGCCCATCTGGCTGCGCAGAAGAATTCCGAGACTCTAAGGAGGGATGGAGGCTCGACCCTCGACTTTCCTGATCATCCAGAGTAGTCTTGGATTGTCGGGAGGGAGAGCGCCCGTAGATAGGCAAATCTGAGTCGGACTTCAAGCCATTTTCGTGCAGCACGCGATCTAAGGGACTATGTCTCCCTTGGATCGAGCCAGGAGAGGCTGATGCTGGTAGCCGTCGCTTTTCTGGCGAGGGTGGCACCCGGCTCGCACTTACTGCACCTGCGCCAAGTCTGGCAGTTGTGGACGGGGCACTGATGTCCCGCCCGGGGGACCTTGACGCAGCGAGCCGTGCCGCAATTTGGGAGGCTGAGGAGAGAGAGGCGGCTGAACTTCGTCCCCTCACACTTGGTGATGTACTGGCTGGAGGCGAAAGTGGTCTTGTCAATCTCCCGATCTTATCCTTTACAGAGCCCACTTCTGGGGCGTCGGATCCAGTCCTCTGATGATCCAAAGGATGATGTTCGCCTGTCATTGCAGCAGTTGCAGGCGATCTAGCCTTCACATTGGGTGAGGGATCCCTAGAGCGTTGGAATGCAAGCGTGGCGCCTTGTAAGGCGTCATTCCGGGCCACACCCAACCGCTGGTTCGCGGAAGCAGCCTCGCCATTCATGGAATCGATTCCCCGCAAAGTTCGGTGGGTATGCGGGTTATGCGACTTTGAAACCGGGGTTATACTAAGATAATCCAGATGATCAAGATGATCAGGATGATCAGGATGGTCTTGCGATTTATTTCTGAGACATTTAGGGGGAAATATCAACGGGAATTGCCCGTGCACGCGACCGTACACGTTTCTTCTACGCGACTATGTGTACAATGTAGACATATAGAATCACATATCGCGATTAAATCATTTTCAGATGTTATACGCAGTATCTGTATGATTCCACTGTTTTATAAATTCTCTTAACATCACGATTAACTTCGTCAACTCCGCACTGTCAACCCCAGACTTTTAATTAACCGAGCCGCCATTGATTAATCCGTTCTCCGCTTTGCTTTCCCCTCTTCCATTTACATCCGCAATGTGACTTCCATACCAGCTGGGCTTGAGGAAATGCTATCTGCTTCTCTGAAGCACTATCGGAGCCATGCTCTCGGGTAAAGACAATCCCGAGGATCCCCCTGCTGAAACACATGGGAGGTCCGAAGTTCGCCAGGATACAGATCAGAATGCAGACGAATTGATGGCCGGTCACATTCAATGCTCGGTGTGTAGCAGCACCTTCCGACGACCGGAGCATCTGAAACGACATCTGCGGAGTCACACTAAAGAAAAGCCGTTTGAGTGTGCTCAGTGCGGCCGGCACTTTTCAAGAACGTATGCGCTTGGGTCATGGCTATCCTTGCGTTGAATCACACGCTAATCAACCCCTAGTGACACGCTTCATCGACATGAGTTGAGTCATCATGCACCAGGGTCTGGAGGGAAAGATCGCACCCACCGAATTACCGTCAAAACATTCCGAGCATGTTTTAGTTGCGCAACAGCAAGAGTAAGATGTAGCGGCGGCACGCCATGTGGCCGGTGCGACGCTCGCTCACTCGGATGTGAATACCCCACGCAAAGGCGGTCCAAAGCAAAAGACATGAGAGATTCAGGGCAAGAAGCCGAGGCGCACAGCGAAAACCTCAAACACATTCACCAAGATCTGAATGCAGCTGCTGGTCAGAGCCAGTTTTCTATACACATGCAAAATGAACCAGCATCATCCAGGACTTTGCTCAATGTATCATCTACGCCCGGTAGTGATCACGCAAAGCGAATACCACAAAATGCACACACCATTGCAGACTCCTCGAATCCTCGTTTCTATCTCCCAAATGAGATACAAGGGCAGTCTGAAACACTGCCACTGAGTGTCTACCCTGGAGGTATCAAGCAGACATATGACCACTCGAGCTCTGACATCCCCAAAGTATTCCCTGTTGGTTCATCCAACAATTTAGACCCTGAAATGAGAGACATCCAGCCGGGAATGAACACAGCAGGTGACATTGAAATGACCATGGCAAATAATCCGGAGGTACCGCTAGAGTTTGATCCCACGCTCTTTGACCAGTCCATGCTTTCCACTATCAATTGGCTCCCTAGCGATTTGCTCCCGGGTGATCCTAACGGCCATGCACATTCTGCTGGTGCTGCCTCGCAATACAACCAATCTCTCAGCCCAAATGCCTACTTCTCCCGGGCAGCGTGGCAACCGCCGGTTATCAATGCTGCGCAACCCGGTCCTTTTCAACCAGAGCGAGCCTCTCAGGCACCATCTGTGCATGTTTCCCTAAGAAATAACATGGGGAGCCCCAATCAATATTCCCACGGTATTAGTGAGCCGTCTCCTCATACAGAATCAGTGGGTTCCGCCAAGGGTTCAGCGGACTACTATGTTGATGGTGCGCCGTCCAGACTCCCGAAGTACGGAAGGAAACACACGCCTTGGCCTGGTGAATCTGTAGACCGAGTCGACATCGGCAAGCAACTGCTGGTTGAAGATGACGAGCACCGGTTCGACTTCCCTGTTATCTCCGAACTGCGACCAGATCAGATACCGGAAGATATAACCCGGTTTACACAACAGATTGAAACCACCACCTACGATGAGATTTATCGGCACTTTGTGCAACTATGCCGTACTGAAACCCCATTTTTTGAGGTGTTCGAATCGGAGAGGTTCCCCACCGCGGACGAATGCAACCAATTCATCATCCTTTTCTTCGATTCATTTCAGGCAGTTTATCCGATATTACACCTTCCTAAATTTGATCCAAATACAAGCCATTGGCTCTTGACTTTGTCAATAGTAGCACTCGGCTGCCACGTGTCCCACGTACCTGAGATGGAACAGTGTACAATTGCTCTCCACGAGCTGATTCGACGGGGTATCTATCTTGAGGTTAGACAGGTCTTCCCATCCCATCATACTTTTCCAGCTAATTGTTTTGCACTTCTAGAAAGAAAAGAGTCGCCCTGGTCAGGCTTCTCTCGAGATATTGCAAGCTATGTTGTTCAATTGCATCGGACTTCTGCACAGTAGAAGTGAGCGAGAAAAGGCCTCGGCCTTGAGCACCTTTGGTGACTTGGTGACACTCATGAAAGCGTCCCGATTATTGACGCCGATGCGAACAAAATTCAACGAGGCGTCGCAAGATGCAGCATGGACGTCTTGGGTTCAAGATGAGGTCAGGAGACGCACCGGCTATTGTATATGGGTAAGCTTTGTCGAAGAATGAATCCTTTAATTTTGCTGACGATGATAGCTTGTGGATTGTACTCTTGCATATTACTTTGATAATCGACCTCTGCTTTCTCTAGATGATGCACAAGCTGCATTGCCCGCGCATGAGAAGCTATGGCAAGCATCCTCCGCAGAGACATGGAAGCCACTGTGGGCGAAATCATTTGGTAACTCTTATCCAGACCAAAAAACTGACCAGTCTCTCACTTATACGGCCAACGAATCCTTATACGACGCAGTCCATATCCTCTACATTGAGAAGAGAGTAGTATCCGGTATAGGAGAATTCGGTCACATTCTACTCATCCACGCTCTCTACCACAGAATGTGGGAAGTGGGAGACTACTTCCGCCGCCCACTATCTTTCTGGAACCCGACAGCGAAGAAGCAATCTTGCGAGACGGCCATTCCTACAGGCCTAGTATGGCTCCCAGGAATCCCCTCGTACTCGAAATGGCGCAACAGCGCATGTGACTGCCTCGACATCCTCCACTGGACCGCCAACAGCACCGTAGCAAAAGCTGCAGGCCTCGAGCATCCAACCATCCTCCACCTCCACACTGCCCGTCTATTCCTCCTCGCTCCATTCCGTGAGATGAGGTCCCTTGCGACTTCCCTGGCAACAGAAAAGCAGCGCTGGAGCAAACGACACCAAACCCTTGAGTGGCAGTACATCTGGCGCTGGATGAAACACGACCAATACAAAGCCCGACTTTCAATCATTCACGCCGGCGTCACCCTCTGGCATATCCGCCGCTACTCGACGAACTCTTTCCACGAGCCCGTTGCGGCTTTCATCGCTGTGCTGACGCTGTGGGCGTACGGAGCCTCTCACCCGCACATGTCCCATGAGTCCAGTCCACGTGCAGAGCAGCTCCGCGAACCGAGTTTTATTCATCTTGATCGCCCGTGCGATGATGAGCTTGTGCAGCTTTTTGTTCGGGAAGGTCATGCTATGAGAGGGAATGTTACTGGTGCTGGTGATATATGTGGGGCTGAAGGTCCGGAAAGGGTCTTGCGAGTGGGCTGTGAGATTCTCTCGGGCTTGACTGCCTGGAGTGTTTCGAAGAAGTTCGTGGCTATCTTGACGCGGCTTGCAGAGTTGAGCTCATATAGTTCCTCTTGAGGACATAGTCCCTGGCATGGTGCTGAGCATGTCTGATTTGTGGTGGGGTTGGATGATAAATCGTCAACGCAAATAAACATTTCTTATTCTTTACATTCTTTACACCACTGTCTGTAACTGTTGATATCTGCGTCTGTTCTGTACATAGATTGGACATCGGCTCCAGGTAGACGTTATCCCCGTGTAGATCCATTTTTTTAGATCTCTATATTAGCCACAGGGAGCACTATGGAGAAGAAACCTGACCTTAAGCGCCGGACTAGTTGCCGAGTTACAGAAGTCTCAAATAGCCAAGCTAAGATGGCTCTCGGTCCATTCGGGAAGATACCACTGAGAAATGGGAAGGTCCCTCTCCCAGCCAAAAGGATCGAGCCTGTCCGCCTCATATATGCAGCCGTACTCACCACACAGCTCGTGCGGCTGCTTGCGTTGGGTCAGCTAGACCTTTTTTCATCTTTGAAATCCCAATGTGTGAAAATGGCAAATTGGTACATGGACCTCAGGCTTGCTGTCGGGAACGGCGACACTGAAGCAACTATTAAGTTTCCGGACCTTCGTAAAATTGTAAAAGTCTCGCAGAGTAGGGTAAATGTAAATATGGGCCAGACGCAAGATATCGAGTTATATATATATAATGTAAATCTGTCTACTTAGGTATGAATGCCCTAGAGACTACTTCTCTCCCGAGGTCTTATACTTCGAAAATTGGGTGGGGCCAGCCTTATCTTATCAGCAGTGCAGCCTAAAATCATCTGGGGTAGTGCAACTTCCAACTTCCCTCTCTTAACTTTTCCAAACATGGATTCCGACGAGATATTAGGGCAGGATGATGTCCTGAAACCAGAGCAGGAAGAAGATCTGGACGAAAAGTGAGCCTGAAACTAATTCATGAGACTAAGATTTTGGGTAGTTGACTGATAACGGTTCGCAGATACCCCAACAGACCTCACAACCGAGCCCCGACATTGCCGTTCCACGATCTGTACCTCGACCTATTCAATCCACTGAGTGAACTCAAGAAGAAGCCTTCAGGGCCTGCCCCAGCTCGCCGGAAAGCTGGTCCTCATGGTAAAGGAGCTACAAGTCTCAACCCGTTCGAGCGCCGACGCGATGTGATTGAGCGCTTTATTTCGCGGTGGCGCAAGGATGTCGGCGACGACATTTACCCCGCCCTGCGATTGATTCTTCCCGACAAAGACCGCGATCGACCTATGTATGGGATCAAGGAGAAGGCTATCGGAAGGATGCTCGTCAAGATCATGAAGATCAACAGAGAATCAGAAGATGGGTACAATCTTCTGAATTGGAAGCTTCCCGGTCAGGGTGCTACAACACGCATGGCGGGTGACTTTGCTGGAAGATGCTTTGACGTTCTCTCAAAGCGGCCTATGCGGACCGATCCTGGCGACATGACGATCGAGGAGGTCAATGAGAAGCTGAATAAGCTATCTGCCGCCTCAAAGGAGGATGAACAACTGCCAATATTGACGGAGTTCTACCGGCGGATGAACCCTGAAGAACTTTTGTGGCTCATCCGTATTATACTCCGGCAGATGAAGGTTGGTGCTACCGAGCGAACATTCTTTGATGTTTGGCACCCCAATGCCGAGAATCTTTACAGCATCTCTAGTAGTCTGCGACGTGTGTGCTGGGAGCTGCATGATCCCAATATCCGGCTGGAGGGAGAGGAGCGCGGTATTGCGTTGATGCAATGCTTTCAGCCTCAGCTGGCCCAATTTCAGATGCACTCATTTGAGAGAATCATTGCTCGTATGAAACCAACCGAAGATGATAACGTGTTCTGGATTGAAGAGAAAATGGATGGTGAGCGTATGCAACTCCACATGGCGCCCGACGATTCAATCAAAGGTGGTCGGAAATTTGGCTTCTGGTCGCGCAAAGCGAAAGAATACACATATCTATACGGGAACGGGATTTATGACGAGAACGGTGCTCTGACAAGACATCTAAAAGATGCTTTCGTCGATGGGGTACAGAGCATTATTCTCGATGGCGAGATGATCACCTGGGATCCTGAACAGGACGCCATGGTTCCCTTTGGCACGCTCAAGACCGCGGCGTTGGCGGAACAACGCAATCCATTCTCAAATGGTCCGCGACCCTTGTTCCGCGTGTTCGATATTTTACATCTTAATGGGCGTGACCTAACGAAGTATACCCTTCGTGATCGTCGCAATGCCCTGGAGAAAACCGTCCGACCTGCCCACCGCCGGTTTGAAATTCACTCTTACGAGGAAGCCACTACCACCACAGAAGTTGAAGCGGCTCTTCGGAAGGTCGTCGCTGAGGCCTCAGAAGGTCTTGTTTTGAAGAACCCGCGCTCTCCATATCGACTGAACGAACGCCACGATGACTGGATGAAAGTCAAACCAGACTATATGACCGAATTTGGAGAGTCCCTTGACGTTATTGTGATTGGCGGATACTATGGCTCAGGTCGTCGAGGAGGTGCGCTGTCCAGTTTTCTCTGCGGACTACGAGTCGACGACAGCACGCAAGCAGCAGAGAAATGCTGGTCCTTTTGTAAGGTCGGTGGCGGGTTTACTGCAGCTGACTATCAGGAGGTCCGCCATCATACGGACGGCAAGTGGAAGGCATGGGATGCGAAAAAGCCACCCACTACCTTTATCGAACTGGCAGGCGGAGACGCCCAGCATGAGCGTCCGGATATGTGGATTAAACCATCCGACTCAATTGTTTTGTGTGTGAAAGCGGCGTCCGTCGCAATCAGTGACCAATTCCGCATGGGATTGACATTGCGATTTCCTCGCTTCAAGAAGTTGCGCAAGGACAAGGATTGGAAAACCGCGCTCTCTGTCCAGGAGTTCCTTGATCTAAAATCTAATGCAGAGCAAGAACACCGGAGAAAGAGTTCTCTGTTGATAACTCTCGAAAGAAGCGAGTAAAGAGGGCCACTAAGAAACCACTCACCGTTGCTGGTTACGACGATAATGTCGACGTCCAGTATCTTGGGCCTTCTGGACATGTCTTTGATGGGCTTAACTTCTGTATGTGGTTTGAACGTGAAGGTTCCCTTCCTATCGTACGTAATACTAATACAGCGGACTTCTAGTTATAATGACCGAATCGACCATCCCAGAAAAGAAAACAAAACTTCAATTGGAACAGCTCGTGAAGGCTAATGGTGGCAAGATCTATCAAACCAAGACAGCTGCGGTAGACACGCTCTGTGTTGCCGAGCGGAGTGAGCTTCATTCTACAAATATGAAATAATCTCAAGCTAATATTTCGGCAGGAACGGTCAAAGTAGCTTCATTACAAAAGAGTGGAGAGCAAAACATCATTCGACCATTGTGGCTTATCGACTGCGTCAAACAGAATGAAATAGATGCAGGCCTGCCGGATCTTCTTCTCCCATTCGAGCCAAGGTATGTTGTGACGGTCAAAGGATACACATATACAGGGCTAATATCTATTGATTTCTATAGACATATGTTTTTCATGACAGAGGAGAAAGAGGAAGAAGTCGCCGCAAATGTCGACAAATTCATGGACAGCTATGCTCGCGATACAACTGTCAACGAGCTAAAGGACGTATGACGCCCCCAGAGAATAGCGAGAAACAACCATGGCCTTGACTAACCAACATTCATATTTGCAGGTATTCAAACAAATGGAACAAAACCAAGAACAGACCGACTATGTCCCTGATCCAGAAACCGTTCAGAGAATCGAGACTCGCATCCAGGAAAGAGTAAACGCCGGCTACACAGTACCCGTTGGGTGGCTCTTCCGAGGCTTGAAGTTCCACTTCTACTCGAACGGGAACCAGCCGGACGAATCAGCCTCCCGAGAACTCAGAAGGGAGGACCAACGCCTGCAGTTCGCTCGCAACACAGCCCAGTTTGCAGCTGCCGAGATTGCCAGCACCTTGGAGAGCCCAGGCACCACACATGTGATTGTCGATCCAGAAACTTTGTCTTCAGCGGACAAAACATCTCTCCGGAATACCTTGGCCGCGACGCCGGGAGCGAAAATGCCGCATCTTGTTAGCGTGGGCTGGGTGGAAGAATGCTGGAAAAGTGGCACCTTGCTGGACGAAGAGAGTAAGTTGTAACGAACATCCTTGTCGTATTTTCGGCCTTTGGGGCGTTCTAACGCGTTCTATGTTGGTAGGGTTCCGGATCTTGCGATGAAACATTAGAGCTGGGCTCAATCGCTATGAATTATCCATTCCTTTCATTTCTAATTTCCTGTTTTCGTCGCTGGGCGTTTCCGTCTTTATGCAAAGCACGAGTCGGAATCAACCACGGAGTACAACAAGTCACATTCTATGGATCATCTGACTTTCCTTGAGCGAGCCAACGAGGCTATATTAGACTGGAGAAATACCGGTGTAGCCGAAATGACCTGCCTCTTAGACCAATAAACTGTTCTCTGGCTCGAAACGCCATATTATCTGAACCCTGTGGCTATTATGAGGTCAAAGAGCCCAATATATAAAGGCCGAGGTTCATCAGGCCACACGGGCTGATGTCATGCGATGCAAGACGATATCACAACACAGAAGATTCAAAGTCAGTCTAAGATCTCTTAAACGGCTTTGAAGAGTCTACTAGCACGGAGAAAGTATAGCCACTCGAGTAGCTCTCTCTAGTATCATCTTCCAACGTCCTTAGTTGCGCTCTTAAGGCAGTCTTTTTAGCGTATTATCTGCCTCTAATCGGAAGGGCGAAAAATACACATAACTACACGAAGCAAGGATGGCCTAGGCCGATCACAGTGACTACAGTACGTCTCGAAACCTTTGATTCTTTCTCGAACCGTAATTGCCAAGACGGGCTAGTCTATATTAAGAGTTGTTCGAGAAACAATCGAAGAGTGTGGATGGTGACACTATACCTACCTACATGTAGGTAGTGCTGATGCTGTATGAACTGCCCAGGTGGTTACAGTTACAAGGCAAAAGAAGGTTGATTGGGTTTCAAGCTTTGATTTGAGTTGAATAGATATCTTAGGTGGTGATCGAAAGATCGGTCCCAAAAAAAAAAGAAAGAGAAAGAGAAAGCAGCCATAGAACAAGCATTGCGCTGTCAGGGTAGAAACGGGGGTATGTAACAAAAGAGAGAAGAGATCTGCGCCAAGCAGGACACCATCCTAATCCAACGCCGCGCTTGCAGAGGATAACCGAAGATAAAAGGAAAAGAAAAACAAAAGATTTATGTACTGGTGAAGCGAAGTGATCAAAAAGGGAGAAGTATCGTGCCATATCCTGTGCTCTGCGCTAAGACGGGACTTCCATCAAGTCCTTTATTTCACTGGGCTGAGACGCCCACCCACCGGGACGGAACGGTGTTGCTGTCATATCCGTCCTCGTATTGTCCTGACAAGTGGGAGTTTGTCTTGCGCGCTGGCAGCCAGATGCGAGCATGCGCAGGGATGTCGTCGCGGAGTTTGCCGCTGCGGCGCATATTCATTTCGAGAACCACTACACGCAAGAAATCGCTGTTCTCACGGATTTCGCGCTGGCGAGACATGGACGGAATTTCCGGGACGAAAGTGACGAATTTCTGTTCCTTGCTCGCGATGTGGAAGTGGTTTCGCCGGTTCCCGCGGCCGGCGCGACGATATGTCTGCATTTGGATCGAGACGGCGCACGTACCGGATGTCTGTGGCTTGTCGTGGGGATGATCGTGATAGACATACATCTCTGCCGGTGACATCGGAGTCGGGTTCATCGGAGATGGATTCAGATAGCGTCGTAGTGCTGGAGAAGGGGTTTCTTGCATCGGCAAAGGGCGGCGGTCATCGGTCATTTCTGGGGTGATAGTGAAAAGAGACCGGGTAAGGAAGTCCTCTGGTTGGACGGAGGGTGTGGCAAATGTCGAAACCGACTGTGCAGCGGATTTAATGGCCCGTAAAGATGCTGTGAGGTTCGACTTGAAAGTAGATCCGAGGCGCCCAAATGATGCAGATCGTTTTGCGGGTACTGTCTCGGGTGTGGCAGGCTCATTGTCGTTATTGATTTCGATGAATTCACACTCATCGATTTCGGTTACAAGCAGAGGATGGTCCAAGGCACACTCCTCGCAATGCGAATACCGAGGCTGTCGTCTCTCCGGTGGACTCCTATGTCTGGGAGGGGTGGGTGGCGAGGGAAGGCTGGACGGTGATGCTAGGGCATGTTCTAATGACGGCATCGAATCGCTTGATGATGACTTCACGGACGGTGGTGATTCGTCAGAATCGTTGCAAGGCAGGAGTTGCTGATTGTCTTCATCAGGCGGGCTGAGAAGGATGTCAAGAGGGGAGTAGGCGGCCCCGTCCAGGAAAGTATCTTCTTTCGACTTGACATCTTCCTGCAGCATACGACTAAAGTCTTCGGCATGGTTTCCCCGAGGAAGTTTCCGAGGTCTGCGGGTGCTCCAGTTTCGCCGCGGTACGGGAATGGCCGTTGCGTCTAGCATCGAAGTAAATGACGTGGGGATTGGGCGGTCATTGGATGAGCTGGAAGAGGACCGATGAGAGGATTCCGAGGTTTTAGATAAGGCACGTGAACGAATATCTCGACGTGCTGGCAGAGTCCGCGAGCCACGCTTTGGAGGAATTCCCACTGGAATGGTGTTGATCGATCCGCGGGTCTCGGTCTTGGAGGCCGAGAGATGAAGGTCAGAACCATCCGACGGTCTGGATGGCTTCATTCCATGAGACTGAAAGGGTTTGTGCGGCGGCGCCGAGCTAAATAGAAATGCTCTCGGTACCATCATGTTGACTGTTGTCTCATCACACGACCAGTTGCTATTGAGGCCTTAACCAGATGAAGCGCTCTGGTCGAGTCTCTGAGCGAGATACATGGATGAAAGAGAAATCTGTCCGAAGTGAGAAGTTCCCAGAAAGTCAGACGACAGAGGACTAGCAGCCAATCCGAAGGAGTATGTGTTGGCCCAAAGAGATGCAAGGGAAGCGGATAGGGCCGTGAGACAAGGGCATGCAGGCACACACACGCGAGCTGATAAGGTAATAGACAGGCGATGAGGTAAGATTTGAGGGGAGGATGCCCAGGTGAAATATGAGGCAGGAGGATAGTAAATGAACAGGAAGGAGGATAATAGCAAAAATAAATAAAAAATAAAGAGATGTAGAAGTTATAGAGAAAGAGATAATGGGGGAAAGAAAGTGATGATCTCAGATAGATAAGCCGTATTGGGCAGGTAAACGCATGTAAAGATCACGGGAAGAGCAGGACAGTAATTTATTTTACGGTGGAATTGATTGGCTGTGCGGGGGACAATGCCGGCAATCCGGACTGTGTGTGATTGTCACAGTATTTCTGGTAATTTTTAATACAGTTCCCATTACTCATGGAACATTCCGCCGGTGGAGTCCGGAAGGAATGAAATTTTTATAGTTATTTTTATTTTTGGGTATTTTATTATTTCACTCTTTGGATATTTTGCATTGTGATATGTACAATATAGTTAAAATGAGTATAACATACTTACAATATATTTCCTCTACAATGCACCTAGTAAAACATACATACATAGTATATATAAGATGTATCTGAAAACGAATCACATCTATCCCAGCCTTTCAGATCGTTGAATAAGATATGTGGGCCCTTTAAGGTTGCTTTTAGTGCGGCGCGAGCAGATGCACACCGTTTACTTGAGAATATTTGAATCAAGACAGAAAGAGAGAAGATTGATTTTTATCCTTTTGACTGGCCTTGCTGATTTGCTTACATTTTACAGAAAAAGCAATGGAATTATAAACCAAACATATGCAATTCGGCCATTTTGATAGATCGACAGTGGCTCCGAGGCTCCGGTTCCCCTCATGTTATTAATTATTAAGGGGGAAAAATACTGAAAAAGGAGCGGGTGGCTGCAGTCCCAAAACGTCAAGTCGAAGAGACCCGACGTGGCTAGTGGAGCGCCTTAAGCGAAAATAATTGCGGTGAAGCCCCTATTTCTTCCCTATATTGTATTCCCAATATTGGGGGCTTTTAATTGTGTTAATTACTCCGTATATTTCGATTCATGGCACTTCCAAAGTTGGATGATTGCGTCCGAAGCATCCGTAAATATTACCTATCTAAATATTCCGAATTATTGTATATGTATTCGATGTCTTAAGTGAACACTGTTGTACATGCAAAATAGGCCTTGAAAAAAAAAAAAAAAAAAAAAACAAGAGAAGACCCACCTATATTTGCTACCTGAATATTCTTATTACTTGACTCGAGGAAGTCTCATAGATGTGAAATACAACCAAATGTCCACATCCCAAAAAGCAATGTTGAGACATGGCTGGTGGAGCGCCTTTAGGGTAATTGCGGTGAACCCTTATACGATGCATAGAGTGGTCTTTTTTTGTCTTTTTTGTGAGGTTAGGCAGTCATACATGGTTTATCCATTCGGTCTGTTTTGCTTGCGGCTTTTTACATATGTAACCTCGATCGGTCTACTCCCGTATGTAACCCACCAAGGGTTGGATCTTTCAGCAGGGGAAATCCGGAACATGTATCGGAGATAATATCCTTACAGTCACTTGGCACAGCTCCAAGTAACTTCCTATTTTCTACTCCGTACTCCATATAACAATAATTATTAATTTAATCATATGGAATGAGCTACGATAGACACAACTACCTACAATGTTATATTTGTTATTGTATGGGAGCCACGTGAAGACATTAGTCAGCCGCTTATCGAAAATAGAACATCCCGACACCTGCACAGCCATCCAGAGGCCGGCGATAACCACATCTTGTGTCGTCGCTGTCCAGGTGCTTGCATCCAATCATTTCAAGGGCATCGCCAATCTCTAACATCAACCCAATTTCTCACTGAACTTGTCCCCGCCTCCACTGCGGGTCATTGCAATCGTGGGGTACATGATTCCTTCTACAATTGCCATCAGGCCTGTGTAGATCTCCAAGCGTAGCTGGTGCGTCGATATTTCCTTGTTGTAAGGCACAAGCTCCGATCTTAGCATCTTACTAGACGGGCTGGATCATGGGTGGTCCAATAGACTAACATGCCGACATAGCCACCGTGTGCACCCTCGGTCTAGCAAGCCGTCATGTTCTACTAACGAGCTCTGCACTCTAAAAGATGGACATCCCATGTCGAGGTTTGGAAAAGACACTAGACATGCGAAGAGGTTCCGCGGAGAAACCATCCTACTCATTTCTTGAATCGCACCTATCAAACTATCTGAAATCATGAGCGCCGAACGTGCCCAACCGTCCAAAAGACGATGCGTCAGCACAGCCTGTGTCGCCTGCCGCAAAAGGAAGTCAAAGGTTGGACTCTCACATTCTGATATTGAGATGTCACATTACTAATAAGATCTGCGTATAGTGTGATGGAAACCTGCCCAGCTGTGCAGCTTGTTCCTCAGTATATCATACACCTTGTATGTGACACTTTCACATAGAGCAACATGCAACATCGGCATTTCCTAACGTTTCATCATAGGTGTATATGATCCAAACTCGGATCACCGCCGCAAAGGTGTTTACAAGAAAGACACTGATACATTGCGGACCCGAAACACCACCTACAGACATTGATACAGGCAATATTAAACTACGACGAAGCAGATGCCTTCGAACTAGTACGTCAGATTCGCTCTTGCGATGATCTCGAAGATGTAGCGGCTTCGGTGATCGCCCAGGAGAAGGGGCTCATGTCTACGGACCAAGCAGCAAAGGAGTCGGCCAGCAATGAGAATATGGCTGAGATAGATCAATTCGAGTCAGAGCTGGCTGGCAAGATGAGTGAGCTCATGCTCGACGGTTCTCGCAAATTTATTGGCGGTACCTCGAACCTCATCTTCTTGCCGCCAGGCTCTGAGCTGCACGAGTCTGCTTCAATTCAAAACAACCTCGCCCTCATTGCCGATAACCAAACCCACGCTGTGAGCCGCTGGACCGAAGTCACAGACGACGACTCCCTAATCAGCCATCTAATGACCATGTACTTTACATGGCACTATCCGTTCTTCACTACCTTGTCTAAGAATATGTTCTATCGGGATTACATCCGCGGAGTTTCCAGCTCATATTGCTCTTCGTTACTCGTCAATGCTATCCTAGCTCTGGGCTGCCATTTCAGCTCGTGGCAAGGTGCTTTTGATGATCCTCAGGATTTGGCAACTGCAGGAAATCATTTCTTCAAAGAGGCGAAGCGACTCGTATTGGAAAATGACGAACATGAGAACGCAAAGCTTTGCACTGTCCAAGCATTCGCACTTATGTCTGTCCGAGAGGCGGGATGTGGGCGTGAAGGAAAAGGCTGGGTCTATAGTGGTCTCAGTTTCCGCATGGCTTTTGATCTTGGGTTAAATCTCGATTCGGCGAATCTTGGGGCGCACAGCCTCAGCGAAGAAGAGATTGACGCTCGGCGGATAACCTTTTGGGGTTGCTATCTCATTGACAAGTTAGTATCCATTCCATTGATTATCTCTAATTCCTCTCTAACTCTGTACAGATGCTGGTCAAATTACCTCGGTCGCCAGCCCCAGTTGACCTCGGCAAATGCCAATGTGCCCAAGTTTGATGTGTTGCCACAGGAGGAAGCAGAGCTGTGGTCGCCCTATACTGATTCCGGAGTCGGTCACGAGAACACGCAACCATCACGAACCAGGGCTGTCGCCCTCCAAATATCCAAACTGAGCGAGATCAGCAGCGATGTGCTTGTGTTTTTCTACCATCCGACCGAACTTGAAAACTCCCAGCCCAAGCAGTCGGAACTGAAGAAACTGAGCGATGTTCACACCCGCCTTGAGGCATGGAAAAACAATCTGCCCAGGGAACTGGTAGCAAAAGAAGGACAGCTACCACAAGTGCTTGTCATGCAGTAAGCTGACAACTTCGCACACGGTGTTACCTCAGCTAACTCTTGTCTCAGCATGCTGTATCAGCTTCAGATAATCCATTTATACCGACCATTCCTGAAGTATACCAAGACAAATACCCCGCTACCTTCCCATGTCTCACCTCGCAAGATATGCACACAGGCCGCTGCGACTGTTTCCAAGCTGCTTCGCATATACAAACGAGGATATGGACTGAAACAGATCTGCAACATCGCTGTCTATATTGCCCACACTGCATGCACCGTCCATCTTCTCAACCTCCCGGACAAAAATGCCCAGAGAGATGTGATACATGGCCTCAAAAATCTCGAAGAAATGGCAGAGGGCTGGCTCTGTGCTCGACGTACCCTCCGCATCCTCGACATATCCGCAAACAAATGGCAAGTAGAGTTGCCACCAGAGGCAGTCTCAATATTTGAACGCACACATAACAAATGGGGATCCTGGGGCTCTTGGGACCAGACCACTTCCCCCTCAACATCCGACGATTATCCCATCGCGCCCGTATTACAACCCCCCTACAACTCCAAGCCGATTTTCACCATCTGGGCCCCAATTCCAGAATTCTCGCACCGGACCCATCCCCATGGTTGATGCACCAATGGCCTCTCAATACGGGTCCATCGCCGCCGTCCCAATATCGTTCCCCCCGATCCAAGGAATGCTTCCACCTCATGCCCAACGGCCCGAGTTTGCCCCTCCCGAACCAACATACCTCCGGCCCCAAATGGCCTACCAATTCAATCCTCTTCCGGGATCCGTTCCGGCCCCCTCTTCCCCCATCCGAACAAGTGGTACGATGGCTCTGGGGCTCGTATCTCACCCCAAAACGCAACGCCGACATCGGTTGCATCGCCCGTGTCTGGGTATGACGGCACGGAAAATCTGGTCGAAGAGAGCCAGGACTGGTGGTCGAGAAATGCTAGTGCGTATGGTATCGGCATGGATGGTTGGAGTGGTACTTGGAATGCCACTCCACGAAACCAGCATTCTCTCATGCAATTCCAGGACGGTAATCTCATGTCTGTTGCTCGGCCTTCTAGTCCTGGCGATGAACAGCCTTAAGCCCCAGGGGGGATGTCGACAGCCTGGTCGCCCTTGAATCCCGATGATACCTAGGTACAACCGGCTATATGGAAATAATCCACAGACTATGTGATTTTGGCTCATAGGGACATATCTCGTTCGATTTTGATACCACCTTAGGGGGGATTTGTCTTCCGGCGTTTAAATGGACATGCATCTACAAATTTGGTTTCTGTTTCAAAATCTTATGATCATTTACAGACAAGGACATTTAGAGGTGCAATTATCAAAAGATTTGTCATAGATGATCATTACCTAGGTAGTTCTCAAAACCAACACCGAGGCGCAAAATGCTACTTTCCAAGAGAACCATATAAAAAGAGAAAAAGAAAGGTGCACGGGATGGTATCACTAGACATGGATGTTAATAAGATGGCATCTGTCAAAACAACAGGAAAAAAAGGAAGAGCTTACCAAGAAATAATCAGCGACAGGTTTCTTCGCAGGCATGCCCCTTGTATCCTGCGCTGCAGCCTCAAAGACACGATATCTCCTTCCGGGACTGATGACTCTATTATCTGTAACAATGCCGTTGCTCCGACCATATTCGCCGTTGCTGCGGGCGACAGTGCCACCACCGCTGGCGTCTTCACCAAGTTCAAGGATAGCGGCAACATTGCCGCAGCGGTAGCAGTAGTTCGGAGCAGACCAGACAGTGACGATACCACCATCAAACATCTCTTTGTATCCCTCCATAACAAGCTGGTGGGCCCGCGCTACAAGAGACAAGCCGTTGAGATGGTTGAACTGTTTGACGATATCGCCGCCGAAGAGGAACCCAGCCCCACGAGGACTCAACCCCCAGCCTTCGATCTCATCTGGATCTGACCAGAGCAGATCACACATGGCACCTTCATGTGGCACCTCTTGCTTGCGATCAATCAGTCGAATTTTATCGACAGAGTCAATCAGCGGTGATAATCCACCGTGTACACAGAGCACCGCACCAGTCCGGCTAGTGGTGGCGCTGCCGTTGCCATCGCCGCTGGCACCCGTCCCCGGCGCACCCGATCGTGAGGGCGCGGCAGCCTGGCCTGGGGCGGCGGAGATGTCTCGTGGCGGGGAGATATTTCTAGAATCTGTAGATGCATTGGAAGACGAACGCTGTCGCGGGCGGTACGTGCTCATCGTGACATCGCCTCTGGAATTCAGTACTTCTGTCTCCAGCTCGCTGTCGGCCGGCATGCTTGATAGTGCTGTGTTAGAGGTGGGTTCTAGCACCGAGCTCGCGCCGAGCACGATCGCGCCCAGGGCCAGGTAGTCGAATACTTCGCAGCAGTACCGCCATACGTTTGCGCTTCCGTATTTGCGAATGCATTCGTCGTAAAATCCATATACTGTTGTGATTTGGCGTGATTCATGGTTGCCGCGGATCAAGGTGATGCGGTCGGGGTATCTGACTTTCAAACAAAGGAGGAGAAGGAAGGATTCAAGAGAGTAGAAGCCACGGTCGACAAAATCGCCCATGAAAAGGTAGTTGGTATCGGGAACATCGCCGCCGACGCGGAATAGTTCCATCAGATCGTGGAATTGGCCGTGGATATCGCCGCAGATGGTCACGGGGGCGTCAACGGACACGACATTGCCTTCTTCGATCAAGAGCTCACGCGCCTTGTAGCACAATTCGCGCACTTGGCTTTCGGGGATCAGGCGGCAGCCCCGCAGCTGCTCGATCGCCCTATAAGGCAAAAAGCATTAGTTTGACGGTGAAGATGGAGGTCTAGAGACTTGAGGGGTTGGTGCCATACCGGTCTAGGTCACTCATCTTGTCGAGAGAGGGACGGGGAAGGAAATGAGGACTGTGTCGAAGTCAAGAACTCCCCAAAAGATAAATCAGATAGCTTAGTTCTCCGAAAAGCACAGTCTCATCTTCGCGAAGCTATGATGCACGACGCAGAGACTTGAGAGAAGCGGAACATCCAATCACGCGGGAGCCAGATAAGATTAGATGCACCCAAAGCCTTTGCTGTCGTTTTCTCTCCGCACGTTTCCTTTGAGAGTCACTTCACATTTGCCGTCGGAGGTTCAGAGGCTTGTCAACTTGGACAATTATTACTGAACATTCAATTGGCCTCCTTTTGCCTTCTATTTCTTCCCTCCCTGTCCGACTATACCAGCCCGGTCCGAGCCGATGGCTTGAAAAATTCCAGAACCAGTCGGCCACGCCCACCTCGTCTCAATTGAACATCAATACTCGTTCTCTCTCACTTCATACACAATGCCGCCACATCTACACCCTCGGTCGCGGTCAACCACCGGCCTATTCGCCGGCACCCTCCTCGCTTCTCTCCTAGTTGTCGGCATGCCGCACGTCTTCCCTTGTCCGGCCCCACGACGCACCTTTGCCGATTCGGAGATGACCATGACAGCCGATGGACAACATGTACCACGTTTCCGACGCAGACGGCGAAAGGATCTCGAAGTGGGCCCAGAGGACAGCCAGCCCGGTCAGCCCGCGCCAGCTGTTGTGGATGAGGAGGTCTCAACATTCCTTCAGATGGAGGAGGAAGCGGACAAACTCTCACATATCAATCGAGAATGCCCTGTTCCCAAACCCAAGGGTGTTATAGGGGAATTGCTGGGTTTCCGAGATATCCAAGCGAATGGGCAGCACCAGCCAACCGCCCTGTCTGAAGGAGACCAATAATGCGTGCACATCGACACTCTCCTTCAGATTTTCTCCATTTTGTTTTCTCGGCTTGTTTAATGATACCATGGATTTTGACAATAAGGGTTGGGTGGACCGGTGGATGTTTAGAAGACCATGCTCGAGGTCCCAATTCGAGCTAGACCTACAGCATATGTATTTTCTGTGTACAATGAGATGTATAAAAGCAAATACCAATTATATTAAGACTCGAAATAGTCGAAAGTTATACAATTGTCCTAACCAAAATGTGCTATCCTCAACTTGAATGCAATTGTAAACGATTATCTCGTAGGCGGAGCCAGCTCCGGCCACCTTGAATATTCCCCCGTCAACCATCGAGGGTATCCGTCATGGCATTGACAGCCCAGGGCTTCGTCTACGACGTGCTCACTAATCAGCAGCATACGAGATGGATTGCGCCTCTACTCATTCTAGGCGACGCGCTACTCTGCGCCCTTGTCATATGGAAGATCGCTTGTAATACCGCTCCCAGATGTCGCGTACTGAACCAGACCCAGCTAACCAAGCAACAACCACAGATACCGAGATTGACTGGTCGACATACATGCAGCAAGTCTCTCTATATATCTCCGGCGAACGCGACTACCTCTTGATCAAAGGCTCAACCGGTCCCCCTCGTCTACCCCGCCGCCCACGTATACATCTACACCCTCCTCTATCACCTCACCGATGAAGGCCGTGATATCCTCCTCGGACAGGTGCTTTTCGCAGTGCTCTACCTTGCTACACTGGCTGTGGTAGTTGCTTGCTACAGACAGACGGGGGCACCTCCCTACCTTTTCCCGCTCCTTGCTCTGTCCAAACGGCTGCATAGCATATTCGTTCTGCGCATGTTCAATGATGGCGTTGCGACTTTCGCTATGTGGCTTGCTATCTATCTCTGTCTGAGACGCAGCTGGACGGCGGGTATTGCAGTGTGGTCTTTTGGGGTTGCGATTAAAATGACACTTGTGCTGCTTGTGCCTGCCATTGTGGTCATTACTCTTCTCAGTTTGGGGTTGGCGCGAAGTATTTCGCTCGGAGTTATGGCTGTTCTTATCCAGGTGTGTACTTGACAAGTCAATTGAGCCCTAGGGAGTCGGCTAATGCAATAAACTACAGGTCCTACTTGCGGTTCCCTTTCTGCAGACTAATAGTATAGGCTACCTCTCTCGGGCATTTGAGCTATCCCGCCAGTTCTTGTTCAAATGGACAGTGAACTGGCGGTTTGTAGGGGAAGAAACATTTCTTTCAAGGGAGTTCTCTGTGGGTCTGCTTGTGCTGCATATATCCTTGTTGGCTATCTTCTTCAGAAACTGGGTAAAACCTTCAGGGTCGAACATGGTTCGTTTCCTCCAGGATACTATCCAGGGACGCCAAAAGACAGTTCCACTCTCAAAATCCTTCACTATGACCGTGATGTTGAGCTCACTGGCCATCGGCTTGCTATGCGCCAGGTCCTTGCATTACCAGTTTTTCGCGTATCTCGCGTGGGCTACCCCCTTTCTTCTCTGGCGCGCGGGTATCCACCCAGTTCTTATATACGCCTTATGGGCGCTGCAAGAGTGGGCTTGGAACGTTTTCCCCAGCACAAACGCAAGCTCGGCGGTTGTGGTGTTGTCGCTCGCGGTCCAGGTCTTTGGCGTGTTGTTCAATGGCTCGAGCGAGGTCGATAAGAAGAGTGACAAGGGGAGCAGCCGCGGCAAGGCGATTGTTCAAAAATGAGAGATACCCCGGCCCCATCCTGAGGCGTGCATATTTCGAGAATCATTGTTAGAGCCCCGAATCCCTGTGTATCGTAGCGGCTGCCATCGAACAAACGCTTGGTGCCTTTGAAAGGCGATCATTCAGTCCGACTCGTCCGAGGAAGGCATCCGGCCCACACGAGACTCTTCCTCTTCGTCATCGGAGTCAGCAGTCAATACAACGGGCTGTTTCACGAATTCCTTAGGCCTGTGGGGAAACAATACCAATTAGTGAATGAGTTCGTGGCTAATCTTAATCGAAAACACATACCAAAAGGGAGCCTTCCTCCAAGCTTTCTCGTCCCTGACGATATTGACAATTTCCCCTTCGATTTTATTGTCCCGCTCCTCCTGGCCCTTGGTATCGACCACCACGTACGAGCTGCGCTTGATCCAGATAGCTGAGCGGAATCGCGCAGGTAATTCGACGAGCATCTGCTTCTTGTCTGTCTGTTCGACCAAGTAGATGTTGTTTCCGGTGGCTTTGATTGCTCGCACGATCTGCTGAGTGTTGGATAGCTCGTCTGGAGGGGTCAAAGTTCCCTCTGCTGTAGCCAGCATCTTTCTGCGAGGCGGTCCCATTGTTGAAGATGCAATTTAAAATGATGGATATCACGAACGCAGAGACAGGTCAAGTGCAAGAGAAAGTTGGGGAGGAAACTAATTCTCCGGGAAATAATTTGATCTTATCGGCGGGGCTTCCAAGGTTCCTCAAAAATAAGTTCCGGGACACTCAAAAGTTTTGACTACAATCATTCCAACCCATCTCCAGGGCTCTATTAACACACGAAACTTATGTACTATACAAGCTAGGTATCCCTTAGATCCGCGCATTCCCTAATACCCTGCCTTCAAGTCTTCCCTTTTATTTTTCCGTTCCTAGCTTCAATCGAACAGGGTATGCCATATTTGGATCAATGTTCAAAATTGATAAGCCCAATCGCCGGGGATCCTGTTCATAAAATTCACCAATCCATTACCAGACAGTGTTCTCCGGAGCATGGGTGGAAATGACAGGCTCCAAACCCGGATCCCCCTTACCCAAAGCGCGCTTATAGGCCTCACAGTGTGACATCCGCTCAAGATACTTCACAATGTCCGGGTATGGCTCAGGGGAGTATGGATTAAAGAGACGGAGCGCGGTCACGGAGAAGACCGACATGCAATCGGCAGCTGTGAACTCATCGCCCGCGAGGTATGGGAACTTGGCCAGCCGAGCGTCCATGGCCTCGACGTTCTCATCAACGCACTTTTGCGTAACCCTGGTGCCGAGGCCCTCTTTCGAGTTACCGCTAAGACGACCAAACATCAGAGCAACTAGACCCGGCTGCGTGGTCCCATTAGCTCGATGAAGCCAGAAGAGGTAGTCGCCATATTGCGGGTGAGTCGAGGGCAGAGATAGGCGCCCATTGGCGTACTTTGTCAGAATATATTCGAAGACGGCGCTTGTTTCGGCAAGGACCATTCCTCCGTCCTCAATGATAGGTGCAGTCCCAGCCCAGTGAATCTTGCGATACTCCTCTGGGGCAGCCAGGGTGGGAGGCTCTCTATCGTACGACTTCAAATTGTAAGGAATGTCGAGCTCTTCGCATAGCCAGACAACTCTCTCGGAAATAGAGCGCCGTAGGTGATGGATGGTGAGCGCAGACGACATGTTCAGAGAGGGAGTTGGCAAGATAGTAAAGTGAGAAGCAGTAGTTAGGTGAGAGCATCCATAGATTCATACTTCAACGACGCCCCGGATGGCCCAGGTGAATAGGAAAGGCTTATTCAGCATCCTCATGGGCCGAAGATCCATGGATGCTACCTCAGTACCTAGGTAGGCCATATATTATGAATCGAAATGTATCATTTCGCCTGCATAACTTTGAGCACCTTCCAGGGTTCATTCTAGATCGTCCAATTATTAATATTACGCTGTCCGGCAAAGAACCAATCCACTTATCGACTCAGCCCCATCAAGTGTGTTGTGTATGACGATATCTAGCAAAGAATCCAAGATGAAGCTCATTGTGCTGGACCGGAGACAGACCCCATCGAAACCCATATAGCTTGGCAAACACTGCAAATATAGGAAGAATCATGACTACATATTTTGTGTGGTTCTTGGAATCTTTAGTATTCTCCTTACACAGGGAACTTCGAATTTATGTTAATTAGCCTCAATTTTGAATTCAACACTCTGGTCTTTAATATACAGCATACATAACTGCATAATGACAATTGTGCCAAGCCCACTAACACCCAGGCTTGGCACGGTTACGCGCGTTGTTGTTTATCACGTTCACGATCCACATCTTTGTATTATACAAACATCATGCCCAGGGGTTCCAATTCGACCAATGGAAGACATCTGCCCCTACCCGGTCGTTGAATGAGCCAAATATCGCCGCATTGGAACGAGAGATTGCCGCACCTAATGATCAAGTGCAACACCAACTGAACAGCCCTGCGGCTCATCCGGCTCGTGTAGCTCCCAATACACTTGATGGAGCACAGGAGAACACATTGATTCAGTGGATTCAGCAAGTGAAGGAGCTATTCTCTCTTCCTATGCGACCCCTCATCGTGACAAGTGCGACCCAAATTCTCAACGGCGATGGAAATGGCGATGGGAACGACGCCACTATCAGCAATGCATGGGTTGATCGCTTCATCAAACGCCTACCAGATGATCTAAAGCCATCTAAAGTACGATCGGTCAAGAAGAAACGTATCGATGCGTCAGATCAAGAGACTTTGGAGCATTGGTATGGACGCCTGGAGGCTGTGATTGCCGAGGTATCTCCAGAGAATATCTACAACTTCGATGACACCATCTTCCAAATTGGCGAGGGAAAGAAACCTCAAATGGTCGTCACCAGGAGAGACTTCGCCCCTTATGAAACTAGAACCTACTGTGAATGGATAACCACGATCGAATGTATTTCCGCCAACGGGTGGGCAGCCGATCCATTTACCATTGTTCAAGGCGACTACTATCTCGACGATTGGTTTACCTGCGAAGGAACTCCCAATGAAGCTGTATTCATGACGAACCCGAGCGGCCGAGTTGACGAGCAGGCTGCATGCGAGTGGATCAAGTTTTTCCATCGCCAGACCAAAGATCGCACTGCAGACGACCAGCCTCGGCTTCTACTCTTCAGCGGCCAACCTCAATATCTGGGTTTCAGGTTCCTCCAATTTTGCGAGCAACACAAGATCATTCCCTTCAGCTTTCCACCCAATATAGGACATCTTATGCAGCCTTTTGATGGCACACCTTTCAAACGTTACAAGCAGTATTGGAGATCTCAAGGCATCATTTTAAGCATGATTGACGATGCTGATGAAGAAAAAACTGCTTTCTTCAATGGCCTCCCTTCTATCCGTCAGAAATCATTCAAATCTCAGGTTATCACGAACGCATTTGCCGACAGAGGCATTGTGCCATTTGATCCGTCCAAGATAGGTCAACCACTTTGAGAGCTCGCCCCGTGGCGGCAAGTGGCAGCATGACGGATGACTAAATTTCACCCCAAGGGAGAATTCAATGTGTAAACCATCCCACTAGGTATTGAGATTATTGAGATCGGGAGAAACTAAAGGCACAATGCGGGCTTCGCAGACATAACCCTACTAAAGATATATAGCTAGCGTTGTTTGATCGACGTTAGCAATCAGTACTGATCGTCATATATGGGAAACTAGCGAGCTGACTCTGTATAGCTATGCAGCCCTGGGGATAGTGTACATTTGTCTGGGATTGCTACAAAAGGTCCATGTGAGGGACAGTCGTTCCTCTCATTGGACCAACAAATGTATGTCGTATAAATTAGGCTGAATCTGCACCATAATGGTAAATGTAGGATTACCTACTCAATTTGGAGCCTAGGCCTTGCAGTGTATTTACCGTATCTTCATCTATTGGCTGTGAAACTAGTGACATCACCAGTTTCAGCCGAAGAGATTGAAAGATGACCAAGTCATCAGATACGAAGACCTCCGGAGTGCATTAAAAGCAACGAGGATTCCTATTATCCCTCAATGTATGCAGTAAGGGGTATGTGGCACGATCTCTGTGCCCGATGAGAAATTCCTGACAAAGCGGTGACAATTGCAATCTTTTACTCGTACAATATTGTACAATGAAAGTGCCAAGTGCCGATCACTCTTGTCAAAGGGTTCGGAAATATGAGGCGTGTCCTGCTATACGATGTAGTGTCTGTCTGTAGATACTTACTCTGTATATGTATGTAAGAGTACGCCTGATTTGGGCAATCCATAAGCAGCTATCGTGCATAGAAATAGATATCAATAGAACACATATATCTAGAAAGATTCACATGAAGACTCTGTTAATACTTTCAATACTGTCAATACTTGTGGTCTCACACGACTTTTCGCCACTTCCTTATCGGAGGTGCGTGGTTGTACTGACTTCCCCAGTAACTTCCACCTGGGTGACTTCCCTGGATCTAACCTTGGAATCGATCGGGTAAAATTAGAAGATTCTCTTTCTTCTTACCTCTGCCAATTTTCATACTTTCTTCTGCTTTTTCCTGGGTTCTATCAATCCAATTTCGGCTGTGAATCGACTGGGCGATCATTGCGGGCAGTCTGTCTCACATTTTCCGAAGTGGCATTACCCGCGCCCGTTGCGCCCCTTGTCAACAACAGCCCCGCGAATCCTCTCCCACCAACAATCCACCTTGACCTGGCGCAAGCGCACCCTTGAATTTTGAGCCAGCCTTGCTCTTTGCCCTCGTCACACCTGCCATCATGGATGGGGACGAGCTAATCGCCTCGGTCTTCCGCAAGATCGAGCGGGAGAAGGCCCTCATCACCGCTGCTAGTAACATGCGGCAGTCGACCGACAATCCCCCTCGTGCAACAGAGAGTCGATGCCAACATCCGCGATGGTCGCAAGAATATCGCTTACCTGGAGGAGAAAATGAGGGAATTGCAAATCCGTCAGATGAACCAGGAAGGTGGCTCACCCGGCCAGCATGGAGGCCCGGCCCCCCCCCGCCCAAAGACCACCCCGGGTACGCTGGTGAGCAAGGTGATGGCCACTACCCTCAGGGTGGCACTGGCTCGATGCCTTCCGGTGCCCCATTCTCCGATCCCCGACCTTATGCTCCGATCCCGAAGGCGAGGCCCAATTACACGAAGCTGGGTACGTTCTTGCATACCGCTCCTGCCAAACCCTATAAAAATGCTGCGCTGAGCTTAAACCGCTTGGAATGCTAACATTAATGGCCATGTCTCAGATCTGATCAAGTATGACACTCCGTACCTCGGGCCGAAGATCCAACTCATGCTGTCTCAATTGGAGTTCAAGCTGAGCGTCGAAATGCAATATAAAGCCGGTATCGAAAAGATGGTCCGCTTATACCAGGATGAGGGCGACCGGAAGAGCCGAGCGGACGCCGAGGGCCGTCGTATTGAGAGTAACCAAAAGATTCAGCTTCTAAAGCAGGCGCTGAAGCGATACGAGGATCTTCATGTTGATATTGAATCCGCCGATGCGCCAGACGGTATGAAAAAAGCATATAGCAATTTTGCCGCGGGCATAATGCGACATGGTCACTAACTGGTGTGCAGATGAGAGTCTTAGTAGTCCGAACATGCGCAAACCGCTGACTGGTCTGCTGACAATGCGCATCCATGCGGTCAAGGACGTGGACCATGCGGCTAGTTCGCGATTTTCTCGAGGACCAGAGACATACATTGTCGTTAAGGTTGAGGACACGATCAAAGCGAGAACCAAGGCCACCCGAAACGATAAATGGTTGGACGAAAGCTTTTCCATGGATATCGATAAGGCAAACGAGATCGAATTGACTGTTTATGACAAGTCGGGAGATCGCCCAGTACCAATCGGTATGCTCTGGGTGCGCATTTCTGACATCGCAGAGGAGATGCGTCGCAAGAAAATCGAGACGGAACTCAACGCGTCTGGATGGGTATCCGCAGATAAGATGGGCGAGGGCGGATCCCCTCGACATGACCATGGCGGTTCTCCTATGGGCTCTTCACATGGCCCTACCCCCGGAGGACGCCCGGGCACATCGGGGCATGGTGCACATGCGCATCACGGTGGCGAGAGTACAAATGCTCCCCCGACTGTGACGATCGATTCCTGGTTTGCCCTGGAACCGGTTGGCCGAGTCCAGCTTCAAATGAGCTTCGGTAAGACTAACTTGCCTTAACCTCACAAAAAGCAGCCCCAGTGTACTAACTGGATATAGCCAAACAATTGAAGGATCGCCGTCCCTTTGACATTGGTCTTAACCGTCAAGGTGCCGTGCGCCAAAAGAAGGAGGAGGTTCATGAGAAGCAGGGCCACAAGTTCGTCACCCAGCAGTTTTACAACATTATGCGCTGTGCACTGTGTGGAGAATTCCTCAAGTATGCTGCCGGCATGCAATGTGCGGATTGCAAGTACACCTGCCACCGCAAGTGTTACCCCAAGGTTGTCACCAAGTGTATCAGCAAAGCCAACTACGAGACCGATCCGGACGAAGAGAAGATCAATCACCGCATTCCTCACCGATTCGAAGGATTTTCCAACATCTCCGCGAACTGGTGTTGCCACTGCGGCTATCTGCTTCCTTTTGGACGCAAAAATGCCAAGCGCTGCTCTGGTAGGCAATAATACTGACATCGCAGCTTCTTTCTAGTCCATACTTACTGACCTTTTCTATAGAATGTAGTCTCACGTGTCACGCTCACTGCACTCACCTTGTGCCCGATTTCTGTGGAATGACAATGGAAGCCGCCAACCAAATTCTCGAGACATTGATTCGTACCAAGCATCACAACAAATCTGCCTCTGTTAGTTCTGGCCTCAGCAACCGTACCCTTCGAGCAGGCGGTCCGCCGCAGCCCGCTCAAGACAACGCTGCTCTCTCCTACCCCCAGAAGCCGATGGAAGGACCCTACGGGGTTATTCCTAGACAACCCTCCGCAGAAGCGGTAAGCGCTGCCACTAACTCCTTCATGACCCCACAGTCACCAACTGCTGCTGCACAGGCCGCACAGCGCCAACAGATACCACCGAAGTCGCCCACTGGACCTGCCGCCGCCGCTGCCGCCGCTGCCGCAGCTACTGGGCTACGTAGCCCCCAGCAACCCCCAAGTATGCAATTTCTGATCATGCGTTGAAAACTCGTATACTAATCAAATCTTAGCTGAAATGGGCCGTCCTATGCTGCCACCCCAGGGAGCCCCGCAGCCTCAACACGCCCCTTATGACCCATCCCTTTATGCCAATTTCCCGCAGCAGCCACCACCCCAGGCTATGCAGAAGGTACAGCCTTCACCTTATCCAATGGCCCCGCCTTCGCAGGTCATGCAGCAACAGATGCCCCAACAACAGCAAGTTGCACCCCCCTATCAAGGACGATGCTGCAGTGCAGGCAAAGACTCGCATTGGTTTGGATCACTTTAATTTCCTTGCTGTTCTCGGAAAAGGTAATTTCGGAAAGGTCATGCTAGCTGAAACAAAGAGCTCCCGCAAGTTGTATGCCATCAAGGTGTTGAAGAAGGAATTCATTATCGAGAACGATGAAGTGGAGAGCACCAAGTCCGAGAAGCGTGTTTTCCTGATCGCAAACAAGGAACGTCACCCCTTCCTTCTCAACTTGCATGCTTGTTTCCAAACTGAAACTCGTGTCTATTTCGTCATGGAGTATATCAGTGGTGGTGATCTCATGCTGCACATTCAGCGTGGCCAGTTCGGCCTCAAGAGAGCACAGTAAGTCCCATGCTTGGTCTTTGCCCTGTTTTGGGGGTTATAAATGCTCACATTTCTTAGGTTCTATGCAGCCGAGGTCTGCTTGGCACTCAAGTACTTCCACGAGAACGGTGTCATTTACCGTGACTTGAAGCTCGATAACATTCTGCTGACGCTGGATGGTCACATCAAAATTGCTGATTATGGTCTTTGCAAGGAGAACATGTGGTATGGTGGTACAACTAGCACATTCTGCGGTACTCCTGAATTCATGGGCCCAGAAGTAAGTGGGATCAAGTTCATTGTTTTTTTCTTGGTGTATTGATGAGCTAACTTGTGTTGTAGATTTTGCTGGACAAGAAGTATGGACGGGCTGTGGATTGGTGGGCGTTCGGTGTTCTCATCTACCAGATGCTTTTGCAACAGTCTCCATTCCGTGGTGAAGATGAGGATGAAATCTACGATGCCATTCTTGCTGACGAGCCTCTCTACCCCATTCATATGCCTCGAGACTCCGTGTCGATTCTCCAGAAGCTGTTGACTCGTGAGCCCGAGTTGCGTCTGGGCTCCGGTCCCACCGATGCCCAAGAAGTGATGTCTCATGCGTTCTTCCGCAACATCAACTGGGATGATATCTACCACAAGCGGGTTCCCCTCCATTCATCCCCACAATCAGCAGTCCTACCGACACCAGCAACTTCGACCAGGAATTTACCAGTGTGACTCCTGTCCTAACGCCTGTACAATCTGGTAAGATATTCTTTTGGAATTCTTTTGTGCTTTCTGGAAGATGAACTGTAACTAACCTATCCTTTTTAGTGCTTTCGCAAGCCATGCAGGAAGAATTCCGAGGATTCTCTTATACTGCTGACTTTGCTTGATTTCACCGATGTGTGATCGGGATAATTATTGCTTGCTTGGACACCTGTCACGAGTTGTTAACGAGGGTGCCAATTCGGTTCATAGGCGGTTCAATGCCGACACGTCCGGTTTCTTCAGAGCGCCGCGGGTCTCCCGCCCTTTCCAGCACTTCTTGATCTTCAAATTGCTTCAACATACCCAATCGCAGTTTCGTTTTAAGTGCCGGTGTGGACCGGACCTCATGACATGCTTCGACCGCCGGATATCATGGTTAATGAAACCTCCAGGTTGCTTTTGCTTTCTCGATTTCTTTGTGTGCTTATCTAAATTGCTTGCTCTATTTTTTCACTTTCAAGTTCTTTCTTTCTGTCTAAGTTTACTTCCGACTGGTCGGGTTTATGACTCTATTCTATGTCGGGCATTTGATGTCCAAAAAAATGGAGAAGGGACGAGTTCCCATATGGGAATTGCGTGGCGTGGTTTCGAGAGAGTGTGTGTGTGATGAGAAATGACGAAGTTTGGAGATCTATGAAGATAGCGTAGGTTTCCTTCAGGGACTCTTGCGCGTTATGGCCCGGTATTATGTTCTAGCGGTTCGTGGTATGGAGAGGAGATACAAATACGAACTAATCTATCTCATCTGTCTACATGAATGTTGTAGTTGGATCGTGGTCTTATATGTACTTGGGCACATATAGATGCACACGTGTATATCAGATCTGGGATGCGACTGCCCTTTCCCTTTTCAGATCGAGGGTTGCCCTAGGTACCTCGTTCCTTCCCAAATAGGAAGCCAAACTCGTGTGCCTTCCTCTTTTGCGCCTTCCTCTCTTGCAGAAACGCGTACACGTTTCTTTTGTTTACTTTTTGTCCTCTTCCTCTTCTCTTCTTCTATCCTCTTCCAATTTACCACACCTTGTTACTGTTCACCCAGCCTCTTTTCTTTGTTCCAGAAATAGATCAAGCTACCGAGGTCTATTCCAAAGATGCTGCCAAAAGCTAAAGGCCTGCTTCGTCGAGGCTTTCGGGCCTTCAGTAGCCACACTAAGCCCGGGCTTTGAGCAACAAAGAGAACCTGCCTTCGGGAAACAAAGAATCCTCGCCCTCGGGCAACAAAGAACACACCCCTCACTCCACTCCAAAGGTGAACCAACCGCCCTCGAGCTCCAACCCCATCAAGAGATGGCTCGAGAACGTGTCTCCCCCCGTCTATGGGTCTCTCATCAACAAGGTGCGACCAAGAGTTCGATAATATCGACTTTCACATCAACTTCTCTGACAGCTCAGAACTGGGACCCCCTCCAGCCTGGTTCAACGAGACCTGGCACAACGATCCCGAGATTCGACGCTTCCTGTGTGAGGACGAGGTTCCTCACGACCAAGTGCATTCAGCATTTCGCGCAACTCACCACACCCCCGCTACCAACCCGACACTACCATCAACCCACATCCTTCCCCCTCTCCTGTTACCCCGGGGTCCTGCCACAACCGGCGGTTACAGCTCCTTCCCTCAACCATCTCGAGGAGCCGGCACGCTCCCCATCGCTAAACACCATGCCCGACACAATTGTTCACTTCAATGAAAAGGGCCAGGTTGTAAGATTGCCTTCATCGCAACTTAACATATCACTTTGATTTCTACATTTTACTGACTTACATACCAGGTGACCTCAGCCCAAAAGCCGGCAATCTCCCCATCGCTGAACACTATTCCTGACACAGTTGTTCAGTTCAATGAAAAGGGCCAGGTTGTAAGTTTGTCTTTATCGTACATATCATATTGACCTCAGTTAATCTCTCACCCACTTACATCGTACTGACTTACATACCAGGTGACCTCAGCCGCAAAGTTGACAAGCTCCCCATCGCTGAACACCATTCCTGACACAGTTGTTCAGGTTGTAAGTTTTGTCTTTATCGCAACTTATCATATCACCTTGACCTCAGTTACCTCTCACTCCAGTCCTCTACCCATTTACATTATTTTACTGACTTGCATACCAGGTGACCTCAGCCCAAAAGCGAGCTTTCTTCCCTGATGGCACGGGGCCTCAGCGCCCGGCTAAGCGAGCTAAACTCGAGCCAGAGGGCTCTGCAACAAAACGCAAGCGGCCAGAGGACACCAACGAGGACGACGAATGGGACTCTGATCCACCCACCTCGCCTGAATATAGGATTTCCAGTGCAAGTGATGATGATGATAGCGACACCAGCGGTTCTCCTTCCTCGCCATGGGTGAAGCGAGTAAAGGGGACTGCTTTGCATCCCTCGGTCAAGAACGGCCGCTCACTTAAGCCCAAAGGCAAAAGAGCCAGAAAGAAGAAGAAGAAGACATGGGATTCGGATAGGTCAATGTCTGAGCCAAGTGACCTCGACTACGAGAGCGACGAAGAATACTTCATTCCGACAGGAGAGCGTGACGAGCTGCTCAATAATAAACTGACCCGAGAAAGGGCAAAGCGCCTACTTGATGCAGTGGAACTCCCGCAAGGCCATGACCTGTCACCAGACGTACAGCAGACTGCCCATCAACTTCTTACTCGTGGCTGCTTGCCAACCATCCATAGACACTGGGAGAAAGATTTCTCTACCCTTCCAGAGTCGCTGTTCTTTTCTGGGAAAGGTGATGAGACTCAGCGTAAGGAATCTAACTTCGTCCTTGAAAATGATAAGGGCTCCGAATTTTACGCGATCCGTGCATTTCAAGAGCTTTTAAAGATATGTGGCAATGTGAGGGATTACTGCAATATCCTTGACATCTGCCCTGGAATCTATATCAAGAAATCAATAGAGAAATACCTTCGCTGGGCATTGACCGATGCCGGTGTCAGAGTCCAGCCGGACACACCTCCTGTGCACGTCATCTATTGCAAACATCAGGACGAAGAGCCAAAAGAAGCCTTTAGCAAAGTTGCCAAAGCATTGGAGAGCCTATTGAATACCTGGCAGGGCCAACTCGCTGCCCCCCATGACGGCGAAGAAGGCTGGCCGGCATTGATTGGATTCGTTCTCTGTGGACCTGTTCTTTCTGTCATCTGTCTGGACACCAATCCCCATCCGCAAACCATAACACAAGGGATCAAGTTCCTTGGCCATTTCGACCTTTCCGATTTTGATCAAGATGTCTGGAACACCCTGGCTATCGCGATCCTCGTCATGCACATCAAAAGGGCCGTGGCCAAACTCGCAAAGGCCTACGGTGACAGGTTTGTAGCCTCGCTCATTGATAATCCTGCCATGGGTTCCCCAGATCCTGATCGTTAACTTCCATAATGTTACACTCATATATATATATATATACATAAGATTCTCTTACCTGCAATCACTCTCGGGGGATTGGGGGAATTTTTGAGCCCTCATTGGCAATTTAGCGTGTGACCTTCCATGTACCATTAGTTTAGTGAATGACGTGATCTAACTCTTTTTTTCCCCCTATAGACCATGTACAATATTGTAGATGATAGGTTCAGACCAAGTATGAATGCTCATGCATGCTAGTGGAGCTCGTTTCATGCCTGAAGCAACTATTGCCAATAACAGAGTTGCTGCGACGAATGTAAGGACTGATTCGTCAAATCTCCACTTTTGTTGTTGAATATTCGTTTTCCCACTCTGTTCTTCGATGATATTCGAACCATCCCTTTATTTCGATGGACTCGATCTAAAGAATAATAGAGTGTGTTGTTGGGAATCCGGAAAGCTCCTAGCGCCCTAAGAAAAAGAAACCTTCCACGATGATCAACGACGACCATCGGGCCACAGAATCATCCCCTTTGCTGCGCGACATCGACACCGAAGCAGCAATCAATTCCAAGAAGTCAGGATGGCGACAAGAATTAGCAATTATCTCGCAATACTCGGGCCCTCTCATGATATCACTCCTGCTTCAACATGCATTAACCGGTTCTAGCATCTTCATGGTGGGCCATCTGGGGAAACGAGAAATCGGGGCCGTGAGCTTGGCCAACATGACTGCCCAGATCACTGGATATTTTGTCTTCCAAGGCCTAGCAACATGTCTGGATACTTTATGTCCTCAAGCGTATGGCTCAGGGAATTTGACCTTGGTCGGGCTTCACGTTCAACGACTGACGCTTTTCATGCTTGTCCTCACAATCCCAATTGGAGCTATATGGTGGAATGCGGATCAAATCTTTCTCCTTATTCTACCATCTGAAGCCCAGGAGACGGCTCTTCTCGCAGGGCTATATCTGAAAATTGCCATCGCGGGCGCTCCCGGCTATGCTTGCTTTGAGTCCGGAAAACGATTTTTCCAGGCACAGGGACTATTCAGTGCTAGCCTGGTAGTTCTGTTGATATGTTCTACATTGAACATTTTCATGGGATGGTTATTTGTTTGGGTACGTATTCAATCTTAGAATTCCCCCGAGCCATTCACTGATATCCCTTATTTTCCAGAGACTGCAATGGGGCTTCATCGGTGCGCCTATCGCTGTCGCGGTCGCAAACAGTCTTCTGCCCATCTTTCTGGCATGCTACGTCATCTTCATCAAGGGCTCCGAATGCTGGCACCCCATTTCTGCCGAGATGTGGCGCGGCTGGGGGCCAATGTTGCAGCTTGCCATCCCAAGTTGGCTAATGATCGAAGCGGAAGTCCTCGCATGGGAATTCATGACCCTGATGTCCTCCCGTCTCAGGTGCAACTGAGCTTGCAGCCCAGGCTGCTATGTCTACACTTTCAGACTTCGCATTCCAAATTTCATTTTCCGTCGCTGTTGCTGGTGGCACGCACATGGCCTATCTGATCGGATCGGGCTTCCTCCAGCGTGCGGCAACAGCAGCCAAGGTTATGGTTTTTGCTAGCTTTGGTGCTGGTGTAACAAATATGCTTGTGATTATTGCTCTCCGGGGAGTCATTCCGGGATTATTTAGTGACATCGGCGAGGTCTGGCACTACATCTTCTTCTTGCTTCCATTGGGTGCCGTCCTTCAAATTCCCGACGCCATGGCCACTTCCCTCAATAGCTTGCTGCGGGCTGTGGGACGACCGGACCTGGGTAGCTATGTTCAGCTCTCGATCTACTACCTCGTGGGATTGCCCCTGGGCATTGCTTTTGCATTTGGCTTGGGATGGAGCGTTTTAGGGCTATGGTGTGGAATCCTTATCGGTCAGTCGATCATTGTTTTGATTGAGGGCTTTTATTTCTGGAAAATGGTGGACTGGGCGAAGGCATCCCGAGAAGCGGTAGAGCGGATGTGATCATGCAGAGAGCTTCTCAAGGTTGAGCGACGGGCGGGATAGCTTCAAAATCCATAAAATATATCATAGCATGCACGCCCAATATAGAATACTTTTCCTCTCTTGTCTGCTTAAGAATTCGTACGGTGAACGAAATAGTAAACTTTTATATACTTAGGCGTCACATGACCGGTCCCGCTGTTGACGCTATTCCCAACACTGCGATCTTCAAGACTGCATCACCCAGCATTCCACCATGGATGCCGCCGAGGATCGAGAAGTCAAGCTTCAACGGGCCTCTGGGGATTTGGTGTCCGAGTTTTCGGCAAAGCTGCCCTCGCTATTGTGGAGAGCCCAAACTGGAACTCCCCTCCACACCCCACGTAAATGGGCGCAGGTCACGAAAACAGAGAAGCTTGTCAGCCTTGTAAGACCACACTGCATAGAATCTCTCTCGGTTATCTTTCTGTTCTTATTTACTGATGGTATCAATAGCTTGAACCTTTTCAAGAGTGGCCTCAACTCCTAGATCCACATTTGCAGAAGTTGCTGCCTCCTTTAGTGGACGCTTTTCTAGCATATCTGATCAAATACCGCACCCAATATGGCTCTGGTTCGGCGAAGTCATCCCAGGCAGGAAACCAGTACCCCCTCCCAAGAGCCATCTGCAGGTTACTTTACACTTTCTGCAAAGTCCGTGGCGTAAAGGTGATTAGCAGATTCCTAAACAATGAGCCGAAATATCTTGATTCAATGATACGGGCCTTCATCGAATGGGATGCGGTTCGGCCGCCTAATTCTGAAGAACTGGTCGAATCTGAAACCCAGCGGCTCATCTGGGAAGAACGCTATGTGATGCTGGTCTGGCTTTCACATCTTCTGCTTGCTCCTTTCGACTTGTCTTCTTTATCGTCAGATGACATTCCGGTGCCATATGACAACCTGCAGCAGTTGACTTGGTTATCATCTGAGACTCCTATGGTTGCCAGGTCGCTTCTTTCCTTGTCGTTGCACTATATTGGTGCGTCAGGCAAAGAACGCGAGGCAGCGACAGCGCTTTTGGCACGGTTGGCTTTGCGTGGGGATATGCAAGCCCTCGGTGTGCTTACAGGTCTGACAAAGTGGGCGTTTGCTCTAATCCAGCCGACGGAGAACGTCGAATCGCCCTCTGTCTACGCTTGTATTGGGGTCCTCACATTCATTGCTCGCTTGGGTGGATCGGGCCAGGTAGAGGACTTTGCTCCCTTGATCAATTACGTCTTCCAGCAGACTCTCAGTGTATTCCAAGGGAAGTCTTCAGTATCTGCGACAATTCAGTCTTCGGCGTTGGCCAGAAAGATTGTTGTCAAGATCCTTCGCAACATCACAATCATGGCCTTATCTTTGAATGAGAGAGGTGACCCTCGCATCAATGATGATCAGTTATCGACCATATTGGAAGATGCAATCGATCATTTCTTGGTCTCCTTGGCCGACAAAGATACACCCGTGCGATTTGCCGCGAGTAAAGCACTCAGCATTATCACATTGAAATTAGACCCAGAAATGGGGACCGAGGTCATTGAAGCGGTCATTGGCTCGCTGGGAGAGAACATCCTTTTCGAAAGAAACGATGGCTCACTCGTCACGCCGTCTGAAGCGCGGAAGGTTGGCACACACACCCTTAAACGTAATCTCAGTGCAGTCGATGCCCAGCGATGGCAAGGATTAATCCTGACGCTGTCACATTTACTTTTCCGCCGGGCACCTCCTATTCACCAACTCCCCGAGATTCTCCAATCACTTGTGTCTGGTTTGGGCTTTGAGCAAAGGTCTTCTACCGGTGGCTCTGTTGGAACTGGTGTTCGAGATGCGGCATGCTTCGGTATTTGGGCCATGTCTCGAAAGTACACAATCGGAGAACTCCTGGCGCTGCAGCCCCAGGTAGTGGCTTCGCAATCTGGCCAGAAAGAGGTTGATGTTCTACAAAAGCTGGCCGTGGAGCTTATCTGTGCTGCCTGTATCGATCCATCTGGGAACATCCGACGCGGGTCATCTGCTGCGCTGCAGGAGTTGATTGGCCGTCATCCCAATACCATTGCGCAGGGCATTCCCCTGGTGCAGGCTGTGGATTATCACGCCGTTGCACGACGTTCTCGTGCACTAATTGACGTTGCTAAAGCAACAGCCTCTCTGGATCAGATTTATTGGAGTCCACTTCTGGACGCTTTGATGGGCTGGAGAGGCATCGGTTCTCCAGATGCCGAGTCCAGAAGACATGCGGCTAAGTCTATTGGAATTTTGAGTACGCAAGAGCTATTCAAATCCATGAATCTGGTCTTGGATAAATTGCTGCAAATGTTCTCCAGCATCTCTCGGAATGATGTGGAATCACGACATGGCTGTCTGTTGTCTATTGCTGCCACGGTCGATGCTTTTACTTCAGAATGGGAAGCATCGGCGGAGAAGAGAGATACCCCGGAAGCCAGGGCTGTCTCCTCTCAAGTGGCCAATATCTGGGATATCTTTGGTTCTGCATCAAGCCCTACCGATGATGACTTGACCTTCCAGACTTCACGCCCGGAATTGACGGCGGAGGCATCATCTTGCTTGATCTCCTCGCTCTCTCGGTCGACCATCACGGCAGGTCTAGCTCAACCTATAGGACCACTTCTGAACCGAACACTCCAAATTCTGTCCCTCTGTGTTTCTCGAAATGATGATATCTCGATTGAGACATCTTCAACTGCCTTGGCGCAGCTGTTTCCTCTCCTATCGCCATCAAAGCAGGAAGAAACTGTGCGTACCTGGTTCTCTCATCTCCGTAGTTCATGGAGATTGCCGACAGGTCGCGGTCAAATCCTAGCACTCGGTACGGTCTTTAAGCAACTCGGAGCACAAAGTGTTGTCCAAGGAGACATCGTCACCGAAATTCTTCGTTACACCGGGAAGGAAGAGCTCATCGAGAAACGAGTCGCTGCTGTAAAGTGCTTGGCCACCAGTGTCTTGCCCTATATGGGTATGTCGAATATAATTTGTTTAGTAGCTGGTATTAGCATGGGCTAACAAAATACTAGCTACCACCGATACGATCGCGAGCAACTTCGTCGAATTCTTGAATGATTACACAACTGACAGACGAGGCGATATTGGATCTCTTATTCGAATCGAGGCAATCCAAGCAGTCCCCATCTTGCTTCAAAGACAATTGGACTCAACATCACGCTCGCCATTAATTCAAAACTTGGTCGGGTGTCTTTGCCGTCTTGCATGCGAAAAGCTCGACAAGGTTAGACTACAGGCATGGCTTTCTCTACAAGTCTTCTGGGAATCAGCAGAGGATCTACCTCCAATCGAAAAGTAATCAATTACCACTAAAGCAACCCGTTTATGACAGATGCTAACAAAAACAGGAAATTCGAACACTTCAGTCATGTTTCGTCACAAGAGTACTTCGCTCAGATACTTACTCTGCAGGATATTGGCTGGCTTCGTCTTCCCTTGTTACAAGGACTTGCTACCTCTGCTATCTCGGGAGCAGAAGGCCTCGTCCGAGCATCTCGCTCAGCTCTGACTCAATTCCTCAATTCCCAAGCCCAACGCCGACGCCAGGAGATATTGATGGTCTTCTTGCAGGATCTTTCCACAGTGCTAGGTGACAACCTTCAAGATGACCGTTTTGCCATTCCTGCAGTCGAGTTTGTTGCATTTTTAATTGACAGTTACGTTCCTGTTATCCCGGAAGCCTCAGATCCAAGGTTTGTGAACTCGTGTCTTCTACTGCCCATATATGTACATCATCCCCTGACAATTTCTTTCTCTTTAGTTTCCGAAAATTGTTCACGCTAGTCCAGAAAGCACACTTCAGATCTGCAAATATAGCTCGATTGGAAGCTGCAGTCAAGGTCTATGCTGCATTATCGAGGGTTGACTCGTTACGGGCGGGCGTTTTGAAGAAGATGACCGGGTTGCTTTTGCATCCTTTCCCCAGGTATGTTAGACGCCAAACCCATAGATCTGCAGTACTAACAGTTTTTAGGTCCGATCAAGCGCTGCAGAATACCTGTTTGTTGTGACGGACTCTGATATTGCCAAGTACGAAGACTGGTCTGCATCGCCTAAACAGCTGAAGCCCCAGGTGGATAATTTGAAGGTCACTCTTTCTCTGGAAGGCTAGATAGCAGCTCGACAGACATCCCATAGAGCTTAAATAAGCATCGAACTAATAACAACAGCTGAAAATACAAGATACAAAGCATGTATGGACATGGGGTGTGACATCTTTGGGCTTTGGTTGTGATGGGTACTTAGAGGTGCTGTGCCAGTACTTGTGCTGGTAATCGCTGCGTTAGGCTTGCTCGAGTGATCCTCCGCGAAGAAGTTAAATATGTATTGAGTCGCATTGAATTCAGACTTGCCCAACGGGCACTGGTCGGAATTTCGGTCAAAGTCATCATTGCCAACGGTGCTTGGCCAGCAATGGCCATTTCCATTCTCGCGGTAATGCTGAACAATGCCTTTCAGCCCGTTACAGTCCCAAGAAGCATGCTTCACAAGCGGGTCATCAAAGATAGTCTCATTGCTGGTCGGCTGCGCATTGTCCCCACATCCATTTTGAGCCGCCCAGGCCTGCAGGACATCAATGACAGGCAGCTTAGCACCGTCATCGCCATCGATAGGTGCGGTCGTATCGACCGTACCATGGAACTCCAGGAAAGGATATCCCTGATCCCGCTTAGCGGGGGCACATGGCCCCACACCCTTCATGTCGGCTGTATCATACCAGGCACCGCTGACAGCCGCAAAAGCCGCAAACCGGCTTCCAACCGTGGCGTTGCAGGCAATGACGCTGGTGAATCCACCGCCATTTGACTTGCCCGCTGAGTATACTCTGCTTGTGTCGATGCAGAGGGTTTCTTCCATGTGCGTGAGCAGATCATCGATGAAGTCTAGATCGTTGGGGCGCGACGTGTGGGCACTCGGACTGGAGAGCCAATATCCATTCTTGCTGTTTGGGTAGATGGCGATTCCATTGGGGTTGAATTCCGGGTTCGAAAATTGTGACAGATCTTCTTCCTCTACCATGTCGCGCGACGCCCCGTGGAAGGAGAAGTATACCGGGGTTGGCGTGTTCTTGTCATAGTTGGCCGGGATGAATAATCTGTACTCTCGGTCTGAGTCTGGGAGGCTGAGGGACTCGCTCGATCCTGGTTTTGGATACTTGGAAGGTATGTCGTGACCGCAGCCTGGGGTTTTGGCTATGCTAATGCTCGCCAGGGTCGCGAGAGATAGCAAGGATGCGAGACGCATATTGTTTGTGCCAAGATGGCCAGCTAGTTTCTCGAGGAATACATGGTTCGGGTCTTATAGGGGATTGCGGGATTGCGGGATTGCGGGATTGATATCCAATCCTGATATCCAACCCCTTAGTAGGTATACCACGGGGGCCGGACTCAGGTCTCAGTTGGGTGGGCCAAAGGCAACCGCCAAGACTTCACGGGTGAATCCGTGGTAATCTCTTATCTCTCGTGCGCCTTAAAAAGGTTTAAAGAGTGAGCTTGATCTCCCGGATCTACCTAGGTACCCCCTTTGAGTATACTAATAATACTACCTAGGTAGTATGTTGTATGCCAATTACGTATCTATGATATTGAAGCCGAAGATCGGCGGAACGTGAAGATGATCTGTTTCTTAGTGTTTAAGAATGTAACCCTTCCCAGGCTAATATTCTGCAATGCATAAAATTGGGCTTCACCCATGCCAAAAAGGGACAACCTAATTAAACGTACATATACGGAGGTATGGATAAATTTCAAACCTGAACAGTGTGGAATAAATTAGTTATGTTGTAGGATTACTTGGTAATAGTACTGAAACATAGCCATTGGTAAAAAAATAGTGAAGGCATAGAACAAAAACAAAAAAGGAAATAGTGCATCATCCGTGAATCGAACACGGGCCTCGTCGATGGCAACGACGAATTCTACCACTAGACCAATGATGCTAGTTGATATAAGCCGTTTCTCCATTGTGCATTATATGTCAAATAGCTTTCCCCCCAATTTCCATTTCCTCCGCCTCAAGTCAACCGGAAGCTTGACCTCGTTGGTTTCTAGAGCTCCTAACAGTCGCAAACATGGCAGCCGTCTCAGCAGCTGGCATTCCTCCAAATGCGACGTGAGTACTATCTCTGTATAATCGATCCTCATGCTAACGAGTCTTCACAGAGTATATGTGCGCCTGTCCCTCCCCTCTATCATATCAGCACTCCGCTTCCGCATTACCATACTGACCGGATCCATTTGCACTGATTAGGTCAAGAATCTAGACGAGCGAATCAAGGTCGACCAGTTGAAGCACGCCCTGGAGGAGATTTTCTCCGAATATGGTACCATTCTAGAGATCGTCGCAAAGACCAACCTCAAGGCGAAGGGCCAGGCCTTCATTGTCTTTGACAACATCGAATCCGCTACCCGTGCTATTGAGGACATCAATGGCTTCGATCTATTTGAGAAGCCTATGGTTCTGGATTACGCGAAGACGCCCAGCGATGCAACAGTCCAGCGGGAGCGCGGCGGCGACGAGCTGGAGGCTCACAAGCGGAGACGGTTAGCTGAGAAAGGTACGTTGGATAGACACTGGCGCAGCATATGCAAAGACTCAATTCATGCTAATGATGATTGTCCACAGAGCGTAAGCAAGCCCACGAGGCCCTCGAAGCACAGAAGAAGCTCAAGCGTCCTGCTGCCGCCGCCGAACCCGCACGCCCAGCCAAGACCACCAAAGGTGCCGGTCTCAAGCCCACCACTGCTGCCACGACCGCCGTCGTTCCGGACGAGTACCTACCACCCAACAAGATTCTGTTCTTGCGGGAACTGCCGGACGACGCAACCCAGGAAGGCCTGTCTGCTATCTTTGGCCGGTTCGAAGGATTCCAGGAAGTCAGATTGGTGCCCGGTCGCAAGGGAATTGCATTCGTCGAATACGAGGCCGAGGCTGGAGCAATCAGCGCGAAGGAGGCTACGTCGGGCATGCCCATGGGCGACCAGGGCAAGGCGATTCGCGTTACCTACCAGCGACAGTAGTCGTGAGTGGTTTGTTGCATCCTACAAAATATCCCGGTCTCGTTCTTTCTGGCGTTTGGAAGGTCTTGTCTCGAGTACATGTGTATTAGAAATATGGAGAGCTTTATCACTGTCCTCTTGCTGTCGCAATGCGTCAAGATTGCGTATCACATGAAGTCCAATTTCCCAAAAGTAGATGAAACAAGCCGCAGGGCTAAAACGAGTATGAGCATACAAAGTGGTACATGTCACGGTCAAAAAAGGATGTCAACAAGAATAGAGTATCAATACGAAACAAAACAGCAGTCTAGAAAATCACGTCGTTGTCTTCCTGCTCGCCCAGAACATCTACCGTCTCTTCCTCTTGAATTGGGACAGCAGTAGCAGCAGGCGCCTTGGGGTTTGCTGCTTGCTCTTCTGCTGCCTTTTGCCGGGCCGCGAGGATCTCAGCATCTGCGGCAGCAACGTCCCTCTGCTTCTTGCCCGAAACCTTCTTCAGGCGGTAGAATTCTTCTCGGTCGAGCTCATCGAGTTCGGAGTTGATGTCTTCAGAATGGTTAGCCTATACAAGAGACACTTGAAGTAGACGGTACGTACATTTGATGGTGTTCTCGGTCCGAGGAATGATAACATGCTCACTGTTGAAGAAGATTAGTATCCCGAACAAGGACCCGATTCACAAGTTCCGATCTTACATCGCATTTACTATATCACGCCAGTTAGTTACCAGCCATAGCCAGTTATAATCAACGAGGGAAATGACTTACCTCTGCGGTTGACAACCTTGATCACCTCATCAAGAATCAGGAAGGCAGTCTGGCATAATTGGTGAGTGATATCCCAATCCACTGCATAGACACCATGCATACCTGTAAGCTCGCCAGTTCCACCAATGTCTCCACGGCCCGTGCATATGTCTCCCGACAGCGTTGGATCTGCTGTCCTCCCTTCCCTAGACCTGTCAAACCGAAGTCATTGACGCCCTCCTGCGTGTAGCTTTCAAATGTAGGTAGAAGAACACCAGAAACGTTCTCTTGCTTGGCTCGCACGCGGAAACGGGCCTGCTTGGCGGACTCCTGGATCTGGTAGCCGATATCTCCGCCTACCGCGTAGGTCACTTCCGCCAGTGAGAAGGCAGCAATCTGCATGACCCGACCCATCTTTTGTTTGGCTTCATCGATGCGGCGTGTGATGTCTGTCGAAGTATGATTAGCGCCTCGATAAGGTGGGGAACGGGAATGTGTCGCATCATACCTCGGAAACGTCTGTTGCACAGGATAGAGGGTTAGCATATACTCTAAGAAGCAAGAAAGGCATGGGACTCTTACTTTGTTAGAGCTTCACTCTTTCTCTTTAGTAAACTATGGCCAATTTCCGCCCCCTTCAGCTTGTTCTTCATCAACCCCAATGATTGGCGAGTCGGGAATACTGCCTCTCGGCCCTGAGAAAAGATCAGATAAAGCCAATATGAGGGTTCAGTTCCACAATAAACTCACCACTGCGCCGGACATGATTGCAGCAGAACAAAGATCACAATATAGTGCTTGTTGTTTAGCTGGAGCAACGCGGCCACATTGGTATGACGCCGATAAAGCTCCACCGCCCACCTGATACAGACCAATCACGTGATACAATCAATGGTGGGAACCTCATCCGTCAACAGGTTTGGCTTTAAACGCGCACGCCAACAGCCTCTTGTTTATGCAATTTTCCTTTATGCTGACACGTTGATCGTGTAATTGGATTTCGCTCGACTGAGTGGCGCAATGCCAGGGACGCTTTTGCCCCCGAGATCCCACCGGCAGCACGCAGAGATGGATCGACCATCTGCGTCCCGGCCGGACCTCTATTTGATCGTGAGTTTTGACCCATTGGACCCATTTGAACTCGAGGCTTACTTATAATTCATCGCTAGACCGATCAAGATATCATCTACGAACAAGATCTGCTTCGCGACGCTACTAGTGTCAAGCCATGGCTTGCCTATATCGAATTTAAGCAGCAAAATGGCACCCTCTATGAGCAAGCATTTGTATGTCGTCACCCACCACAACCCAATCGCCGAGTATTGACACTAACATAATGGCTTTTATCAGGTCATGGAGCGCGCTTGCAAGCAATTACCGCGTTCCTACAAGCTCTGGAAGATGGTAAGCCACAATTTTATTTTTTTGGGAAAAAAAAAACCTCCAAGTCTCTACTTTTACTGACCATCTCAGTATCTGGAGTTCCGAACAGAGCATTTGAAGGGCCGCAATCCCACGGTATATCGCGCCGAGTACCAGAAAGTAAACGCCCTCTTCGAACGGGCCCTGATCCTGCTGAACAAGATGCCGCGCATCTGGGAGATGTACCTCTCCTTCCTGCTCCAGCAACCCGTTGTGACCCAGACTCGACGAACCTTCGACCGTTCCCTTCGCGCTCTGCCGGTGACGCAGCACAACCGTATCTGGAGACTGTACAAAGGCTTCGCTCGGTCTGCTTCCGGACAGACCGCCATCAAGATCTTTGGTCGGTATATGCAAATTCACCCCGAGAACGTCGAGGACTACATCGAGCTTCTCGTTGAAAATGGTGAATATACGGAAGCCGTGAAGAAATTCATGGATATCCTTGACGAACCACGATTCAAGTCCAAACATGGCAAGGGTCCATTCCAGATATGGTCGGAGATGGTTGATCTCCTGGTCTCCAAGGCCAAGAAGATTGAGACCGGCCCTCAGGTCGGGATTGATGTTGAAGCCATTCTCCGGAGTGGTATCGAGCGTTTTGCTGACCAGCGGGGCAAGCTGTGGGCCGGGTTGGCCACATACTGGATCACTAAGGGCAACTTCGAGAAGGCACGGGATGTCTTTGAGGAAGGAATCACTACTGTCATGACGGTCCGTGATTTCACTCTCGTCTTCGACTCCTATGTCGAATTCGAGGAGTCTATCATTGGAAGCCTGATGGAAGGCGCAGCCGCTCGCTCTGACAAGGGTAAATCCGACGAGGATGCCGACTTCGATCTTGACCTCCGCATGCTGCGCTTCGAGCAGCTGATGGACCGCAGACCATTCTTGGTGAACGATGTACTTCTACGGCAAAACCCTCACAACGTCATCGAATGGGAGAAGAGAGTAGCACTCTGGGGCGATAACAAGGAAGAAGCTGTCCACACCTACACAGATGCCATTGCTGCAATTAACCCCAAGAAAGCGCTTGGGAAGTTCTCCGAGCTTTGGGTCAATTACGCCAAGCTTTATGAGAACGGTGGGGACTTGGATACTGCAAGAGTCATTTTCGACAAAGCTGTCAAGGTCCCATTCAAGTCTGTAGCTGAACTGGCAGAGACCTGGTGTGAGTGGGCCGAGATGGAGCTCCGTGCCGAGAATTTCGACAAAGCAGTCAGTATTATGGCGAAGGCGACACAGGCGCCTAAGAAATCGACGGTGGACTACTTCGATGAGACACTGTCTCCGCAGCAAAGGATCCACAAGAGCTGGAAGCTGTGGAGTTTCTATGTTGATCTTGTTGAGAGTGTTTCGTCTCTGGACGAAACCAAAAAGGTGTACGAGCGGATCTTCGAGCTTCGCATCGCCACAGCTCAAACTGTCGTTAACTATGCCAATCTCTTGGAAGAAAACAAGTACTTCGAAGAGTCTTTCAAGGTATACGAGCGAGGCTTGGATCTTTTCACGTATCCGGTTGCATTCGAACTTTGGAACTTGTACTTGACCAAGGCTGTGGACCGGCAGATCGGCATTGAGCGACTCCGCGACCTGTTTGAGCAGGCCTTGGAGGATTGCCCCCCCCAAGTTTGCCAAGTCTCTTTATCTGATGTACGGCAACTTAGAAGAAGAACGCGGTCTCGCACGGCACGCGATGCGGATATACGAGCGTGCAACTCGGGCAGTCTCTGACGAGGACCGCTTCGAGATGTTCGAATTCTACATCACAAAGTCGGCCTCCAACTTCGGTCTCACATCTACCAGACCAATCTACGAGCGCGCCATTGCCGCGTTGCCCGACCAGGAGGCCAAAGAAATGTGTCTCAAATTCGCCGAGATGGAGCGACGACTCGGCGAGATCGACCGTGCTCGCGCGATCTATGGCCACGGATCCCAATTCTGCGATCCCCGGACAAACGCTCACTTCTGGCAGAAGTGGGAGGTATTCGAAGTCAACCACGGAAACGACGATACTTTCGCCGAGATGCTTCGTGTCAAGCGAAGTGTTCAGGCTCAATACAAGTATGTGATTCCCACCAGCATAAAACCAATGATACATTTTCTAACGTTATCTACAGCACCGACGTCAACTTCATTGCATCGCAAGCCATTGCCAGGAGTCAACAGCAGCTCCAGACAGGCGAAGAAGGCGAAGGCGACGAAGACCAACGACGCGCAGATGCCATGGCGGAATTGGAACGTCAAGCTCGTGCCCCAGTTGGCTTCGTGGCTGCTAGCAGCGGTCCGGAGGGAGGTAACCGTCCTCCACCTGCCGGCCAAAAGCCAGCTACTGCCGAGGCTAACCCCGACGCCATTGATCTTGATATGGACGATGAATAGAGGGAGAAGTTGATATGGGTCATTTTTCCAAGGGATAGGAAACAGTTTGTGGAGCTTTCTTTTTTGCTGACTCGATCGCCTATCTCTTCGTTCTTTCTGTGTCTCCTCCATCGAATTGTATGTTGTATACTTTCTATCCTTACGCTTTCTAGTATGAGTGTTGCTTGCGCTATTTTCTCTGCTTCTAGCACACTGCATCTCAGATCATGACTTGTTTTTCTTTGTTAACCAAGGGGATTTTGGTCCTATTTGATTTTCTGTTCGATTTTATTATCTTTGTCTTGGGATACCTGGTCCAACGTGGCGTTCTAGTGTTGTATCTGTATGTATAGATTGCCCAAAGGAGTGATACACCCGTGTCGCAACCTGTCCAGCTCGATATGTTGTAACTACGAAGGTCCATTCTATTGGCGAATTCCAAGTAAGCCTTATGTTGATATGGAACCAGCCTTGACATTCATTCGCATATCATAGGTACAACGAACGTAAACAGAAATGTGGGCCGTCTTCTCGCACGCAGCGCCGACCATAAAATCAAGCTATATCTACATGTAGGACATAAACCCCGGCGCTATTCCAAGGTAAATGTAAAAAAAGGACAGGGGAGTCAAGAGATTAAGAAAGATACATCATACATCCACAGAAATGGTTCGACACTCCTTAGGAGGTACTTTCCTCTTCCTTTTGAGGGGTTTGGCATTCGGCGTTAGCACCCTCCTTTGCTTCTTCGCTGTCCTGCCGGGGCGCAGTATCTTCGCTCTTCGCCTCTGCCTCGCTAGCCTTCTCTGTCTCATGGGGCTGCTCTGGGGACGGGATGGTAGAACCCGGAGCTGGCTTTTCGGGCTCGTTGGCAGTATCGGGGAAGATCTCCAAGAAGAGATCGGGCAGGAAGCGGCCAAGGCGTGTGCGAGTCTCGACCCAGATTTCCTCCTTGCTTGGGTCTTGAGATGGGGGCACCAAGTAGCCTCCATCAGCCATGACTAGAAGGATATTCTTCAAGCTTTCGGGGACTGCTTCTGCCTATGAGATTGAAAACAAGATAGGTTAGATGGGAGTGGTCTTGGTATGTTTGAGTCATCGGGTGGGATAATCGACTTACCAGACTATCGCCCTGACCGCTGTTCATCATGCGGTCGAGGATGTCCAGGATCCTGAGCCAGAGTGGGAGCATACCAGTCCGGTTCGGAAGCTGGTCAAGGAAGCGCAGGAAGATCTTGCAGACCAATGTTGCGGCTTGGAATCGGGTCTCGCTCATACCAACTGGGTCGGAGTGGTAGACCTCGGGCTTCAAAAGGAGTAGGACGAGCGGGAACAGGACTTCATCGAATATGCTAGTCCACTCCTTGTCATCACTTGAGATCAGTTCGGCAGATAGAAGAGATCTCTGCAGAGTGGAAATAGCATGGTGTCGGATATCGCGGCACGGGTTGATGCATTGACTGGTCAAGGACTGGAAAATAGGTGACCAGTAGGCGGCCCAGGCTAGACATTCACATATTAGAGATTCGTTGCAACACACATGTCAGAAGGTCAGTCGTTACCTTCGTTCTCCTCAAGATGAGATTGTTTGATAAGAGCAGGGACTCGTCCAGTCAGATGATAGATCAGGCCAATTGCCTTAACGCCGCGAGTCACAACTTGGTTCTCACTATTGGAGGAGAGGTAAGTATCAACGCTAGAGGGAGTTGCATGGTACCCTTACCTCGACTTGGATTGTTTGACTCCCTTATTACGACGGGCCTGAGCATCTCTGTGACGTTCTTCAATAGATCCCACACGCCCGGCACTGACAAAGTCATTGGCCAGGCTGACTACAAACTCATAGTTGTCGGCTGTGATGATGTCGGGCATTGACTCAACAATGCTTTGTAGAAGCTCAAAGACAAGGGAAGCGACTGCCTCGTGTTGGTGAAGTCTCTGCAAGATCGACCAGAAGTCCGGAGAAATTGTGATCTCGTTTCGTAGACGGCCGGTATGAGCAATGCACCTGGCAAGACCCTTGACCGTTGCCACGGCCACTGTCTCCAAAATATCCTGATCAAAACCAGAAATAGCGTGGAGCACAACAGGTACCCGCATGAAGTGTTGATCCTAGCGTGGTATCAGTACAGAAGGACCTAGATCAAAGCCAAGCGGTAAAGGAGAGTACATACATGGCTCAGTCGCAGGAGGTTTAGGAGGTAAGAAACCACACGCGATACGGTTAGTGGATGGAGGTTCTTCGCATCGCGCACCAGTGTTTGAAGAGTTGTTGCCAGGTTTTCACCCAGGACCTCCAGGGTCTTCTCATCACGAAGAGTGAGCACCGTTGCCAATTCCAGAACGAATACCATCGAAGGATCGTATTTGGGCTGGTTAGGATCAGCTCTCCCGTTGGCAGCCCTAGATGTTGGTGTCGGCCGTTCGGGCTTCACGACAATGACTGCTGGTGCGTTCTCCTCGGGAAGCAGGGACAGCAAAGCCTCCACGAGCATCTCCAACGAAGACAGTGGAAGAGACCTGCGAGAGAAAAAGTCAGTAAAATAGCCACAAGTCATTCAATAAGACACCTTCACTGACTTGATATTTGTTAAAATTTCGGATATTGAGCATGCGGTCACACAATCCACTGTGCAGAGCGTGTTGTCAAGTTCTTCGTCCGAAGGCTCAGGAGGATCGTCTGCCGCATAACTTGAGAGGTAGGATGTGAATGCAGACAAAATTCCCGTGTCGTTGTTGCGTCCATCGCGATCCACCACCTGTGATGGAGGCTGTAGCGGAATTGGAGAAATCTCAAGTTCGGACGTGAGTTTGGCATCAAATGGCGGGATGAGAGAGTTGATGAACAAGTTACTCAAGATGCGGACGATGTACTCCCAGCCTTGTTTGACAGTAGCCTCGTTTGTTGAGAGGACTCGGAAAAGCACCACAGTTGCTAATTGTGCTCTGAAGTCTCGGCCAAATTTGACGGCTAGCTCGCTTACCATCACGCTCTTCTGGCCTACCTGGACCTCTGTGTTAAGTGCTGTGCTCGGAGGTCTGCTTGTAGCCAAAGTGCTAATCGATGCAAGTGAGAAAACGATACGGTCGAACGCCTCAGTCAAGCCATAGCGGGCAGCGATCTGTGCACACTGGTCGAATCCGTTGACCACGCGAGAATACACTGCATCATCTGATGCGGACATGAAGACATAGGAAAGGGTCGCGATCACTGGTTTCCACGTAGCCGCGAACATTTCGGCATCATACATGTTGGTCTCTCCAACTATGGTATCACCGGCAGATGAAGACTTCAGCAATAGTTCCTTCCAAGCATAGTCAAATGCATGCTTGTTTTCATGTTCATCCGGGAGGATGATTTCGTTGTTCTTGATAGATTCGTAGATATCCTCAAGGAAATCCTCCGCGAAGTCTCCACCACCATTGACACCTCGCAAGTTCCTTGCGAAGCCAGCGCAAGTCATACGGTTTTGTGACTTCACATTGCGGTTGTAGAGCTCAGTGTTCAGCATGATTATGGCGTAGGTCAAAATGTATAGTGCGTCTTTGTCGGCGATACCAGCCGGCTTTACCTTTTCAATGTAATGTTCCGAAAAAGTCGTCACAATTCGCTCAATAAGCGGCGATTCGCCGGGCAAGCGGAATGAACTGAGCAGTTCCCGAAGGGCTTCAACCGCATTGCGTCCTGAGAAGTCGAGGAGGTCCACAAATGCACCCAACAACTCCTCATTGCCACGTTTGGAGATGTACTCTCCGAGGACTTTCTTCGACAGGCGTGCAGTTCCCTTCAAGAAGCGAGCAACCAGAACAGGATTATTCGCATCCTCAATAACACCATGGCTCACAAGGAAGGCAATTCCCTTCTTGGGATCCTCATTGAACATCTGTGCTCCCTTGATAATGAGTTTCTTTGTGTAACGTTGCTTTTTCAAGGTCTCTTGATCAGGATAGTCTCCTTGTACCGGCTCATCATCCAGCCGGTCATGAATGAACTGCACATAGCCTAAAAGAGCATCGAGACATAACGGGGGCACATTTGTAGTACTCCAAGTTGCAGAGTCTGGGAAAGCATTGCGAGAGAGCAATCCAATCATATCCTCGCACAGATCTGCTCGGTCCACGTCGCAATCATAGTTGACGAAAAGCTCAACCATAAAGCTAGGTATGCGTGACAACATGCCAATGCTCTCTACCATTGCCTCTCGAGCTTCGGGTCTTCTCGCCCCACCTTCAAGTCCCAACTTCTGTCGATCTTTAACGGGAACGGGCGTGGATCTTCCACTATTGGCCTGGGAAGCCGGCTGTTTCACCAACTTAGGCGATTGGGGAATGCCTTCGTAGAGCAATGGGTCGATGCCAGGTTCTCGCGGTATTTCCACGCGAGGATGCAAGCAGGCCACTAAATATGAGATATAGAGTTCCTGCTGTAGTTTCAAAACAGGCCGGCAAGTCGATAACAACGTGCCAGCCACTCTCAACGAGCCAGTCAGAATAGCTATGTGTTCTGACCTAACTAGCTGGAAGAGGTACCGACAAAGGTCATCTTTGGCCAGGGCAGCCAGACTAGGATGCCGAGCAATTGAGGGACCTGCTACTTCCAAGGCGACATCAATAATGCGGAGTGCCATCACACGCATGGCGTCGGTATGTTGCCGATTATGGGGGTCCAAAAGGTCGATCAAGACACGGAATAATTCTTTGATGGATGGTAAGGAATAGGGCTTAAGCTCGGTTTCAGGATCATCATTCAGGCTCGGTGGTGCTGCTGCTGCTGCTGTTGCGCTGCCATTTCCTGTCTGCTCAGGTGATCCTTCTCGACTGGTACTGTGCCGTTCTGCGGCCGCGGTGTCTGCGCTGATGGCTGACAGATGCTGCGACGTGACAGTGTCTCCATTGACCGACGGGTCCATCTTCAAACGGGATGGTGGGTCCTTTTTTGTATCTTCGCCCGCAAATGGATCCGGTCCTGCGGGCATTTCTTGGTCAAGATGCGACAGACGCATGAAGATCACCTGGCACATCTTGACCATTGCCATTTCGGCGGATCTTCGCAGTACCTCTGACAGACGACCCTGGCAACACATGCTCAAACCAGTTTCCATCATCTCGCAGACGCTCTCGTCGCCCAAAAGTTCGCCTTCGGGTCGTGAAAGTATGCCCTCCATCAACTTCAGAATTCTCAACAGCACTATCTCGTCCGCCGACGAGTCGCTGGCTTCAAATCGGCAGTGTGTAATGGCGGCGGAGAGTAGCTGCATCGCTAAGGGGAGCCGCGGAGAATTTGGGTTGATAATATTGTATGAGAGGAACTTGGTAATGGAGACCAAGGCGATCGAGGTAATTGCGGCGGAGGTCGAAGAGGAGCGAACAACCTGTAGAAATGGATGAAGTAAAGCTGGGGTGTCAAAGGTTCGAATGTCCTTGCAATCTTTCAGATCACTCCGCAGTCGTGTAAATGCCGATATCAATGGATTGTCCTGCATGCTCTTCCCCTTCTTCCCTCGCAGACCCCACCGATTAGCCAAGACATGATCTTCATCTGGGCGAGGTGTGCCAGTCCTGCGTGGACCGGGGCTTGAAGGGGCAGAGTTATCCCGCTCATAAACACGAGAAGCTCCATTGCCGCCCAAAATGGCGGAGACCGAGGAGTGAGCCCAGCGGGCATGTTTGCGCATGGACGAAGTGACAGTGATACATTCAGTGGTCACCAAAGCCACCGGGTCGATGGCAATTGGAAGTGAGGATGAGTCCATGGTGGGATCGAGCATCACAAAAGATGCTCGCTGTTGTGACACCATTTTGGAGGTCAGAACAAACCAGCTGGTCTCTTGATCATCATACTGCTGGTTGCCATATCGAGCTTAGCGTCTTCCCCGCCCACTCACCGCCTACGACAGGGGCTGTATTAGTGATTACCGTCCAATCTGTATTAAAATGGTTGGATTGGACCAGAAACTGTCCCGATGAGGTATTGAAGTACCATCTGGTATTGGGCTGCATCCATGGATCCAAAATGTTTGATTTCGCCTTTATTGACATCCTTCCATGCTAAGTTCAACACTAAATGCCATTATAGCCAGACGATCAGATTATAAAAAGTTCATATTGGAGGTGAAATGTCAATAAGAAGCTCTAGCTACATCATGTATGCATGAATTCACCAACATATTAGTACGGCGATCATCGATATAGTGGCTGATATATTTTCCGAGTAAACAAAGATGAGATTTCTGAATTGACCACGCACATTATTTATGAAACGAGCTTTTTCTAGATCGCCCAAGACATAACGGCTTTGTATCTCAGACAGATCCAGCATTTCTGTCTATTCTTCTCATGAAACATGTCCATGGATGTTGTTGGTCTCGCATTAAGCTGATGTACAACGATTTGAAACTATAAAGTGCGAACAAGGTGGGATGGTCCCCATATATTCAGCGATTCATGCAGATATGACCTGTCATATTAGCCCTTGCAGCTGCTGGGGATCGCAACGATAGCAACGGTGTTGATATCGTTGGCCGGACAAAGCATAGTAGAGTAAACATTAAAAACAAGAGAACAGGACAAGTCGAGGTAGAGAATTGTAATTTCTACAACCTACGAGACCGGGGTGAGCTTAACATCTTCAAGTCTTTCTTTTATTTATTTTTACTATTCTTAGTGTCAGGCGCTAATACCCGCTCTTGGTCTATCGGGCTATCGCGATATCAACCCACCGCTTCTCTGTCCCCGCCTCAAAACAAACGCCTCCCCTCAATCTTACACTTCCTTTTACTTGCCTTTTGGGGATTTTTACTTTCTTTTCTTTCTTGTTTACGACATTTAACGTGCCTACTCCCTGAATCTATGAATTGAGTCCATATCTTCTGTATCTCAGCTTCTATGGAAGGGGAGCGCGAATGTCGCAATCGCTTTACCAACAACAGGATAACACATCCTACATGCGATCTTCAACTGTCTTTCACTCAGCCTAGGAAAATTCCTCTCATTTAATTCCAAACATTGCGCCCTTGTGTTTCCCGTCACTCGCTACCTTGCTACTCCATCGCTCCTTCTACGCCAAACCCCGGCGCATTTCATTTGTTTATCGCGCACGATAGCGCTTGCTCAAACAGCTTCTCACATTCCGCACTTGCGTCGCAAGCGCACCACCATTCGTTATGGCGACCATCGCACCTCCCCCCGCAGCCCCTACACTGGCAGACCTGCCCCTCGAACATCTCAGCCTCTATCACGTCGTCGACACATGTTTATCATCCATCCTCGTCTTCTATGGTGCCGTTTCTACCGCCAATGCCACTGTGAGCAGTTCCCGCATCCAGGCACATATATTTACACCCGCCGGGTTCCAAAGTTACCCTCGAATTACAGTGTCCCCAGCTGCCCCCGTGTATGCTGCGGTCAACCACCTACCCCGAGAAAAACAAGGAGATGAGGTGTGTCGCGGACTTGCAGTCAGCATGTTGAGGTATTTTGCCGAGCTGTCCGAACCGGTTAAGCACCGTCTCACCGGGATGGCTCGTGCTGGAAGACCGGGAGGAAAGGCCCCCAAGATGTTCGATGAGATGCATGCTGCGGATCTTGCCAACCGTATGACAAAAGTGGATGATTCATTGGAGATCATTCAGGATATTCGGAGCGCATATCAAGAACGTAAGGTGCCATGGATTGACATCGATGTGGTGCTTCCTGCAGGTACGATACAACCAGTCCATCGTCGAGAGAGTGCGGGATCAGATCTCGAGGGGAGTCAGAATCCCCAATACGGTCCATACACGCCCCTGATAGAGGTATTGGGAGATCCCATGTTTTTGCCAACATCTCGACTGAAGCGTGCGCCGTCACAGCCGACCAATGTCAGCAAATCGCGCCTGTTCGCAAGAAGCCAGAAAGAAGCCCTTCGTCTCACCATGTGTGAGCTTGTGGATACCGAAGAGAGATATGTCGCCAAATTGTATTCTCTTGTCCATGAAGTGGCCGACGAGTTTCGGCAAAAAGCCGTAGGCAGAGGGCCATCCAGTAACAGCCCCGACGAGGCAGCTTTGGCGGCATTATTCCCACCATGTTTGAATGAAATTCTGGAAGTCAACCTGGGATTTCTCGATGTCATTCGACAAGTGCTTGATGAAACAGAGAAAGATGCCATCGCAGATATTGGTCAGGACACAGAGCTCCCTTCTCGGGGATTGCCCAGGGACAGAGCGGATCCGCTTGGAACTCTGGCATTCGCAAGGGCCCTTTTTGAATGGCTACCACAATTCTCGCAGCCATATGGAGACTATATGCGAGCACATACAGGTTTCACGCAAACTCTGAATTTGTTCATGAAAGATAAGAACTCGAGCTTTTCGAAGAGAGTATACGAGACGGGAGAACAGAGACTGCGCTCTTTGTTGATGGAACCCGTCCAGAGACTCCCGCGATACAGTCTGCTGATTGACACTATGACGAGCAACTTGCCCTTGGTCCATCCCGCCGTGCGAACTCTGCTGAAAGCACGAGACATTGTGAAGGATATCTGTGCGCTAGAGAATAATTCCCCATCGAGCCATGCCCAAAGTCTTCAACGCCTGAAAGAGCTGGTCAACGGATGGCCAGCAAAGACATTTCCTGAAGGTCGGCTTATTACCGCAGTTGACTTCAACGAGATTACCCCTCCCTACCATCTAGACACAGAGTCATCTGGCAACAACACGGGGATCATGCTTCTTTATAAGAACTGCCTGGTCCTTCTAGCGAAGCCCGCCGAAAGCCGGGCCACGGCTCGTGGTGTGCTAGCTGATATCGACAATGCGGCCGCTTCGACCACTGATGTGTCCACGTCTTTGCCGCAAGCAGAACTCCAGGTTGTGCAGGTACTAGACTTTCATAATGTGCGTTGTATGCAATCCTCATGTGGTCGAATTCTGTTTGTGGCGCCAATTTCAGCCAAGTCCTTGGCAGACGAGACAAGCGCCGGAGCGGATCTGCTTGCGTTGGAATTGGCTGGAACGTATGAAGGAAGAGCCAATCGACTGATCGAAGAAATATCAAAAGCGAAGATTGAGGGTCGATTTCCCGAGAGTGAAAGAGAAGGAGGCAAATGGACACTACGAAGCCCTCCCACCGGAGCTGCGAGTAACGTGGGAATACTGGCCTGTGTGTGCGAGGACGGCGAAAGCGCCGCGCTTGATCAGATCCACTCATCCCCCATACGCATTGTTTTTAATGCATCCAAGGCGACCTGTGCTCAAATGTTGAGAGATTCCAATCTTGAGGTCATCATGTCGATATCTCCTCCAAATGGAGACCAATACAGACTAGACATCGATTCTGTGGTTGGATCTGGGTCTACGGATTTGATCACGGTGGACACTTTCATTCCTACTCTCTCACGACGTCGTAAGTGACACTCTCTTGACAATTTTGTTTTCCTTGCCACTAACATATAGAAACGAAGTTCAATATTTGCTCTCGCCTTTGCATAGCCCCCAAAACCCTGCATTGACGGACCCATTAGTTCATTCTCATTTTGAAATCCTTCGGTATATCGCCAGCAGCCTAATCACCCAAGTCAAGACTTCGCGGGGCTTCCGCCCACCTTCGCCGACCAAATTGATCTCGAACCTGTTAGGGAGTAGCCGTGACAACGCGTCCACTCTCAAAGGGCCAGGATCGGCCACTCTTACCGGCGAATTCCCAAAAATGCTCCCGTCAAGAGGCACTCTGTCGAGATCAAATACATTACCTTCGACATTCCCCGGAAAGGACAAAGAGAAGGACAAGGACAAGGACAAAGAGAAGGAGAAAGAGAAAGAGGAAACCGGGAACAAAATATCAGTTGTTGGGGCATCCGCCTCCAAGGGATTGGATACTCAGTTCGGGTTGCTGGAACAAACATTTGCAGCCTATGTACTTTCTCTGCAGTCTCGGAGTGGAAACATCCTGGGTCGAATGCTTCGGGCCAGAGATCATGTTGATCGGGCGCCAGTTAATGAGCTCTACAACATTTTGCTGGAAGATCCAAGCAGAATCCAAGCCGCCGCCGAAGTACCAGTCGATACGCTTTTTGTCGCATTCGAAACATTCCTGGCGAACGCTTGGAGAAGAAGCATGGGCCCGATCTTGAGCTCCTCTTCTCTGAAATGGATTCAGAGCCAGTTTGATACCATGATACCGCGAGATTTTGATGAGCAATTCCGGAAATTTGTGACAGACATGAGCCCGCAAAATAGACGAGCTCTAGCTGCGATCATTCGACTGCTTGCCGAGCTACTCGATGCCTCTGGAAATGATGGAGATCGTGGTGCTTTGACAATGGCATTTGCGGAGGTACTCACTGAAGACGGAGATCCCAGCCACCATGTCTCCCTTTTGGATCGACTGGTCGAAGACTTTGATAACCTCTTTGAAGAGTTTATTCCTGGGGTACCTCGGTGGAAGGAACATTGACCTGCGATCAATCGAAATCTCATACCAATGCCGGGTCAGTTGGTTCCAATTCTTCCTCTTTCCGCAAACGCTTTGGCTTTGGTATGCACAGGGATACCTCGAAAAATGAAGGCGAAAGCAAAGTCGCAGCGATTCTACGGACATTGAGCAAGAAGCAAAGCCCAGCCGGCTCAGAGCCTAACACACCCAAGGGCTCCCTGATGCGTTCCAAGTCAACTGACGTGGACGCCCGTCTGGGTTTCCTTCGCCCTACATCTCGCGATCGTCCTACGTCTCGTGATCGCCCTACATCCCGTGATCGTCCCTACCGTCCTTACGGGTTCGCATCTGAGGAGCAAATCTCGAGGCCGGGCACCGGTTATGAAAACCCGCCTTCTCTATCTTCTTTCCGAGGATTCTCTGAAGATGCACCAAGGACTCGTAGAAAACGAAGGAGCTCTCTTTCGGATTTGCGACCACCCACAGCATCCTCAGATGCATCCAGTATCTCTCCGACTCAACAGCTCCGCCCGACGACCCCTTCCAGCCGCCCGCGAGGAGAAGTGGTAACGCCCACCAAGCAGTCCAGACCTCAAAGCAGTTACATACCAACATCACCTATGCGCGGTCAATCCCCGATGCGTGGTCAATCACCAATGCGTTCTAAGCTGCCAGCAAAATCCGGTTCACCGACGCGACTAGGATCACCCATTCGCCGTCTGTCTCCGCCCCGTCCTTCTACACCCAGCAGGAAGGAGAACATTGACCCCAGGACTCCACAGACAGAGCGTACAACAAAGCCGAGGAGTGGTGTCTCAGTATCGCCAGCAGAGGAGTCAAGGAGGGGATCCCACACGTCAGGCATCCCTCAGCGGACTCCGGGCCTTCGGGAGCGGACAACCACCAACGGTTCCGATACTAAGCGTCCACAGTCTTCGTCTTCCTTGCAGAGACCACAGAAACCGCGGATGCAAAGCCCACAAAAGGTTGGTCGCATCGTCTTTGCCTCGATATGACTTTACTAACGTTCCCTAGTTACGTGATCGTGTTCAACTAGAAAAGAAGACCCAAAACTCCACTCAATTGGGTCTGAAAGATGAGCTCAAAGAGCTGGGTAACGAATTACGTTCTTTGAAGCTCACACCACCAAGGCAATCCAACGCAATGAACCTGGAGTTTGATTTTGACCGTACAGACACCAATCCATATTCTGCTACCACCACATCCCTTGAAGCCCGCATGCGCAATCTTGAAGCCCGATTTGAGACGCTTACCTGGGAATACAATGGCCGCACAACCGCTCTCGAGCGAGACCTGGAGTCGTCCTTGATTCTTAGCGAGAAGCGTGTGAAGAGACTGGACGAGCTTTATCGCGAGGCAAGTGCCGAGAACGAGGCTCTCTATGATCGGTTTAATACCGAGCTCAGCAAAATTGCAAAGGATGTCCGAGCCGGCCACGCAGAAGACGCCTTGAAGTCTCAACTGGCAAGTGCTCTAGACGAGATCGGCCGTGTGAAGAAAGAAAACTTCCGCTTGAAACGAGAAGTCGGAGGTCTTCGAGCCCAGTCAGCTGCCGCTGCACTGCTCAAGGCGAGCGAGCAATGACCCAATATACAGCATCGAGGGCTTGTCCCATCATTCATTCCTTCCACCCACCTGGACATCTATTCGACGACCTGACACCTGTCACATATCTCTTTTCCTTTCACCTTGTATTTTGATACCGCACAAGCCTCTTCTACTTTCCTTGGAACACTTTTTCATTTGCATACATATTCATGGGCCTTTCTTACTTGTATTCATTCATATTCGTTGTCACCCTTCATACTGGCCTATCCGCACAGATAGCCATTGACCATGCATGCATAGCTCAGGAGATCAAGATTTTACAGGGCTTGCTTTTTTGTGTTTGTCTAGGTGTTGTTGTCATGTACACTAAGCCTCTTCGGCATCTTTATCCACCGGCCAGCCCATCAGGCGTAGTGCCTCAGTGTCAATCATTTTGTACATCCACTGCCATTTCAGTTTCCAGCGACAGCGTAGATGTACCAGTTCCACCTCGCTAAGAGAGGAATACTTAGCTGAATGACCAGATAGCCTATAGTCCAAAGTCGGCAATGCCAGCTGTTGCCAAACCTTCTGGCCCAGAGGCTTTTCTGGTTTGGACACGATACCGTCCCTTGATATCACAGGTAAAGTGAAGCGTAGCTGAGCAGGCGCTTCAGCAGACAAGAGGGCTTTGACGTGCTCAAAAGTTCCAGGCATTTTCAGTTCAGCGCCAGAATCCTTATTCGTTCGCCCCTGCGGCCTTGATTTAACCGCATCTTTGCGTATCCGCTCGATATCAAATTTATGGAACGGCCGTATCGTCATAGGAACACTTATCAGTTGATCCCCCAGTTCACTGGGATCACGGTCGACCGGAACAAGACGAAGCCGCATCCAGTACCGGTTATCCCACAAAACCCACGGAGTAAAGCTGCCACTAGGCGAAACGTTGATTTGCATCACGGGGTCACGGCCTCTCATGAATGGTTGCCGGGAAAGCAACCAGATATTATCACCACCGGGACGTGGGTCTTGGGACTTTTCAAGCGTGGAGGCTTCGTTCGTGAGACGCTGGAATAGGACCCCGGCTACTGTGAAGGCCTTTCTTCTTTTCTGGTCATTGGATGTGGCGCTTGCGCCATGAGAATCATCTGCACCGCGGAACACGTTTGAGACTAGCGGCTCGTAGCTGCGTAGCGAGAAATGGCTATCGGGGAATGGAGAGACTAGTTCTGTTATGCGGCGGAGAACGATGGTCTGGATCTGTCGGGTCCGAGACTCTGACAATGTTGCCAGTTGGGGGTCCATGGATGCTGGGCTTGGGTCTAGGAATTGAATGACCGCTGACCCTGCCTTAGGATTGAAATCTAGGATTCGGCATTGGGATGAGAGGAGGTAGTTGGAAAGCTCGTTTGATCTCTGGAGGAGGTCTTTGCTTGAACGGATTAGGGAGAGGATGGATTGAGAGCCCAGCGCACGGGGTAGGGAGTTTGAGGTGCGAAGGCTGCGGATGGCGTTCCGGGGAGTGAGGGTTGGGTCGAAATTTGTTGGGTCAGAGACGTAGGGAACGTTGTTTTTGTGGCAGGTCTCCAAAAGACTTGTTTTGGTGAAAGAGAGCAGAGGTCGACAGATGAATATGCCGGGGCTTGCCATCTTTACATTAGATGTGAGATTGGAGTAAATTTTGTCTGTCCTATCATTTGGATTAGGAAATGTGATGAACCCCTGTTTCTGATTATCGAATCGAACTTTAGGTTGGGGTTTTGTCGGAGGCTTTGTTGGAATTGATGTAGTTGACCAGCTCTCAGAAGCCCCGAAGAGCCCATGACATTCGGGGATTCGAGCAACTTCGGGGATGCCGCCAAGACCCAAACCAGTTGCCCCAGTGGAAAGCCGCCAAATGGTGGTTTCAATGTTGTCATCTTGATGATGGCCTAAAAGCAACGTTTCAAGTTTGAACTCATGACAAGCTATGCCGAGGGCTTGGAAACGGAGCCGTCGAGCATGTGTCTCAAAGGCGGATGGCATGGGACTCGATGCTCCAGATTTTGGCGAAGATAATTGATTCTGACTTGAAGTAATATCAGACCAGTCCAAACTAAGGATATGAGTTCTAATGTCTGTTTAAGAACGGTTAAATAATCTTCCAAAAATATAATATTCCGACTTGGAACGTACCCATATCACGAAGCCAGCCAGCAACCTTTTGGGCCTCAATAGTGCTTTCTGGACGGGCACGATGATCTACCACAAAGGCAGTAACAGAAATGGCTCCAGCAACATCCGAAGAGCGTTCCAGTTGCTTGCATAGGTATGCCAAAGCCATGGAGTCGGCGCCGCCGCTGACGGCGATTCCTACCATCTCGCGCGTTAGCTATAAGCTCTCGAGATACGAACAACGAATTTGTAATATTTCAATCTTCAAAGCTTACCAAATCTCTGTGGAAGCTGCAGAGTGTCATTATCACCGACTTTCTTTCCATATTTGGTGCTGCCGTAATTGATGCGAGCCCGTCGCGATCCGGACCATGCTTGCTGGAAGCAACGCTGGAACAGAAATGGCGAGATTGATATATTCCCGGCCATTTCTAATCTTCCTGGAATCAAACATAGGCTCGAAAATTCAATATCATCATCGGCCTATAGATTACTTAACGCGCAGGAGAACCTCAGGGTAATATCATCGGCTCGGCCAATCAATTTTCCCGAGAACGTGACCAGATGGCCTCCACGCGAATATGTCCCAGAGATTATATCGATTATTATTTTAAATAATGGCAAGTCATTTTGGTATATTTTTGGGGAATGTATCAGTGTTCTGGTAGTGACAGGAGCATAAGTGATGGTTGCTGGGTTTCATATGTTGCTTGGATGCTTGATCCTATAGTTACATTACGGCAAACCAACACTATGTATGGCACAGTGAGGTCTGCATATGATTTACATCTCTAGATCCCAGAACTATTAGGAAAAGCAGCCAGGTAAGCACCCTCAATTTCCCGGCCCATCCCCCCAACACCCTCAAAAATCACATCCGATTTCAGAGATCTGCCAAGGATTTCCACCCCATGTCGCAGCTCCTCACTCAACCTCTCAGCATCAGCAATTTCCGACGCAGGAGTGGGGTTATTAAGCAGGTGATAACAGTTTGCAAGCCGATCCGTCGCTAGACAGGCACGCAGTCGATGCAGTAGCATGAGAAGACCGTAGCAGCTTTGCATAGCCGAGCAAGCAAAATAAGGAATGGTTTTCGGATATGTTCTGGACCTAGAAGAAGAGGTTGACCCAAGTGGAATCGCATACGGTAAATTGCGATATATCGTCGTTACCACGAGAGAAGACTTGAGGCAGATAATCGAGGATTCTTGCTCGGTGAACGGGAATGAGACCTCGCGGTCTGTTACCCACTTGGGAGCAGATTGGTGCGGGAAATCCTCGCTGTTGATTGCTGCAAGATCGCAGTAATTGTCGAGAAAAAGGGGGATGTCCATAAATGCCCGGAAGCGGTGCAGCCGAGTGCGAGCACTAGAAGGGTTAATGAAACACATATTCAGGTTGAAGATGAATCACTCACGCGTGGATCAACATGCGGCTAATCATCCACATGGTTTGGGCTACGGATGCCTCTGGCCCTTCGTCAAAAGTCGTCAAAAGATGGCGGTCAGCTTCGCCCACCAAAGATACAAAATCTGAATCCAGCTTGCGTATTCGGGTGCCGAAATCGGAGAGAACGGCTGTCTTATCCACACTTTCGATGTTCTGGACCATTTTATTAGACTCAAAAAGAGCTTCTTGTGCTTTCATCATTATGGGCCATGGCTTGTAACAGTCAGTAGGTGATTGAAGAGCTATGGAAAGAGTCGAATGAATACCTCCAGATAAACATCAAATTTGGGATATGGGGTGGTTATTCGTGGATCATGCATGGAAACAATTGGTGGCTAGATATCAATCAGCTAACCTCGGCCAGTGAGAGAGTTCATGCGTTCACTTACAGAAAGATGGAGGCTCGATGATAGATATGTGACCCAAACCTATAGAACCAGTGAGAAACAGACTCGACAATAACATGTCTCTCCCACTAACCGTCATCCACCAAGCTCGTCTCTGTGCCTCAGAATAATCTGTCGTCATCGAGTCAAGTCTATGGATAGAGATATCCATAGCCGTTGTGATAGCCTGGTTACCTCGAGCCCGCATTCTAGATACATTACCACGCTGGCAATACTCATAAATGCTAAGGACCACGAGAGCCAGAACCGGATCAAGCTGAGTTGGAACTTGCGGATGCAACACATTTAGTGCGCGAGAAGATTCTATCCCAGGGACAATAGAGCTTAAACCAGGCGACAAATCGTCAGTCTCAGTTTCCACAGCAGCCAGCGCCGCCTGGGCAAATAGCTGCGCGTACGACCGCCTAGTCGCAAGGTTCGTTTCGGCCATTGGAAAGGTGTCTTCGGCGGTAGGGATGAGGACTAGCATTGCGGACAAAGCAAGACTCAGAGACGATGTCGGCCAATAAGGCATATGGGACTTGTCTGCTTGAGAACTTTCTCCAAATGGCCTGATCACAGTAGGGTGATCATCCTGCTGCGGTACCGCAGGAGGTGGCAACAAAGGTAAATACGGATGGATATAAATATAGTAGGCATTGGCACTGTGTTTCCAATCAGCAGTCGGTCATGTTTTGAATCATGTCTCTTTTGCACCAACATTTCCGCTTCGGATTGATAGGCGCGTATTACCGATGACCCCACATCCTGCACAGGGCCGACTCGTAGGAGCTATCGTCATGCGGGGTGAGCTGACCCCAGAACTGGTGGGCTCCATCCACAGTTGATAGAGAATCCGGGGAGAGATCGAGATTGTGAACCCCAGCGAATGGCGATACCAAACCGATCATGTTATCAAGGAATGGCTCTGGTCAATGGTTAGATACTATGACAACTTGTTATCCAGGAAGAATTGAGCTACCAAGTTCATCAGCCACATCTGATCTTGAAGATGACAGTGAGTTGCCTGCAGTTGATCGTCGTTGTGCCTCTTCATACCGGGCTCCTCTGCGAGGACCACCCCGGCGACTGGGTCGATAACTGCACTCTCTATTCCTGCCAGAGCACTAATCAATGTATTAGCCAACGAACGCCAGAATAAGGGGTTGAACATACACTGCTACAGGGATTTTGGCCGTCACAACGGGTTTTCGATGTTCGACTACAAAATATGAGCTCAAGGCAAAAAATGAACGGTCAAGAAGGTATGTAGCGCACCATGGTAGACATGCAGCTTTCACAGGTGGTCTTGTAACGCGAGGCATCTTGTTAATTGCTTGAAAAGTGCAGTTAGCAAATGATGTCAGGAAAGAACGAGAATCCATGGATTTTATAGGGATCTCCCAGAGAATCACATGACTTTAGAAACCCATACAAAAATGCTTATTACCCTTTGTGTCAGTGAGCCAAACAAAGTCAATTTAGTTAGATATTTATATATCACTGAATTGACCAGAAGTGGTCTGCGTTGTATGGACGTCACCACGGCACGTGATATCTATACCCTGATCGGAGGGATTGACTTGATAAGATTTACCTTTATCTAGCTTTTGCTTCGATTGCTTCACGAGAAGATCAATTGGTAGCTGTCCAAGGACAAGAGTTGACCTCTGTTTCGGCGTTTGATATCTGGACCAAACACCGAGTCAACCCGCCATCGGCGATTGGTCGATCTGCACCAGGAATTTCTATCTGAAGTCTTAATATATAGTGCATTGATGATGAGCTGGTAATATAACTTATAAAAACAATTTACATATATCAATTTATTTGCAACAACTCTTGCCAACATTGGGCGTTTCAAAGGTATCCAGACGACAGAAACAGGAAGATGTTACAGGCACATCAGCCACAGCAGCTGCTATCGCCAACTGGGGCCCAATAATGCGCGCCTCATCATGCCGACCAAGACGTATCAAACATTCATGGTAGCCCTGCAAAGCCCATATATTATTCGGATGCTGACGAGCACGGATAAGAGTGCTATCAAGACCCAGGTCAGCCTGGTAGACAGCCGCTGCATCCTCAACATGGCCCTGTTCTAGCAAAAGAGCAGCATACGCATGACGGGTGGGCTGCATCCAGCTCCAGGGTTCACTGTAACCCAGCCCATCATCCAATTCAATCGAGCGACGTAGATGCTCGAAAGCCTCCGTGTAGTTCCCACGGCGGTACTCGATCTCGCCGTCCAACATTTCCGACGCCACCCCCAGAATATCAATGCACTTGTTGGGCCAGTCCAAGCGCGTATCCGGGACTCGATCCCGGGCTGCTCGATAGAGCTCTCGCTGGCGCTCTGCATCTGGAACGTTCCCTATGGCTGCATATGCCACGCCCTTGGCGTAGTGCAGGACCGCTATCGTCATGCAGTACAGCTCTGGATCTGAGGGGATCGCAATCTCGATAATCTCATCCCACATGCCGAACCGTACCATGATGTGCGCGCGCACAGACATGAAGACTTCGATGTAGTCTGACATGGCTGAGAGTAATTCTTTCGGCAGAGTCGCCTCCATGCGGTCTACGGCTGCAAATGCGGCCTGTTTCTGGCCCGCAAACATCGCTGCGTAGATGAGCGAGTGGTAGGTGTGCATGCGATAGACGGAGTAGAAATTAAATGGGCCTTTCAGCGCTAGGTATTTCTCGTCTGCAATAGCGGCACGCTGGTTTGCACGGACGGCGCTTCGATAATCTCCCACCAGCACGTCCAGATGGGATGGCATATGATTGATATGACCCGCATCTGGAACGAGATCCCGGAGGTGGTCTGCCGGTCGGAGGCCTAATTCTGGGAAAGGCGACATCTCAATAAGATGAATGTAGATGTGTAGGAGACCGGGGTGTTTGGAGGCATCTTTATGTTGGAGAGCTGTCTCTAGCACTCTCTTTGCTTCCATGGTACGAGTGCCTGGGTTTGGTTTCCCGGTTACCATGTCCCACAGCTTCCAGGGAGTGAGGCTGATCAAGGAATCAGCGTACAAAGTGACCACATCCAAATCATCGCTAAACTGTTCATATGCCTCTTTCATGGCATCGGCATATGCAATATTTTGAATAGCATATTGCTCCATGCTAGCAGGCTTATCGCTTTGATAGCGGGCAGAAATTGCCTTGGCCAGGGCCTTTTCCACGGGGTTTGCATTTTTTGTAGAGAGGAAACGAGCTTTGGTTGCAGCTCGATATGTGTTTTCCACAACGGCTGCCAAATCGTTGCCGAGGAAATCCCAAGGCTGGTTGTAGTTGGGACCGAGGGAATAGGCCAACCCCCAGTATGCCATCATACATAATGGATCATGCACCAGTGCCTGTTTGAAACAGATGACGGATTCCTTATGGTTGAAGGAATAGGCCCACACGAGACCGCGGTCAAACCATATTTGGGCTTCAGGACTGGTGGTTGTGATGACCTTCCCGTATGATCCAAGATTATAGGGATATTCGGCCTGGGTTGATGCTTTCGTCATGTTGCAGAATATCCAATATCCCACCGTATGATGCGGGAAGATGAGAGATTGAAGAGTTCGGGTTTCGGCGGGGTTCCCGCTACTTGTACCCAACGGCTTCGGACTTTTCACTCCATTGTGGTTTTTTTTATATATTTTATATTTTATATTTTATATTTTATGTTTTTTGTTTTTACTATAAACTGAGCTATTGAACAATTTTGAACTATACTGTCTACACTGCATCCTATTGGATCAGTTGGTATGCAAATGCGATTAGGTTGTACTAGATTGTACTATTGTTCCTTGCTAGATCACCACCCGACATACAAAATATGCACCTATTACGCAATGATATTCGATTCATTTTTATAATTCATAGATTGATTCACTTGGATCTTAGAAGAAAAAAAAAGTAGAAGAAAAAGGAGAAATATAGGCAAAACGCGAGTCAGTGCATTTCAGCCTCAATCATCCCTATTTTCCCCGTCGGGATCAGCCCACACACTGTTATATTATATATCTTCCATTTTTTCATCTCCCAGACATCACATGGTGTATCTAAAATAGGAAGTTCATCTCCTTTAATTTCAGATCTGAGCTTGAGCCCTCACTTTTGAAACCATCTAGTGTTAAATTTGTCATTTTCCCCTAGTTATATGGTGCAGGGATATCCAGCCAAGGCCCCAATACAAGGTCAGACACATCAGGCAATGGCACACAAGTACGGACCTATCTATATCGTAATAAAGGAGGGCATCTTCATCCTACTTGACTGGATATTGGTTAAAATACATCTTCTGACTCGTTGGCATGCCCAGGTGATTGCAAATAGTTAGCCAGCACCGGTGGACAGTGACGTGGGATGTAAGCAAAGCCCAATGACAGCCCTGGAGCTGACGATGGGATTAGATCGATATCATACCTGAGCACATTCCACAATGCTAATAAACCAAGGGGAGAAGGAAGAAACGATATCACCCCAATTTTGTGGGAAATGCCTCACAGCTGATAAAGTATAACTAGACAATATAGACCCAATATAAATCAGAGACCAGCCTGACTACACGAGAAAAAGCAAGTTACTCGTGTTAGCTGACTATCCCCCATTAAAGCCTCGGTAATACTAGTGCTAAAATGATCCCAATTATTGAACCAGCGAGAATAATGTTGCACTTTTCCCATCACAGTGATCTGCAGGTGAGATATAAAATAAGCAAAATGTGACATGCCTGCATATTACGAAGTATATTCCAACTTGAGAGGAATCTCGGATCCGAGATATTCCAAGCTCTTGCATGGACTCTAGGCAGAATTCATATTGCTTACTCTAATGCAAGTTTAGTTTGTTTCTGCCTTCTTCCAGGTGCACATTATGCAGGGGATGGAGTACGCAGGACTCTGCTTCATGCTTCGCCATTTACTCCCTGTTTTGACCGTGCCATGTTATGACTCTTCCTGTGTCTACAGAGTGTCATGCAATGCAATCGTTGCTCTTTTACAATAGTCCTCGGAGTGTGACCAAAGCGAAGAACTTCATTTCATTTGATAGAACCGGCATTGGATCAGGGAAATGGGCGTACGGTTAATACGCCAATATCTCTTGAATGTTCCATTTGTAGAGCTAGTCAGGGGCCACAAACGGAACTTACAAGCCTGAAGGCTCCATGAATTCGATTCTTCGCGAGTGTTGCCGGTGTTACCGTCAACGTCATTACATAAGAATGCAAGCTGTCCACGGGTGAGCTGTGAGGCAAAAGCAAGGCCCAAAGCAATAGCCAAAGCAAGCCAGATGCGCTAACATCCATGAGAAGATAAGTAGGAGATGCGATAGAACCAAAAAAAAGCAAATCGCCCATATGTACTAGAAATCCATGCGTTGTCGCATTCGCGTAGGCTGAATATCAAATGTACCCTTTGGACGAAAGGAAAGAGGACAAAGAGAGAACCCGATGAAAAAGGTTTCAAAGGATGGTGTTTTCCCATCAAGTGATAGCAGAGCCTGCGACAGAGCCCGAGTTGGTCGCAGAATGGATACTTCCAGAGGGTGCATGTTCATTGTTATCCCCGTTCTGGGCTTCCTCAAGGACATTGTTCTCATCAATTCCCAGGAGAGACCGGGGCGGGTGGATCTCTTTCTTGCCGTTTGTCTTGTAGTGGAGAACCATATCTCCCGAGGTGCGCCAGAGGTGCGTGCGAATCGTTGCTAGAGTCATGTTTGGTGGACAGAGCTGGAGGACGATTGCGATTAGTATGACTGACTATACAAAATAAGAGAAGAACATACCATCTTCTGGCAGTATAGCTCGAGGTACTCCTCTGGCGGCATAACGGATTCCGCTGGTTCATCCGGGTTTGCAGGGTCAATGCGCTCTGCGACATAAGCAAGAATCTTCTTCGTTCGGAGCATGCGGTTGGCATTGAGACGAGAGCCATTATTGCTGGTGTTCGGATTGCCAGGAGGGGCACCGTTAGGAGCCGGCCTGGATGAGTAACCGTGATTAGTTTCATCAACAACACCCATTTCAGGGTAAAGACGATCCAAAACATACGGTTCGGGCTTGACGACTGGCGGTAATGTATCATCGAAGGGCTTCAAGACAAAGGCGATCTTGACCTGCTCCTTGAAGGGAATTTGGTTCTATAACCAATCGTTAGTAGGAAGAAACGCAAACTATCACGCGGAAATAGACTTACCTTCAGAAGAAGCTCTCCAAGCCAATGAGGAATTGATTTCTTGAGCCTTTCGAGGTCTTCGCCGATGCGGCCCACGCTACCTCTGTAGAGATCCGAGGCTACGGCGGTATCGCCGGTTTCCTCCTGGATGAACACTGCGGTCCGAGATGGAATATCCAGTCGGGGGGTTTCATCCTCAGAACTAGGCAAAAGAGCCGTTTCCAAATCCCGATCTGGATTTGTAGCCAGGAATTCTTCATAGTCATCACGGATGCGGTCAACCACGCCACATAGGTTGGGCTCATACACCTTCTCTTCCTTGATAGAGGAGATCTCGGACTCTTCGGCCTTTTCCTCCAATATCTGAGGCTTCGTGTCCGTAGAATTGCGACCTAACTTCTTGGGGAAGTTCATTTGGAACTTCTTTCCAAATAGTGACTTCTTCCGCTCTTCCTTATCGGGCTCTGCAGGGGATTGAGAAAGCCCTGAATTTGAGCTTGCATCTGGCGGAGACAGAAGAGACTTGTCATTGTCTGTTTGCGGGGCCGCTAGAGGCCTTTTCGAGAAGTAGTCACTTGATGAAAAGGATGATGACCCGCCATCGGGCTGAGGATTTGTTGGCACTGAGGCATCGGGTGTGTCTGGTTCAAACCCTGGGAACGGAGAGTTGCTCTGTATGGAAGTGCTCAAGTAGTTCGACGAGGGTGTGCCAGAGTTGATGCCGAAGCCGACGTTTGGGCTAGCAGGAAAGTCTGAGCTGGGGCGCAGACTCGTTCTCTGTTGAGGATTCGAGATAGGTATACCAACGCTGCGAGGGATATCGTCGCCAGGTACAGATGTACTCAGCGGGTTCAGCCGAGCATTTTCTTCTGCTCTCGCGATAGCAGCTTGACGATATTCGCTGTCTCGTCGAATTTCCTCGTCCACTACCGGAGCAAATAGCCAACGCAAAATCCATTTGCCGAGGTTGACTGCGTGTTGTTAGTATGGCAAAGAATATCCACGAAGTTTACCAGCAGAGCAAAAGAACTAGTTGAAGGAAAGAACACTTACTTCTTTGATCTTCTCTAAACTGATAGAGATCAGATGGTGGTAGATCAGTCTCGTCGGCATAAACTTCTGCGTCGAAACAACGATTGGGCTCCAGAATAACTGACAACCTGCCAGTACGCACGTCGATGGTACACCAATGTCCAATACTATCAACAGTGTTTACCTCTGACTCAACATCGTCCATATGACGCTTGCCGAAGGTTTGTACGGGGATACACTAGGCACATGTCAGTCTATGTCTTATACTTGTGAGCTGAGTTGGAACCAAATCACCTTCAGTAGATCCCAGAGAACAACTTCTCCTGCCGAATCCTGAGTAAGTGTGCGCCTCCGGTCATTCAACATCAGGCACTTTATCAAGCCGTGTTGGCCTTCAATGGTTTCCTCGGGCTGTGAGTGAACTGGGAGCGTAAGGCCAATTGTCTCCAAGTTAGGCTCCGAGGAATTAAGTGTAGGGGCTGAGCCACCGATAATCGATGTCGCTGATAACTGCAAAACAGCATTGAATGGAATCTTCTTGGGTCCCTTCTCTGAAGGAGTTGCGGGCACTGTAGCAGAGTCTATAGTACGGTCCGGGTCGGGCGGCTGCTCGATTCCAACTGTAGTGTCGACATCTCGCCAGCGGTTGATGCTAGACTTGGGAGTAGCTGCCCAGATGTAGTCTCCCGCTGCCACAACTTTGACGACACCCTCGTGCTCTTGTAGTGCGGCGACGCAGAGGCCCTGGTCGGGATCGGCCGACCCTCGCATGTCGGTCTTCGCCACCAAGCCAGATCGGTCACTTGAGTAGAAGACAGAGAGATCAGGGTGGTCGGAGTAAAGAGACCACACGCTATCATTGTGCATGGTCAGGGTATTCATGCATCGACCTGCCGTGAGAGACCAGATCTTGATCGTCTGGTCAGACGACCCCGTCATGATAGTATCGCCAGACTGATTAATCATAATATCACGAATGTTGTCGGTATGGCCCACGAACTTCGTCACTAGCTTTCCAGACCTGGGATCCCATACTCGGACGACATTTTCAGGGCCGCCGCTAGCGAGCACCGATGAGACCGCGCCCAGCGCGTAGACAGAGCCTTTATCCGTGGAGTCTTCTCCACCGGCATTGATGTTCAATACCTCTCCACCGCCATTTAGATCCCAAAGGTAAACCTTTTGATCGAGACCGCCCGAGGCAACCCAACTAGCGTGGCTACCGGGGCTCGCCAGGGCCTTCACATAATCAGTATGTTTTCCAATGCGCTCCGGTACCTCGGTGGACTCGGAATGCGGGCGCCAGAGTCGCACGGTCGTGTCGGACGAGGCGGAAACGAGCGCGGAGTTGTCCTGTGCCAAGACTATGTCGTTGATCCAATGACTGTGTGCTTGAACTTGGGTTTTGAAGCCAGTCGGACTAGTCTTTTGATCAGGAGATGATGCGTCTTTCGATGACGGAAGAGGAAAGTTGAGATCCCAGGAACAAATGACGCCGTCGCGGCCCGCGGAGTATCTAGGAGAGGGGACGTCATATTAGTATCCGTGCAACCCACATGTAGGGAAGCCTGGTTTCCAGAAGATCGCGGTCGCAAACGTGGCAACAATTCAAATTTAGATCCTGGATCCCTGCATAACGATGGAGAGATACTTACAGGATGGAGTTTTGGCGGTCGACAGTCAAGCCATTGACCCCCAACCGGTGCCCACCGGGTGCATCAGGCAGAGGGAGGACTAAAAGAGTGATGAGAGAGTCAGCGACCCGAGAGGAGATTACACGGAATCCAACTTACCATAGGTGACCCTCTGGTGGCTCAGTTTGCGTGCCATACATGCAGCGTTGAAGGAGTAAAACCAATTGCGGAGATGCGAATGCGGAGCTTATCTGCCCTCGAGGCCGATCAGCACGTTCAGTTTTGGTGGGGAAGGTCAACGTCACAGGGCCATTCCAATCAAAGAAGTCAAGAGAGAGGTAAAAGAAAAGAAGCGAAGGGGAAAACACTCAAATGAGGGGAAGTTTTCTAAAGTTGGAGGCGCCAGGGGCCGTTTATGCGGCTATACATCGTTTCGTTTACTTTAGGGCCTACTACATGCATGTACTATATCAAATACGACCTGATACCTGATATATATTTGATCTGATTGGACTACAAATATCCTAGTATCTGTGAATACCAGAACCTCCTCCTTTCCCTTTCTGGATCGCTTCTCGGTTATGTTTTGGCTATTTCGATGTTCCAATATGTTCCATAGTACTGGACATGAACTGTCACTCTTATAGCGCCGATATACCTCCTTATAAAGATACTATACAGATTCACAAGTCTTTCCATTTCTGAGAGAAACAATCCTTCAACGTCAACCGGGTAGTGACTACGGAGTAGCCCGCCCCGAATTGCTTGATAGATGATGGGGATCTAAGACCCAACACACAGTTGGCCGCTCCGCTCGTCTCGTACGGAAGCGAACCTTATAGCTCATACGGAACAAAAGAGCAGCTTGGCTGCATCGCCAAGACAGGGCTTGGTTTGTGTCTGAAAAGGCTACAGTTCGCATCTTTGCGAGGAGCGTCCCACGCTCTTGATCTTCATGAATGCCCGCCTGATGCCGGGAAGAACTGACACCATGTGCATCGTCGACATCCGACTAGTGTATTCACTACATTCTTTGCCAAAAAGATTTGCGTGGTACTGGAGATGCATGTCCAGATGGACCTCTTATAGAGAGTCCTATAATCCGCGGAAATCCCACCCATCTATCTATAAACCAGTAGGGAAGATCCGCGGGAACATAACATGCTTTCTTTCATCATTCAAGGGCCTATAAACGTAGCAGGGCATGCATGCGTCTGAATGCGGCATATATTCTCTCTCGTCAGCTCTCGTCAGCACTCCCGAAGTCATCATTGCCCCAGGTGTTCGCCACATTTAACAACCAGGACCTCTCCCTTCTCCCAACCTCTACAATATACATATCTATTCTCATTTCCACTACAAACCAACATAAACAAACAGAGAAAATGGATATCCCAATCTCCCAAATTAAGCCAGCCTATCCGCCCAATCCCCCAAACCCAACACAAGAAGAACCCGCAATCCAATCCACCATCAACGCCCTACATCTCTGCGCACACCCAGAAGGTGGCTACTTCTGCGAGACGGATCGTGATCCACGCAGAGTTCCAAACCCTTACAAAGAGCCAGCAACCTCGGCCACAGCCGAAGACACAGATCCCGAAACCCGTTCTGCTTGCACCTCAATCTACTACCTCCTCACGCCGCAGCGCCCACAGGGCGCTTTCCACCGTAATAAGAGTCGCACGGTGCACGTCTGGCAAAGGGGACGTGGGCGGTACGTTATTATCCATGCGGACGAGGTAGATGGCAGTGTTGAGAATGCCAAGGCGCGGGTTGAGACGTTCGTTGTTGGGCCCAATGTTGAGGCTGGGGAGCGGATGCAGTGGGTTGTTGAAGGGGGGATGTATAAGTCTTCTTTTTTGTTACCGGATGAGCCTGAGGGAGAGACTTCTTCGGGGTTGTTGATTAGTGAGGTAAGTTTTGGACATCCATGGGATCTTATAGATCTACATTTTTGAGACGGGAGAAAAGGCTAACAAGTTCCCCAAGGTTGTTGTCCCAGGCTTCGAGTTCGCAGACCATGATTTCCTGCGTAAAGAGAGAATGGAGGAACTCCTGACTGCCGAGCAAGTCCAGGAATTGGACTGGATGCTTAGAACCGAGAAGTGAAATCCACAGAATGACATGCATAATGGCCTAAGCCAACTTGGTTTTCGGGATCTATGTTCTTCCAATCTTCTATATAGCAAAAATATACAAACCACAAGGCCAAGGAAAATCCAAAATTAAAGACCTTTCTCCGCCTGCACTCCCCGGCGCCCCTCAAGGGTATTAGAAGCATACTGATAACTCCCAAGGAACACAGCCCCACCAATACCAATCCAAGTCACACGCGGCGTAATACCACGCCAGAAAGCACCGGGCCCTTCGCGCGCAATCCCGCGCACAACCTCCTTAAGACGAACAGGCGCATCAACGCCCCCGTCTCCACGCCGCGCAAGCATAACCCGCGTCTTGATCACGTCTAGCGGAGTAGTCAGACCAGCCGCAATGGCGCCGGCAACACTACCGAACATGGCGCTTGTCGAAGCGGGGATCTGCGTCTCGGCAAGAGACGAGGCCGTCTCCGCGGTTCGCAGGTACCGCTTGCCGTAGGCTTCCTTCATCGACTCCCACATGGTGAATTGCAGCACGGTGAAGGGGATTTCGCGGGCGATTGTGATCCCAGCTCCGCGGTAGAGTTCGCGGAAGACCTGGCTGTAGCCGCGCTTCGCTGGTGGGGTTGAGGTCGTTGTGGTTGTGGTTGTGCTTGTTGGGGCTGCGTGTCGCAGGGACAGGATGTCCTTCAGTGCGAGGAGACTGGAGCCGCCGAAAAGGCCGGCTTGGGCGCGCTGCTTGATTACTTCTGTTGGGACACGGACGGCGCATGCGGCGATTTCACCGAGGGAGGAGGCGAGTGAGTGTGTGAGGATTATGTGGGAGCGGGATTGTGGGTTGGTTTTGCTGTTGGCGGGTTGCGGTGCGAGGAGGGCGCGCTTGACGCCATCGTAGACGATGAAGAAGGAGGCGGCGGAGGGCGCAGAGCCAAAGAGGACTGATGGGAGGCCGGCGTAGATACCACGGAAGGTTTGGCGCAGGGAGACTCGGGTTTGGGGTGCGGTGTGGTCGCGTGCTTTTTGGAGTCGGGTTTTGATGGTGTCGAGGGGGTAGAGGGAGCAATCGACGGTTAGGCCTGCAATTGCGCCGGACTATATAGTTGCAGAGCTGTTAGAGAGATACTCCTAAGAAGAGCTTCGGAGAAGGTTACAATCAATGACCTCGTCCACAGGGAGGAGACCAGTGGCTCCCCGTCGAGTTGTTGGGTCATTTTTGTAAAGGATTGAATATGACAATTGTTCTATCAAGAGAGCATGGCCAATTGGGCGAATGTAGGAAGCAAGAACAGCAACGTAGTATGTACAGAAGCGGGCTAAACGGAGAAGCTCCGCGGATGACTGGCAGTTTCTTTTGCTCCGCGGTCAGGCCATCCGATATCGCCGATCTTCGCTACGTCAAATCCAATCCAAAGAATATATAGTGTGTTGTATGTTTGTATTGAAATGTATCTACTATTTAAGAAAATAAAGCTTTCTCACAAGCGTGAAGCCTTGCCAAAAGAATGCCCCTGGGTAAAAAAAGAAAAAGAAAACACTCTTCGATATCCCACACACCAGTCTATCAGTACCATCCATGGATGCATCGTCGAGGTAAAGCGAGAGCTCAGTGTGCTTCAAGATCTTCAGAGAAACACGAGCTCAATAGAATGCCACAGAAGTTTATTCAAGAATATCAACTCGTCTCAAACATGGCCCGGGGAATGAGGGAAACCGCCAAAATCATCTACAGTACTCGTAGGGAATCACACAGTAAACGCGAAAGGGAAGGGGACAAAAGTGCCACCCCGTTCTCAAAGGATAAAAGGGGATATATAGACACGAGGTGAAATTGATACAAAGAAGGGTTATTATTTAGCCTTGGTGGCTTTGCTGGCCACGGCAGGGCTTTGGGCGGGGGGCTCGAGGACGTGGGTGTGGCCGGGGGCACTAATAATTTCACCAGTCTCATCCTGTCGACACGCATGAATGTTCCTTACCCAGTCATCCGACAGGACCTCGTCGAGTGTCGCTCGGTTTTTCGGGTTGGTTTTCAGCATGCGGCCGATGATGTACCGGCTTTCCCGCGGCAAGATGCGGAGAAGACGCCATGGGCCCTTGATGACTTCCTGGCGCTGCCCAGAATTCTGGGATGATGCCGGAATTGGCGGTGCTTCTTTGCTGGTTGTGCGCGTGGTCCGCTCATGGGGGCCATTGCTGATTTGACTGATCTGCTTCTGGGCAGTATCGGGAGAGCGATCACCGTCCCTCTGCGAGGGCTCTGGTTTGTTTCCGTCTCCGTTTTCATTTCCGTTTCCATTCTGCTCCGATCCAGACTGGTCAGAAGGTCCGCTCGAGCGAGGAGTCAGACGCTTATTGTCGTGGCCTTGGGAAGTAAGATCGGGTGTCGACTTGGGCCGACGGCGTGGGTCGGGTTCGGGAACCGGGGTGCCTGGGGTCGGGCTGGAAACGAACAACTTATATGAGTTGTCCGTCATGCGTGGTTGCTTCCATGGGAACCGGCGCAAGGTCATACAGCAGAAGATGATCGCCAGCGACCAAACATCTGTGGGGCGGGGGTCATATTTCTTCTCGTCATAGACCTCGGGGGCAAGATAGGGATCTGAGCCAACGATACCTGCTCATGCAAAATCAGTAACCATGGATTGTGCCCGAAATGAACATGAATACATACCTGAAGCAGGGACAATGTCGTTCTCGAAAGGATAGCGGAATACGACAGCACTTCCGAAATCAATGAGTTTCATGATGCCACGGTCGTTCACCACCACGTTATCCAGTTTCAAATCCCGATGGGCCAGACCCATGCCATGGATGTACGCCACACCGCTCAAAATCTGCTTGAAAGAGCAGGCGATCTCCTCCTTGCCCATTTTGCCCGTCATCACGATAGCAAACAGATCGAACGGCGCATACTCCATGACCTCATACCAACGACTACCTTCTTGGATGATATCCAAGGTCTCGATGATATTGCCATGGTGCAAGGTGGAGCCAATACAGAACTCTGCGGTCACCTTCTTGGAGTATTCCTTCAAGCTCTCCCAGTTGTGACGGTCTCGGAATTGCTTCACTGCAAAGGTGACACCGTCAGTGTTGCGCTTCAACAGGCGCACGGAACCACCAGCTCCAGATCCGAGCACCCTGCCCAGCTTTCCATACTTGGAATTCAAACCATGATCATCGGCAAAGGGGACATTGTCCGGAGCCATTTGATACGGGGTGGACTTTCCAGATGATCGACTTGACTTCTTAGGCATGGACGTCGGGGACTCGGATCGCTTGTTGCGATGGCCCATCTTGAAGAATCGTTTCAGCTCAGACATAGAGCCATGATGTGTGTGGGCGTTGTTCTTATCGTGACCGTGCTCCTTCTTCGCACTACTAAATATGCCCCTCTTGTCACTAGGTTTGCTAAGGTCGCCTGCGCTGGTGGATCGGTGAGCCCCCGGACGGAATGATCGCTTGACATCCCGACCGCTAAAGATAAACCGGGGATCCAATTGAGCAAGGTTTTTGGGTTGGGGTGGTCGCTTGTTGCGCGCATATGGATCATTAGGTTCGCCGACAGGGGTCATGGCCCCTGGCGGAGTAAGAGACTCTCTTGGAGTGGAAGGGGGACTTTCTTCTTGGGAGCCCCCGTCGTTTCCAATGAAGAATTGCGCACGATGTCTCGGTAGTTGCATAGCATGAGGAGCTCGCTCTGAGCCTTCACTTTGTCTTGTGGACAGGCGATCGGTTGACAGGGGTCGGGAGGATGAGGCGGGGCGAGGTGTGCCGTTCTTGTCGGTTGATCCAACTGGAGGTGATGGTTGAGGGGTGAAATTGGTGTCTACGTGAGGTCGGCTGGTAGCTTTCAGAGAGGCATTATCGGCGGTTTTGCCTTCACGAGAATGGGTTGCAGCTGGAGTAAGAGGGGGTGACTGTACAGCAGAGACCGGAGGAGACGCATGTGGAGAGGCAAAGGCACCGGTGACATGTCCGCTACGATCACTCGACTCTCGAGAGCCAACCTATGATAATCCAAAGTTAGTATGATGACGAGATTACCACAGCCCACCGAGTCTGTGCCTAGAATCCGGCGTCGGATAAAGGGAAATAGATATCACTTGGAGCATGAAGAGACCGGGACACTCGGAAGCACACCCGACGGCAATTAAAGAATAGAATATGACATACCCTGGAGGAAGGAAGAGACATTGGGTCAAATGAGAAGTTGCGCAGCCGCGACTCCTGAAGCTGCGCGCCCTGCATACTCATCGCCAGCGACCGTAATTGTTCCTCCTCCGTCTTCTGATCTCCAGACAGGGATTGTTGCGGTTGCTCTGGTACAGGGGACAACTCGGATCGACCTGGTTCAATCTCCTCCGTGATGGAGGAGAAACGGACATGGGTAGACTGAGCTCCTGACTTGGCGTCGGCATCACCGGGCTCCGAAGCCTGGCCGGGGATCTTGGTGTGCATATTTTGGAATCCTGAGACAGATGTGCGTCAGACGGTTGGCAGGAATTTAGGATACACCATCACAACCGATCAGCATGGCAGCCAAGACATACCTGAATCCATGGGGTTGAGTGTTGAATCAGTTATTTCAGACGTCATAGTCTGCGACGCCGGCTCGGAACGTGGGACACATGCCCCTCACGGTGGGAGCTTTGGAGAATCCTGGCGATCTAAGGACCAGTTACCAGTTCAAAAGATGCTGTCAAAGTCGCAGAATTGGACGATTTCCTTAACAGAGTCCAAGAAGTCAGAGACTTGAGAGGCAAATCTTTTCCCTTTTTAACTTTTTTTTTACCCGCCGAATGCGATCAAGAGCCGGGTGTCAAGGAATTCGGGAAACCGGGTATCCCGGGGTCTATAGATGAGGAGAATGAGGAGAGCAGGAGACGAGGAGATGAGGAAGTAAATAAGTAAAGAAGTAAAAGAGAAGAAGAGAAGAGGGGAGTGAGAATCAAGGCCTTAGGCAAACCTGAATTTTGGGGGCGAGTGGGGGGAAGAGAGAGATAACTAGTGAGATACTAAGTTGGCTTCTCTGGACTTTACTTCTTTTTATTTCTCCCTATCTTATTATTTCTTTTTCTTTTTTTTTTCTATTTCATCAAATGAAGATGGGAATACATCCTAGATATACCCCGAATTTTATTAAAAATTCATCTAAAGGAATGGCCTTACCTCATAAGTCGGATGGTCGCGGAGAGTTGAAGATGATGTCGACCCGTGCCGACTTCCCGGTGCTGACCTACGTATCTACGTAGGTACTCCAAGCTTATTACAAAGTACGGAGTACTTACGGACTACTTCATTGGTACAATATGCAGGCCGTACATCGTACATGATCTTGGGTGATCTGGAATATTGCCCGAATGGGGTTAGTAAATCTGGTGACTCCACTAGATTCCATTCCCTCTCTATGGAGTATATGGAGTATATGGAGTGCATAGGGCCAGACCATCTCTCTCCGACTCCCTAGACTCCATTGCCAAGTGGGATGTCTACGTTATACAGTCACACTCTTGGTGCCAAGGTCGGACTGAGTCACACATATGCCAAGTTCTCCGCTCCGCGGAGGTGCTGAAGTCAGTGACCTCATCTATAGTCTCCCAATGTCTTTCTCTTGGCTGTCCAGTCATCACTGAGAAAATGTCCACGGGTATGTCAAATTCAGGGTCTCAGTGTTATGGTGAGATGGGTATGTGGTCACATGCCTCATTTCAATCGCATTGTGATGATTATATGTAGTTTTATATTTGACTTTGGCAAGTCACCAAGTAGTACCCCGGAAGACCCAAGTTTATTAATGCAAAATATCTCTAGAATTGTGATCAACTGATATAGCATACAATCTAGAAAAGAAAAAGATAATCGGTATCGTACAAGGGGAAGAAAATACCCCCAATTTCCCAGAAAACGCCCGGTAATAGGATCCAAATCAAAACAAGTAGGCCCCTTGAAGCACTGCCCGAATGATCAATAATTATACAAGTCTATTGTCCTGATGCTCAAGGGACAACCTGGATACCAATGGACTTGGCCTGAGACATGACACTCTTGCACAATCCCTCCAGGGACAAGCCGGATAACCGCGTCTCGGTGTGCTTGAGCTTAGCGATCTCGTAAACGTGCTTGAGGGAGATCTTGCCACAAAATTCATGGCCAGGATTCATTGCACCACGCAGTCGGTTCTTCCGGGGTTCGACATTGGCCGCGTTGAGCAGGAGGTAGGTGGTGGTCGGAGTGCGGAGTTCAAAGGAGAAGGATCGGTCAGGGCGGACGGTGACACGCGCGGGGATCGGGACGCCGGTGTTGATGTGAGCTGTGCGGGCGTTGAATTCCTAGGGAGGTAGTTAATATATATGAACTGCTAACCCGTGTAAACAGAGTAAACAAAGACCAACCTTGCAGAAGTCCATAGACTTAACACCTTTACTTCCCAGAGCCGGACCAACAGGTGGACTGGGACTGGCCTGACCAGCTCCGACAATGAGCTTAACAAATTGATCCTTGGCCAATACGTTTCGTGCCATGATGAGAATATGTCGAGATAAGTCCCAGAAGGCCAAAAGCAGAGAAGTTGAACGGGAAGATTTGCAGATTTTCAGGCGACGCTGATTGGCCGAGGTGGGAAGCGAGCAAAAGAAGCCCAACGTCATAAGGTACACTCCTTTTCTCTTCTTGTTCGGGAACTTCTTTGGCTTTTAATTCATCTTCCTCATTTTGATCTTGATATTCACAGTATCTAGATCTACTTTCGATTTTCTTCCTTTGAATCGACTATCTGGTGCATCTCCCTCTCATCCGGAGAGTCCCATTGACACCCGAACTAGAACTCTCTCGGGCCCCGCGCGTCGATCTCCCTTCACCTCCCTTTTCCTTTTTTCTTTCTTCTCTAGTTTTTTTTTTATTAATTCCAAACTTATCAAAATCATGAACTGGTTAAAGTCGACGTATGTTCCGATCGACTCCTTCTCTGTTGTGGTTACACTGACCGATTCCATGTTGGTAGTCTCTCCGCCGTGGTGGGCACCGAGGAGCCCATCTATGGCCCAGAGGCCCTCCAGTCTGTTGCGAAGCAGACCGAGACCACTCCCTTCTCCGAAGTGAACAAGGACATTTTGCGCTGGCGCGCATACTCCTACACCAATGTGGAAACCCAGACCTTCTACATCATGGCCGACAACGGGACGGTGGTGTTTGTTCAGGTTATCTACAGCAACATTGTGTAAGGAACTAGTCGAAGCTTGGAGCTTCTACTCTGAAATTAAGACCTGCAGCAGCTGACTCTGACTCTTGATCCCCATTACAGCGGAATCCACACCACCGCCCAGTTCAACGTGAAGATCTTCGACCTCAGCGGAAAGGGCGACAACAAATGGTTCTCGGACCCGCTCTCCAACTTCATGTTCGACGAGAATATGCTCTCCTTCGGCGCCGACAACCTGTCGCTGACCCTCAACGAGGAGGGTGACTCATACACCATCAAGTCCACCGTCAACAGCGGCGCCCAGGTGGATATTAAGTTCTCCCGGACCGCACCCGGTTTCGTCGTCGGCAAGGATGGAACCTCATACTTCGGAACCGACCCCAAAAACCCATGGGGCTCCATGCGTCACGCTTTCTGGCCCCGCTGTGCTGTCGAGGGTAGCATCGCTACCAAGGATCAGACCTACGACCTGGGCGGTCGTGGTGTCTTCATCATGGCTCTGCAGGGCATGAAGCCTCACCACGCTGGTACGGAGCCCTTTACACGAATGAACAAGCAGAACCACCCCATGCTAACAAACGCATAGCCGCCCGCTGGAACTTCATTAACTTCCAGACCCCCACCTACTCCGCCATCATGATGGAGTACACCACTCCCCTTTCCTACGGCTCCACCACGGTCAACGTCGGTGGTATTGTCAAGGACGGCGAGGTCATCTACGCCGGCACAACCAACTCAGTGGCTCACACAGAAACCGGCCAGGACGAGGGCAGTGACTGGCCCGCGCCCAAGTCCATCAAGTGGGAGTGGAGCGGCAAGACAACCGACGACAAGGCGCTCACAGCCGAGGTGAACGGCGCCCTCGGTTCGCGACTGGATCGCATCGACGTTATGGCCGAGGTGCCAGGCTTCATTAAGAGCATCGCTGGCAGTGTTGCCGGTACTCGGCCGTACATCTTCCAGGTATGCACCTTTTTCGCTTCCGATTTTCTTATGTAATGGCAAAAGAACAGCATCTAACTCTCGCACAGTACTCCCCCCCAGGAGAAGCTTTCATTGAAGCTGAAGCTCGGCGACGAGGAGATCACCGAGGAGGGAACCATGTTCTCCGAGTCCACCTTCATCTCGTAAAGGCCCCGCTTAACTCGCGTACATAGGACCTCATTCTCCCCTGCGGGACCTGATTGTTGGCGTTCATTGTGATGATTTTCGTGATGCTACATTTATGTCTAGAGGATCGGCTTGACTCCTTTCCTCATACGGACCAGATAATCCACAGACTGTATACATGATACTTAATGCTATTTTGACAATATCCTGAAAATACCTAGGTAGCTACCGAAGGAGAAAAGTACACTTGGGTTCGTTGGGACCCGTAATAGAGTGATACATGTAGGATGCGACGAGGTGAAAGTCACAAGTGATTGCACAGCAAAGATCGGACATTTCCGATGCTGATGTTCAAAATAATAGTAAAATGTACAAAGAAAGATGCCAGCTGGATACAGTACAATTGAACTCAGAATTGAACTCAGAACAAGAAATAGAAATCCGCCAGCGGTGTTTACGCCTTCCCGCCAACAGTAGAACAAAAAGCACAAGCCTTCTGGGAACTTTGAGAAGAACAAAGTAAACAGAACAGGTACAGATCAGTTATCGACCATCAACTGCTCTCCTTCATCAAGAAGAGTCGTGACCCGCGAGAGATCAGAAATCATCTTACGGCCATGGCCGACCAGCAAGAGCTTCTCGGCATTGGCAGGGAGACCCAGGTAGGTAGGAGGCTCACGCTCCGGCAGGTTGTTAACCCAGGCGACGAAGTCGCGCATGCTAGTTGTCTCCGGCAGCGTCAAAAGGTCGTCATTCTCCACACCCGAGACGAGCTTGTAGCCGTCTTCGAAGGCGGCGGGTGTAAGGAAGCTATTGACCAAGTTCTCGAGCTGTTGGTAGTCGCCTGCGTCGTCGATTTTACCACCGTACATCTCTGCAACAAGAGTGCGGATCATCTCCCACGGAATCTTCTGCGGAGCAACGTTGGAACGGCCTTGGGACACTGAATCGACCCAATGGTCGATGATGTAGGCAGAGCATTCGTACTGGAGGGAAAATGTTAGCGTGTTTATGAAGAAGAATTGGATGTAGGGTACTTACGTCGCTGTCGTTGAACTCCCAGAAGCCCTTCCATCCAAGACTTGGTGCATAGCGGAGTCTTTCCTGGACGACGGCGTGCAAGAAGCAGAGCAAGAGATAGACACGGGCTTTTTCGACGGGAGCCTTGCTGGCTCGGACATTCAGTGAGGAGAGGGAATCCTTCATGTTTGCACGCACACCGGCAGGCTGTTCGTACATCAGCACACGCGAGGCCCGGATCAAATTGACAGGGATCTTAGGGCTGAGACTCCATGGACAAGAAGAGGCGGAATTCCTTGTGTGGCTTGAGGGAATCCAGTCGCTTCTCAAGACTCTGTAGCCAAGCGGGCGCCAGATGGACGTTCTTGACCAGCACCCAGTTACCGACCGCGGCTGCGTTGCTGATGGCCTTGTCGGCGCTTTCGAGACCTTCGTTAGAACCCATGGCGATGTTGGCGCAGGTTGCGCGTGTGGCTTCGACAAGAGCGTCGACCTTGTAACTGGCATCGAAGCCAGGGCTGGAGCTGAGCGCGATGGGCCTGGTTGCAGTGACTTGGTCAACTACATCCTTTAAATCGGCGCCGCCCTCGAAGAGCTCGCGGCCGAACACCGCCCCGATGAAACGCTCGGCGGTGGGCACAAATCGGTCCATGCGGCAAATCTTGACAAGGAGCAAGGACCGAAGGAGCTGGTCGAGTTGCGAGACACTCTCGTCCCACATAACCGGAATGAAGTTCTCTGCAAGCTCCTCGCCGAAGAAGCGATCCCACTGTTCTTGCGCGACGTTTGGAACATGCTCTTTGAAGAGGGACATGTTGGCCAACTTCGTCATCACTTGGTCGCGGGCGTCCACGACGGTTGAAAGATCCGTGCCCTCTACTGTCTCATCTAGGACGCGGTCGAGAATGGTCCTATCCATTGGGAAGGGAGTAGCTTGAGCAAGCAGGATGGCAAGTGTGATGCGATCCTTTTGAACGAGACCCAGTGAGGTTCGTTGATAGGTGTTGATAAACAAGTCCCTAAGAATAATTTGGACACGCGCAGCATGGTCCTTCTCTTGAGCAAGGCGTTTGTTCTGGTAGAGAACAGAGTTGAAAATATCGACAAAGTACTGCAGAGAGAACTGGTAGAAGTGGTTGATGTGGTGAAGCTGTTCTAGAACCGCAAAGACGGCGCTGCATGAACGGGCAATGATGCTGTAGTTCTGCGTCACGTTGTCGACCTCGAGCATAACGCCTTCAGTCTGGTCCATCTTCAAAGAAATATCCGCAGCTTCCTTCTTTAGAGTCTCGAGAGTTTCAATGACATTGTCATCATCGAGAATGTTACCACGGGACTCGTTGAGAGCTTGCAAGAGACGCTTCTCGAGTTGTCGAAGGTGGACCTTGAACTCTCCTTGCATTTTGACGAGATTGTTGCGGCGTTCATCCACATCGGGCCTCTCGAATTTCAGGACATCATTCAAAGACTGCGTTTGCAAGCTGCTCTGGGTAACAGTGAAGTTGACGAAGGTGGTACGACTGCAAATATCCGGCGGGAACGAGGCAGATGGATCCCGGGTCGATAGGAAGAGCTTGAAGGATGGCGAGAAATCGATTTCTTGCTTGCCCAATTGAATGAGGACACGGCCACCAGTCTTCTGGTATTCCTTGTTGAGAACGTGATTGAGAATAGGATCCAGGTGCTCGGCATCCTGGATAAGGATGGGGTTTCCGAAAACGCAACGCGCTCTCCAATTGCTTGACAAAGGAATCGTCCAAGAAGCTCGTGACAGTAAGCTTGCGTTCTTTGCTTTCCTTCTGTAAGAATTCTGTAATACGACCAGATGGATCAACAATAAGCGGGTATCTGTTGAATCTCTTGAGAATGATGGCGTTCTCCGTGCAAAGGTCATCGACGGGAAGAGAATGACTCTGCCAGGTTAGACGCTCATCAGCATTGGACAAGTATTCCGTGATGGGGTTGTGGGGCTTGAAGTGAATGCCGGAGGCCCCCAGTTGGTGGAGCCAGTCCTCAGTCATTGCCTTACGGAATTGCTGATCGTACAGACCAGCATATGCAAGGAATGCAGCTGCAATGAGGACATCACCAACAAGGGTGCTGATCTGAGTTTCGAATGACTTGCTCCCGTCTTCCCAGCGGACACGCTCAGAGGACAAACTATCGAGCAAACGGACACTGCGATCGACCTTGAACTGAACTCGACTCATCTCGGTCTTGATCGCCTGCGTCTCACTGATAAGGGCCGCGTACTCGGCCTTGTAGGTAGCGATGCTGCTTTCAAGGTCGTTGATGGTATTTTCGATGGCCTGAGCTTCGGCCTTGGTTTGCAGGGCCTGCTCCTCGAGTTGATCCACCTCCTCGCGCAGAGGACCAACACGATCAAGAATTGCAGAGTAGTTAACCTGGGCTTCGACCCATTGCACCAGAGGACCACAAGCCTTACTAGCGCGGTTGACTCGCTCATATGTGAAGTCTTCCTTCGAGAGGAACTCATTCTGCATCTTGGTACGGTGCCTGCGCGTCATCTGGCGCTCATTGTCGTAGTTGACGATACTGGCAATAAAATCATCCCGACGAATGAGACCTTGGATTGTTTTCCAACTGTCGACGGTATGACCGAGGAGTGTGCATACGGCTTCCAGCGCAAGTCGGACGCTGGCCGGAGGGTTACCCATGGATCGAACTTCAGTGAGGTGTTGACGCTTGATGTTGCTGACACTCTTCTGGGCTTCCAGGACGGCGGGTTCAGCCCGGGCCAGGTCGTTCAGGACAACTTCTTTCCGAGTTGCCACTTCCTTCTCTTGTATCTCCAACGCTGCCTGCACTTCCAATGAAACGTGCTTCCGCTGTTCCGCCTCCTGCTGGTCAGCGACCATACGCTGCAATTTCTCGTTTGCTTCCGTGTCTTTCTTCTCCAATTGTGTCTTCTTTTCTGCGAGACTAGCTCGAAGGTCGCTCACTTTGTCGACGGTGTCGTGGAGTTTTTCGAGACCAATGTTCAAGTGGCGCTGTTGTTCCTCGAGATCCTCCCGTTTCTCGTTGAATAGCCTGACGTACTGCGCAACAAAGTCGAGATAATGGCGAGGGGTAAGGAAAGTCGCCCGGCCCTGTTGCTTCTGAAGCCGCCCATTGAAGCGATGCAAAGAGTGGTGAATATAAACCATGGAGTTGACAACAGTGTCTCTGTGTGATGCCGGGAGAGCCAACTCGCGGTACGCCACTGGGATGCTATCAGGCGAGACGAAGTTTGGCTTGTCCAGGTCGACCGATTGAGTGAGCTCGGAGCCAACCTGGAACAGGGCTTGGTCAGACCAGTCACCCATCCAGTTCAGCACACAACGGTTGAACAATGCGGGACTAGTAGCTGCCTTCGAAGACAGGCCCTCCTCTGGCGGGTTCATGGTAAACACAACGTGCAGGTTCTTCACAATTTGCGACGTGAACCACTTGTATAGCTCCTCCTGGGAATCCAGGAGCAAGCCTTGACGCTGGGCACCCTCTTTACAAGCAGTCATCAAGGAGGAGAATTCATCGCCCTCGAAGAGACCAGGGACTTCTGCGTTTGCAAGCAAAGTGTTCATGCGTTCCAGGAACCCAGAGTCAAGGACGTTTGATTCGTCCATAATGAAACAGATCTTTTCGCCCTTACATCCTGCCCGGCGAAGAACGCTGCGAAGATCATCATCGAAATCTTCCGAAGAGTACTTTCCGTGTACCTTGATCTGGAAGACCTTCAGACCATTCATCCAAGCGACGAAGCGAGATAGGGTTGTCTTTCCACTTCCGCTCACACCGATAAGAATGAGATGACCTTGGGGCTGGCGGAAGACTCGATCGATACGTAGCGCGTGCTCAAGGACATCGTTGAACAACACAAGCGGAACATCCACCTCTTCTTCGCAGAAGGTTCTTAGACGTGCCTTCACGAAGTCACGTAGACTCTCCTGTTCGACAGGCACGTAGTTCTTAGACAGCCAGTTGGAGAACAGGATCGGGCCCTTGAGTGCTTCTTGGTCATCGATTGTAGGGAAATGTTCCAAGGCAATCCGGCGAATAGCGTCTGCAGTCCAAGCTCTCTCGTCTTCATCCACGAGTCTGTCCTGGAATAGACGCAGGGCTTCGTGCGCCCAAATGCGGACCAGGCCTTCAACAGTAAGAGTTTCAAGTGGTTTGATGGCCTCGTACAAACCGCGAACCCATCTGGTGAGCTCACGAGGCGAGTACACGTAGTGTGGCTGGATTTGGGGCGTGAAGCGGGATTGGGACTCGAGGTAGAACTGAACCATAGCCCTAGTGAGGGCCTCGGAGTATCCACGTAGCAACGGAAGGATCTTAAGCACAGCAGAGTTGAACGTGCCATAAATCTGGTTGAGAGAGATTTCACCGGGGTAGTCAACCATGATTAGGGGCGCGTGACGCAGGAATCTTTCGGCCATCGGCGTACGACCAGCATCCGTAGGAGGGTTACAGGCACCAACAAATTGAATGCGATCCAGAGTGACCCATGTCTTATCAGTAGTTCTCCAGAAGCCATTCTGCTCCACAAGTTGGCGCAGGAAGGAGATAGCGCGCTGAGTGCCATAGCGATCAGGGGCTGGAAGGTTGATTTCGTCACAGAAAATGACAAGCCAGCGGCCGATCTGGTTCGGAGACATTACCACGCCATTAAGAGTCTTCTTGTACTCACAGTACTGCTCAAAGGTCTTGATCAAGAGGTCAGGTGTGGTGGCACTCGAGAAATTGAGACCGACAACCTCCATGTTCGGGAGCTTCCGGAGCGCGGCGAACAATGTCATGGTCTTACCGGATCCAGGAGGACCACAAAGCAACAAGGGCTTATGCTCAGCAAGCCACGAATATAGCACATCCTCATGGCGGACAGTATCGACCGTGGGAATGATGACGTCGGTTTGAGTGACGGAATGTGTGTTTATATCAATCGTGGGCACCTGTGACTGCCAGCTGGTCCAGTCAGACTTGGGAAGAATGACATCGTAGTCAATAAGAGATGAATCGCCGTCCGGCGGAAGATCGATAGTAGACATTCCGGTGATGTATTTTCCGAATGCCTTGCGGTCATTTAGTGGGCAATCACCGGTGAAAGACCAGACCAGTGTCAGAAGAAGCTTCTTGGACATATAGGACTCGATCTGTTCAGGGTCCAGAGGGAAGTCTGGATGCTGGACATTGTATTCGAGGATGTTTCGGCAGGCCTTGTTCAACAAGCTGAAGAGAGTGTTGAGAGCACGGATATCCGTAAATTCCATGATATGGTTGTATTTCTTGGCTTCCTCCAAAGCCTTAAGAACCAGGTCATCGACTTCCAGGAACTGTTTGAGAATTGTTGCAACTGTGTCCTGGGCATCCTGCGTCCGGACTGCTGCTGTTCCTGCAGGTGCGCTGTCTTCATCCAGGTCTTCGAATGTCTTCGTCCTGAGGCTTTCAACGTAGTTGGAAATCATCATGGTTGGAGTCACAGTGTCGGCATTGAACCACACCATACCGCAACGACTGACGGTGGCGAGCGTGGCATACTTCAAGCTTTCAACTTCGAACATAATGCGAACATTGGGAGGCAGATTGAGACGTTCTCCGTTGGGAAGAGTGAGGAGTTTGTTGTCATCTAGAACACTGTTCAAGTTCTCAACCCACTCAGGGTCAACATCTCCATCGAAAACAATCCAATGGCGTTTGCTGTCCTCGCCTCGCAGGTTGTCCACGATCTTTCTAAGAATCCCAGTGAAGAGACCGTCCGTCCATTCGCGGGTAGTGCTGTCAAGGTTACCATAGAGAGACTCCTTAGACATGACCTTGGAGTCGATGATGTGGGAGACCCCCCTCAATGCCCTCAACGCGCTGCATCGCTTGCAGTAGAATTTTCCAGGCCGCCGATTTACCGGCACCCGACTTGCCAACCATCATGACACCGTGGTGGATGCATTGGATTTGGTAGAGTTGCAGTGCCTTAGTGATCCACATCTCACTGTCGACGAGATGTTGCTCTTTGGTAGCAATGTCACGGATCGCCTGGGTGAGTTTCTCGAAGCTGGCAGGCACATAATCCACGCCAGCGAAGTCTTCCACCTGAATTTCCATCATGATCTCCACGTCTTCTCTGATAAGCTTAGGAGCGATTGTCTCCCGGAGACTTTGGACAATAATTTGAGGCTCGATAACATCGTCGGGGCCTAGCTCCCCTTCGGCGTTGGCAAGACGAGCGCGCTTAAGACCACCGGAGCTAACAAGCACACTCTTCAATGCACGGAGTCCAAAGTCATAATGAGCCTGTTTCGAGAGTCGGGAAGCACAGTGGTCGAAGAAGGGAACTGTCTGCTTGGAGAGAGGCTTGGCCTGCTTGAAACCTTGGGAGAAAAGCATCACTTCCGCAATTAGTTCCTTATCAGGTTTAGACATGGCAACACTGCGGAACAGCTTCTTCAAGTTGTCTGGCAAGTTGGAACGGCCAGCGTAACCAGGGTTCATGGTAATGAAAATTCCGGTGTTGGAGTTCACAGCAAGCCGTCTCCCGACCAGTTCAATTTGGGACTTCTCGCCCTCCCCGCCAGTCTTCAAACCAATTTGGATGTTCTGAATCTGCTGGGAGACAGCTGACAGAATACGTTCTTCCAGACGGTTGAACTCGTCAAAGCAACCCCACGCACCGACCTGGCAGATACCGAGGAAAATCCGACCCATTGCTTGGAAATCGAAAGTGTCATCACAACAGAAGACAAGGGTGAAACGTCCAAGTTGCAGGCCCAATGCTTTGACTGACTCAGTCTTTCCGGTACCAGCAGGGCCATACGGCGAGCCACCCAGTCGCTGGCAAAGAGCCTGAGTAAGGGTGAGGAAACAACGATCTGTGAGAGGCGTGCGGACAAGACGCTCAGGCACACCCAGATACTCGAATCCGTAGGCGAGCTTAGCGTTGGCCATGTGGACATACAGGCGCTCCAAGAAATCGCCTGAATTGTTGAAGACATAACGCATCTGGAGAAGCCAATGGTAGTGCGTGGGTGTCGTAGCATTAAGACTTATAAGCTTGGAGATGCAGTCGCGCTGGTGAACGAATTCCGTGATCATATGCTCACACTTCTTGCGGGTGATCGGATCGAGTTCACCAAGCACCGTGGCAGCCAGCAACTCAAGTATCCGAACTTCGGAACCGTGCAACGCGGGGAGAGTTGTACCCCCTTCTTCCAAGGAATGTTGCACTGCGTTGGTCCAAGTGACCTGACTAGCGAGGACCACAATCTGAGCCGGGTAGTTAGATAAGAAGTCACTGAAACCCGTTGGATCCACATCGCTGCTATGGTAAAGAACTCCGAATTGTTCAACGGCCTCGCCGAGAAGCTCTGCCAGAGTTAACTTCATGCTTGTCTCTAGCGCGGAGAGCCAGTCATTGATCCGAGGAGTCTTGAGGAGGTTGACCTCTTTCTTCAAACGGACTTCTTCGCCCTCCTTGGAGGTGAATGCGACAATGTTGTTATCGTCATCCATGACAAGGCCTGACATTCCAGCAAACATCTTCTTGAAATGCTTGGCGACGCGGAAGATGTCATTACTGTTACCAATAATCTCCAACAGATCCTCATCTCCAACAAAGTAGAAGCGAGGGAACGAGACACGTTCGCGCTCCAAGTATTCACCAAGCGCCTTTTGGATTTTGTTGAGCAAATCAGCCAGTCTCTCCAAGGACTTCTGGACATCGACAATTGCGAGAATATCCAAAACGAAGGGTGACTTGTACACCTTCTTCATGACAGTAAAGAATTCGGAATTAATATTCTGGAAACGTCCCGATTCCAAAGGAAGAAGATGCTTGATGTCGGCGTTGCCGGTGAAGACGCCTTCCAGATAGACCCATTGTCGCTGGACATCGATCCAGACGTCGAAAAGAACATGGACTCGGTTCAGTTTATCTTCCCATGCTGTGGCTTCTTCTTCGAATTCTTTGTAGTACGGAGAATGTCTCATGGCCTGGAGGGAGTTCAGATTCTCGCTGCATTTGGCGAAAAGATCGTCAAAGCCTTTGATCAGGCGGCATTTGTTCTGATAGTGGACCAGGTCCAGAGAATAGTTTTGCCAAGTCTCGCGAACAGACTTCAGGAATTCCTCTAATGCCATCTCACCCTGTGCCTGTGCGATGATACCACGAATGATGGAATCGCTTGACGCAAGTTGTAGATCCCAGACATCACCAAGAGTCAAAGAGACAAGAGAGAAACGCTTGTCGGGTTTAAGACTCTTGTAAATTTTGTGCCAGTGTCTTTCCTTGACGGCTTCAGATTTCATGTCTGACAAAAGGGAGTTCACTTTCAGCAACTGTCGAAGAACATTCTGAATGTGTTCAAAGGCAGCATATTGTCTCATGCGACTGGGCATCTCCTTGGTCATTTTGATCAAATTGTCGAGAGACTGTCGGAGTTTTCTGGGTTGCACGCTGGTCCACAGCCCATCGCGCAGGTCATTGAGGCTATTCCAGATAGTTGCTAGAGCAGCCCAGACAGACATGAAGTCCTGGACCTCCTCAAGGATAGGGGGCAGTGATGACTCGGAACTTGGGGGAAGATCAAGAGCTTCCTTGGCCTTTGACACCATCTCAAACTCAGACTGGAGAGCCTCGAGGCGAGACTGGAAAGAGCTTAGGGTACGAGATGCTTCCTCAGGTGGAATAGTGCCAGAAACCGGCTTCTCATCATTCCATTGGCCAATAACTTCAGCAATCTTGCCGGCAATAACATGGTCTTCAGCGCTAATCTTTGCACGCAGGCCTTCGGTTTGCTCGTTGACAATTTTGCTCTTGCGGCTGAGCAGCTCGTTGAGGGCTGCCCATTCACCATCAACATTCTCAACATGAAGCCAGTCATACGGGAACTGGTAGCGTTGGCGGGCGAGTGTGGTTTGACCTTGGCGGAAGAGATCGACCTCGGGCTCCCAGACTCGAGTCTTCCGTTTGCACTGCTGAACAATGGTAATGAAAGACACGGCATGCGCCGTCGAAGAGGCCTCCAGGGTTTGGCCTTCCAAGTCCCTGCGGGCAGCAGCAATCTCGGAATGAACCTCTCTCATGCGGCCGCCAAGCTTGGAACCGAACTTCACGAGGATCTCGTGCTGCCACTGGTCGTATTTGGCATTGACCTTGGTTTGAACTTGCTCGTAATCAATCCTGATGTTTCCGAAGCCGCGGCTGACTTCAGAAGTATCGAATGTAGCCCGACTCTTTCTGATTTCCTGAAGAAGCTGAAGCCATTGAGACAGATCATCTCCCAGGATCTCGTAGACCTGCTCAGACCGAAGATCCCAAAGTGATTGGAACTGCAGCCACTTATCGACATACTCGGAGACATCCTTCACTCTCGACTCGACAACATTGTAGACTTCATTGAGCTCATCGGTGCAAGTTTGCGGGAGGTTGGAGAAACAGACTTCGGACAGGCGAACATTTTGCACGACGATGGAGATCTGGTAACGCGAGGGTTTGATCTTTTCTAGATTGCAAATTACGCCGAGCCATGCATCAAAGTGGGAGAACCAGCTTGCGCGCGCGAATTGCAACGGTGGATCCAGGTGGAGGACTTGGTTTTTCATCAGAATCTCGTGGAAGAGTTCAGGGAACTGGATCTTGTAATTCAAAGCATCCGTCTCGGCCGCCGCCAGTTGATGATGAGAAGTGGTCGAGTTTTCATTGTTGGTGCCTTGGAAGGTGGTGATCCACTCACGCACAGCGCGAAGAAGTCGATCTCGCAGAATTGACTCAATCTTCCCATTAAGTTCGGCAACCCAGTATCCAAGGTTCACGTAGTTTTCTAGGTTAAGCTTATCAACAGCAACTTGGATGCTGTCCAAGCGCTGCTTGAAAGCTGATGCATCGTATGGGCATGTCTTGAGTTCATGGATCGACTTCTGAATGTTCTCGTTGATAGTGTCAAGTACGGTGGTTTTCGTCTGAAGTGTAGATGCTGAAATGGCAAACTCGCGGACAAATTGGACATGCTTGCTTTCAGAACGACCAGGCAAAGACGCCTCAATGGCACCATTTGCCAATGCCGACTGCTTAACGTGCAGCTCGTAAGAGTGGACAAAAGACTCCCAACGGAGAGGAATACCCTTAGCAACCATTATCTGTACATCATTCATGTAGCCGTTGAGAAGCATATTAACATCGGTCATCGACGCGATTGCTCGATTCGTCTGCAACAGAGTACGGACACTTTCCATCAGGCTGATAGCGTAGGGGTAAACACGCTTCGCCTCCTTGGAGATATTGCTGACAGCATGAGGAACCTGGAAGTTGAGCCAGATAAGATTGCGGACCTCCTTGAAGAGAGCAATGATCTGAGCATCGAAGTTGACTGCAAGCTCCAAAACGTTTCCTGCGGACCGGTTGCGCACGACATTAAACAGCCGTCCAGCGATTGTAAAATGGCGTCGTTGAACATCCCACAGCCATGACTCGAAGACAGGTCGGGTGTCGAGCTTCTTGCGGAACAAGTTACCCTCATTCTGCAACTTCTGGCCCTCCGCGTGTAGGTGCCAGTTTTCACCGAGGACGTTTTCGACCTTGCGCATGTAGCCATTAAGCTGATGTTCAATCTGGCGAGTCCAGATAATGGCACCCGACACGGGTGGCAGGTCCCGTAATTGGGCCATAGCATGAGCCTCCGAATTACCGTACTGTTGCTTGAAGCGCTCATGCAAAGCACTGATGTCCCGCTTGACATTGTCAATAAGCTGCGTTTGATATTCGCCAATTGCACCTCGAATCTTGGGACGAACGAGAAGGGCGTTGAACTTCGAGAAAACACGGAACATCTCATTGGCATTCCTGGCGGTCGCCAAGCGGTCACGTAGGCGAGCAATGATAGAATTCTCAACGCGGGAAGTACGTTCACTGTAGGCAATTTCGGCCTGCTCCCAGGTGAGAGATCCCTCCGGTGAAACATCCAACACGTCCACGTTCTTGAGAGCAGCGTAGGCGTGCGCAACTTCCTCCACAGCATCAACATCACCAATCTCCTCGACGATCACAGCGCCGTCAGCGTCAACTCCAGCTCCATTCTCAGCAGATGAAGAACTGTTGGGTCCGAGGACGTTGATAATGGTTTTCTGAAGTTGTTCATGGTTAATCCTGAAGGTGTCAACATACTTCACCCGCTCGCGGGTTTTGTCGTGTCTCGCATTGATTTTGATTGGAATGAATTTCTCGTTACGGCGCCGTGTCGATTCACGCGCAACGTTTGTGAATTCCTTCAAGTTCTCGTCCCAAGTACGCCAGATCGCTTGTGTGGTCTTCATCAAGGACCGGAACTCGCGGTAATCCAGGTGCAAGATCGTACGTCCAGTGATAAGCTCATGGATCTTCTTATCAAGATCCCCCGAGATGGCTTCGACAAGTGAAAGTGCCCGCTTGATGGGGTAGGGGCAAATCTTCAACTTCTTATTCAGGTGAGTGAAAATCAAGTTCAGTGATTCCTGGACCTTTTGCAAGGAAGTCGCAGACAGGAGTTCATCGAGAGGGAAGTCTCGCATCAGCTGGTTGTACTTCTGGACCAATTCGGTGGCCTCTTTCAGCCCAGTGTCCGCCACGAAACTGAGGGTCGGCTGGTACCGTTTCGCATGGCGGAGAATGTCCATAGTCAACCGAACACCCTCGCTTTGGAGCTGAGCATCGATTCCCTCTAGGGCAGCCTCTAGAGACAGCCAGAAGTTGACCTCAGGAGAAGCAGATTCGCTATCTGGGTCTCGGGACATCTTAGTGATCGTCTGGATGGATCTAATCCAACCGTTCACAACATTTTGAATGCTGTTTGTGAAAGCGCTGCTCTCCAGTACAGTTGACGGGATCAACTCGACCGATGGTTTGATACCACGCGCTTCCGCATCCTTCAGGGCAGCCTGTACCACTTCGTGAAGAGGAAGGTTCAGAGCGGGGATCTCCACATTCTGCTGAAGGTGCATCAAACCCAGCTCCAGGTCTGCGAATCTCTTCTTTGTTCCCGGGATACCAGTCTTCGCCTCCGTGTCCGTCTTCGATTTCGTACCGACTGCCGTCTCCTGGCTGCGAGTGTAGGATTCGAAATAAGGACTAAGACCATGGTGTATCATCAGATGTAAGATCTGGTAGGGCGACATGGAATTCCCCTGCTGGGCGGTGGTATTGCTGAGAGAAGCGGGACCAGGAAGATTCATGACTTGGACCTGCGACGCTATCGGAAGACTCATGTCGATTGGAGCAGGCCGTTTGATGATAGCCACCGAAGACACTGTTGTAGGAGCGGACGAGATATCGGAGGAGAGGTTGTAGACATATTGCACCGCTATTTCTTCGCCGGCATAATTAGCATCATATCCTCCAACGTCTAAACACTTCGCTTTGACTTACCTTGGTCCTCCGTTTCGCCGTTGGTTTCCTCCATTGTCACAATATCCTTTTGCACATAGAGTGCGACTTGCGATTCCGAGGCGAATCGCGTACACCGTTGCAGTGTTTCATTGTATTTTGATTCCGAAAGCAAGCTCCCAGCGCTTTCCAACTCGGACCTCTGGGCTCCCAGAGTCACCTGGAGCACTTCGGTCAAGTACTGAATTACCGCACCGGAATCGACCAAAGCTGGGGTCTCTGGTGCCGAGGCACCATTTGGCACGCCTGATGAGGCGACCTCCATTATGCCGAAATTATTATGACGAGTTCGAAATGTTCATCAGTGGTAAGGAACAATAGGAGCGCAGATCGGGTGGGTGAAGTGTTGAGATCGCGTCGAGCGGGAGTTGGGCGGGAAAACAGAGCAAAGGGATGGTAACAAAGGCTGGAAAGAAAGATAAAATCTAATAGATTAAAAATGATTGCAAGATAAGTTCCAGGCCTATGCCGTCCTGAGTCCTCTGTTAAAGATCAAAAAAGATACGCGGCGTGTTTGCTTTACTTCAGGGGATGCACACTATTCCCCATTAGGTTAAGCTTGACACGACCCCCATGCGGACACCGCATATCCATGGCTCCCGTCTGTCCCTGGCCCGTTCCTTTCGAAGTATACCTAGGTAAGCTTCACTATATATTGGCGGGTAGGTATATTCTCTTTGTGGTATGTACAGCAGTAGGATCTCCATATCGTATTCTGGATATTCCACTAGAATAAAACAACACAACCAATTTCCTGCGAGCTATCCCCCACAATTTCTCTCCCTTCAAACTGCCGTTCCGATATTTGCATGGTCGACAGCGACCTGTCCACCTTGACAAGCACAGTGGTATTTCTCCCGGAAATCGGAAAGTGACATTCCATCAATAACAGCCAATGCCCTGGTGCTAGCCCTCACTTTCGCATACCGACTAGAAGATGCCACTGCGCTGGCAATAGATTGGCCATGCACCATAACCGCAGCGAAGACCCTGGGAGTTTCTCCCTCCACGGCAGGAACTTCTGCAGATTTCAAGCAGTAATCGGCGCATCGGTAGTTGTGAGTCATTTGACTATGGAGGAACGTCTATGGTCTATTAGTACGAAGGGTATAATATCAGGGGCAGGAGATGAACTCACCGTTGGATGCCTGTTTGCAAATGTGTCGTAAATAGACATGTCATGAAAGAAGGGTAGGATATGCCTTTGGAAGAAGGCCTCAATCACTGTGAAGTCGAAGCCAGAATCAACGAATATGGCACCGAGATAGGCCTCAATCATGTCGGGAAGACACTGTATTTCCGTGAGTATGCGGACTATGCCCATATTGAATAGAGAACTTACCTTTGGAGAATCCGACGTCGAAAGCCAGTAGTCTACCTCTCCGTTGCTTTCACTCTCTGCAAGCTGAATTTCCTCCGCGTATTTGCTGTTTTGGATCATGAGAGGATTGCTGAAATGCTGAAGATGAAGATGAAGCCCCAGTTTCACAGCCAAAGCACCGAGAAATTTGTTGGATACCATAGCCATCTATTGATTGATGTTAGTAAGGAATTGTGTGTGACTTGGCTTTACTAAACGAAATACGAACCTTGTGTTCAGTCAACCACTGCGGATCTCGGTTGGGGAACCGATGGAACAAGTGCTCCACGCACACCATATCCAAGAGTGCATCGCCCAAGAACTCGAGCCGCTGGTAGCAAGGCACTTTGGCCCATGCCAGTGGATAAGATGGATGCGTGAAAGCCGACCGCAGAAGACGGGGGTACTTGAACTTGTATCCTACTTTCTCGAAGATCTGCTGAGTCAAGTTCTTTTCGAATCCATCAGGCGCCCTGCTCTGGTACGAAGGAATAGAATATGCAGAGATGTAGTCTTTCCATGAGGTTGCCGTGTGGTTCTGGCTGTTGACGAAGACGGTCACGGCTTTGATAGCCATGTCATAACGATTATAATCACCTCCTGAGAGTAACGACGCTCCTATCAATGCCTCGCAGACATCTGCTATAGTCTTCTCGGCTAAGGAGTGCTTGCCTTCACTATCAATAAATTTGGCGTGGTCTCGGCCATACTCAAGCGAGAGACCTGGGGGGTACCACATATGCCTGTAGTTGAGTGTCAGTTAAACATTCTCTTGTTAAGACCAAACGTTAAAGAACATACCGAGAGAACCCACGACTACGTATGTACTCATATAGCTTCAGTTCAATTGCATTTTTGAACAGGTTTTTGTTGCAGATGAGACACATTCTGTTGACGTGATAGTCGTATTCATCATCGTCGGGATTTTGAGCAAAGAGCGAAATCGATGTTGCCATCTTGAGCACAGAGTCTCCTAGCAGCTCAAGGCGCTCGTAGTTTTTTCCCATTCCTCGCTGAACGTGAATCTGTAGGCTCCGATGCTCTTCGGTGTTATCCGAATCTTTGGTAAAGGCCTCCAGGGCATATTCGAGCTTAATATCACCAAGATCTAACATTTTGCATCCCTCCTGGGCGATCAGGTAAGACTCCATTCGAGAGATTATTGCTGGAAAGACAAGACAGGTTGCGGCCACAGACATGGAAATCTGAGTTACATATTAGCATCTTGGGTGAGCTGAAATGTATACTGATACAAAACTTACCGCCGATATAGCCAAAGGCTGAGGGCAAATGACGCATCTCGTGTTAGATGCTCTCTCTTCCTCCGCTGCTTTGTCAAGAAAGTTCCGCCGAAGACAGATCAACTCTGCCTGTAAGACCGGTTGAGTCCAGACACAGCGATCAAAGAATTTTGGACGTGAATTCTTGCTCAAACTCAAGGACCAATTCATGATATCGTCTGACCATTTTCGAGACGGTGCGTAGGATGGGGGTGGGTCTGAAGGACGTAGATTGGGGTCTATAGCCAGCGGGAAGTATCGATACTTTCCATTCCAGTCGTCGTAGATAAATTTGGTCAGCAATAATTCCGGCTCCATGTCAGTAGACCACATAAGCTTGGGGTTATCTTGGACGTATTGCAAAGCAGCCCAGTCAATCATGTCAAAGAGACTTGTTGATGTCCTAATGTCCACATCTCCTCGAGCAGGCGCAAGCCAGTACGGAAACTGTTCCGAGGCGTGCTTATAAGTCTTGTGAAACACGTCATGGAACACAGCAAGAGTAAATGCAGTCAAAGTCTCGAGCTCTTCGGAAGCAACCTCAAGGCACCCGTCAATACACAAAGACTGAACTGTAGTCTCGATATCATCATCCAAGAAGACGGGAAAAGTGGGTATTGCTGCAATCCGCTCTCGTGTCAGCAAGACGATACTTCCGTGAGCTCGAGTCAGAAGCTCTGATGGAATGAGACGAATAACTGTCGCGTACAGACGTGTCGGAATAGTTCCCTGCTGCCTTGCCCAGATTGAGGGCTTGGTACGCATCTTGTACTGGTCAGTCTTCTTTGAAGTAATGGCCAATTTAGCATTGCGCATCGCTGGCAGGCGCTTGTGGTAGACGGAGTTGAAGTGCTCATCCAACAGATTTCTTTTGCGAAGTAGCAAACATGCATCAAAAGCCGCCGACTGCTTAGCGAGTGATTTCTTTGATTCGGAGCATCCAAGCACTCTTCGCACAGGTGACTTCTCCGGCATAATTATTTCACAGCTGAATGATTCGTTTTCTGACATGACAATGTATGTGACCGAGGCCGAGATCTCATTTTCGTATTGCTGAGGTTTTGTCACCGTTAGCTTGATGGTGCAAGTCAACAGAAGCAAATTGGCCCTTACCAATGAGCTGGCAAATCGTGCCAGTACACCAATCGCATGGCGATAGGTCAACATGGCACCTGTGCTCGTGATAGTGTACGTTCTCTTCCGATCTTCCTGGTGAATAAGCACTCCATTATCATGCTCGTCTCGGTACAATTTTCGGTCCTCTGGCAGCAGGTTGCAGAAATTCTTCATGAGATGCTGTTCATGTTAATGAGTTTGGTGCTATATCACCCAGGAAGGATCCTTACCTCTGCTCTTCGAACTTCCTGTAGTCTCGTGCTGTGGTTGCGATTGCCACTTTCAACCATGGTTGCGTACTGCGAAATAGTTAGTAAACCAAATGCGTCCCATAAAAGTGAAGGAAATCTAACCACTGAGTCGGCGCGCCTGGCACGGCCTCGGCTTTGGACATATTGAATAACCGTGTCATAGAGATCGAATCTTTTTGTTGGTCAGTAAAAGCAGCAGCGACGGTTAAAATGTTAGAAGACATACCTAACCACCAGGTTACAGTCTGGGATGTCAAGGCCTTCCTCTGCGACCGATGTTGCAAACTGAGAATTATTAGATTTTCTCGACAAGCAGCCTTTCTCATTTGCTGAAAACTCACCAAGCAGTTGATTTCACTTTTTCGGAACTTGACCAAGACAAGAAACTGCCGACGAAATGTTGAACTCATTCCTAGCGCATCTCCTTTGCGGACACCGACCAAGGCATCGGGACGGAGGTTTGGGAATTGCAGCTTTTCGCACAGCTGTAACAATACTTTAGCTGTGTTGCGCCTTTGTGTGAACACGATGCATTTGGTATCTGGAGACTTCGCAAACTGTTCTTGCAGCTTTCTCATCAAAATCTCAACTTTGGAGCTGAGATCACTAGGCGTAAATGTCTGGTTTGCAATGTACTCCTTGACCAGCTGGTTGGCTTCTTGAATCCGCTTGATCTCCTCCGAAGCCTTTTCAGAATCCTGAGGATCAGATTCGCTCGCTTTGCCGATACTGCCCTCCAGCTTGGGTAACACTTCGTCTGATAGGGCCAGAGCCCATACCTGGTCTGCGCACCAAGCCCCTAATTCTGAGCTTGCAACAGATGCAAATCGAAATGCGCCTTCAAGAATTGGCATATCCCCATACTTGGTTTTCAGAGTCCTATGCAGATTGGTCTCAAGCGGCGGAGGAAGCTTGTCGTAGACCCATTCCTCCTCTATTGGCTTGTTCACGAAGGTTCGCAGAAGGGCAAGATCCGATGTTGTTGCAATTCGACTATTTAAGAGAGTCTCAAGTTGCCTATATACAGTAAGCAGAAGCTTCCACTTTTTTTTTTTTGATGTGCTCACATTGCTGCTTCCGCTATGTCACACTTAGCATCAACCGGGGAAGCAGTCATCCCGAAGATCCTGGGCCGCTTTTCAGGATCGGCTTTCAAATAGGAGTCTCGGATGATACTAATAGATATTAGCTTTTGCCGTGATGTTATAATTGAACAATGGGCTACATACCGAGCATACGGATGCTCTTTTTTGGCATGGTGGGCTTCGTCAAAGATCAGAAGGTTGATCTGGTCAATCCCTATATGGCCATTCAATAGAGAGTGGTTCAGGATCTCTGCTGTGCATACGATCACCATGTACTTTTCAAGGTGCTTGTTCCACGTTTGTTGGTCCCAAAGATCAGGTCCTAGGTTGCCGTAAAAATGACCGACTTTTTGATCGAGGTTGTTTCTCAAGACCGCAGACTGTTGAAAAACCAAGGTTACACTGTCCACCAGGAAAAAGGCGACGCGAGGTTTTCTGCCACTTGCACGTTTGTTGAGTTCGATTTGGAGGATATGCTTGAGCAAAAGCACAGCCACTAAAGTCTTCCCAGATCCTGTGTCAAGAACCGCGATTGTGTTGCTAGCCCGTGCTCTTTCAAAGAGCTCAATTTGGTATTCACGAGGGTCCAGGACCCCACCCCCGGGCTCTGTATTTGCGAGCAAACGAGCAGTTGAAAGTTCCGCATCAGATAGTTCGATATGTGCCCCATTGGGGCCATTGCTGGGTCCGTTGACAACATGCTCTTCGAGCCTTCCGGGTTGTCAGCATAAATAGGCCTTGAAGCTAAGATACGTTGGAAACTCACAGTGCAGTGAACATAGCATTTTGAGCTCGGTGTCGGTGCGACTCCGTCAAACGTGGGGGCACAGCTTCATCGCCAGATATATCTGAGGCAGTGTCTTCGGGATCCATGTTGGTAGATTTTTCCTGTGCTAGAATATGTTGAAGAAGAAGAAAAATTGAAGAAGAAGAGGAAGAAGAAGATTAAGAAGAATAAATAAAGCTATGCGAAGTAGGAAAGTTAACCCCGGGCGAGAGAAGAAACAGTATCTGACTTGGTAAGAGCAAACGAGTTATAGAGTTTGGTGTTCCTTCCTAGTAAGGTATGGGTTTCTCGTAAGTGAGGTGAAAGTGATAGATCGTCCACAGGTGTATATTTGTAGGTGTATTGGGAAGGCTATTTCAAGAGGGCTCCATGTGTTTAACAAATATCCATAGACAGCTTGCCTTAGACTCTTCTTTGATATTGTAATGAGATTGCATTTTCTTTCCGTGCCAAATAGGAAGGTCGTTTGCACATGGATATCCTAAGAATCACATGCCTGCAGGTCCCATATATATATGCACCTAAGCAACCTGTTCTAACCACAGCGTAAAACTAGGACCAAAAAAGCTGGTGCATAGGTAAAATGAGCAGACTATAAAATAGACCTCTGAAATTATTTAAAAGAACGACTATCTGAAGGGAGACTAAAACAGAGGAGAGCCCTGGAGGAGAATAAGAGTGTGATAAACAACTTATCAATGCAAACCGACCAATCAGTCTATACTTAGCGTAGGCAGAACATATATTGATTTACAAGGGAAGGAACATTTTGAATTAAGCATACAGTTTGATTCCAACCTTGGACCAAGTCTGTAGAACTCAAAAAGGCTGAGGAAAATTGAAGTATGAGCCCTGTCAACGCTTATCTGATAAAAGCTTGGCCTTATCGCCTTATCGAATTTCCAAAACTCAGATCCGATCCAGATCGCGGGAGACACGCGCACCCTTTCCAAGCACCCCTCAAAGCCTATCTTCTACCTAATTCAAGCCCACAAGATTAATAACAGAACCAATGGAGGAGCCACAGAGTCTTCGCTCTCTATTTGCATCAGCAAAGGAGCAAAAGAGTGCACTGGAATCGCGGGCGACACCAACGCCGAGAGCTACCGAGACGAGGTAAATGCGACGATCGCCAAGTTCCAAGAATGTCAGCGTCAAGTGAGCATGCTGTCTCTTTTCAGCTCTAATGAACTGTTGGAAGATATTTCAACCAGTGATATCCAGTACGGCACCTTGATTCCCGCATTGTGTTGCCCATTCAGCTGATTTGTTGTCCAGGTACATGACACTGGAATACCATCTAGCCGAGCTTATGCAGCGAGTTGCTACCTCAGACCGCGAAGCGGCTCTCAAGCGTGCACTCGAACAATATGAGAAATACCTGATGCGCTTGGATGAGTACCTGCTGCTCTCTGGCGGAGATAAGAAGCTCTTTGAGCAATACATGGCCAATCCGACGTCTTTTACCCTGGCGCCAGCCAACGACGCTGCTGCCAGACGAGAAATTAAAGTGACACGGTTTCGAGAGGAAAAAGAGCTCAAGCAGAAACTGGAGGTATGTGGAATTTCTTCCTAGATATTGTTCAGGGTCCTTGCTTACCCTATTGAAAGTACTTCGCACGCAACGAAGCTCGACTGCAAAGTGATGATGATGACACCCGATCTCTCTATCTAGCAGAGATCCAGCTTTACACCCACCAGACCTTCCAGGCCTTAGATCTCCTGACCCAGGAATTGTCGATACTTTCAGCTATGCGAAACGCACCCCCCTGTCCCCCTCCGACAGACGATCCCAGACAGCGAAGCAATATTGGAGGTTTAAATTACTCAGAGAAGTTGGATCCTTCCATGTCACAGCTTTTGGGGGGGAGGCAGAGGTGGTCCTATCCTGAACAGCAAAGGAAAGCCAATGCAGCCGTTTACTTTGTTGGGTCGGCGCGCAGAAATGCAACAAGGAGTCTTTCGTCCGGGTCATAACCTTCCGACTATGACAATTGAAGAATATCTCGATGAAGAGCACAGACGAGGAAATGTTATTGAAGGAGGAGGTGAAAAGTCCGGCATCAAACCGCTAGTCGACGAAGATGATCACGAGATTGCCGACCAGGAGACGATGAAGGCGCGATATTGGGACGAGTACACGGAAGCTAATCCGAAGGGTGCTGGAAACACGCTGAATCGGGGATGATTTGAAATACCCGGAACGAACAGAGCTGCTTTACTATAGTCCAGAAAGCCAGGTAGATGGAGTTTCTGGGGAATATTCTTGGTATCTTGAACGAGTACGAACATACCAGACAAGAAAACTCGTTCACTTCATTTTTTAACAGGGTATATCTGCCTAGTTACAGTAAAAGTCTATTTGAGCATTCAGACCGCAGTAGAAACGGTCTCCTTGGCCTTGTTCTGTTGGATAGCCTCGAGGATGTCTCCAGCGCCGTCAGCCACCAGGGCCTTGGCTACGGTGATGCCGAAAGCCTCGGCACTCTCAGCAGAGGTGACATCGGCTTCCAATTCTACCTGAGCACATTCTTTGCCATCGACACTGACTACAACAGACCGCATTCGCAACTGCTTAGCACCCTGCGCATTTTGGACCCATTCGGTTTCAACCCCCAGCGGGGCACTGCAGCCTCCCTCGAGGGTCCGCAAAAGACTGCGCTCAGCCAAGACAGAGAATGTGGTATCCTGATGACCAATCTTGTCCAACATATCCTGCAGAACAGTGTCTTCCTTGCGGATTTCGATACCAAGGGCACCCTGTCCGACAGCATAGAGCATGCCGCTGTTCTTGGAGTCCAAATATTGGGTGATACGATCCGCCAAATCAAGACGCAGTAGACCGGCAGCGGCTAGAATGATACAGGCGTAAGGGCTATCTTCAGCGTCTAGCTTTGACAGGCGAGTGCCGATGTTGCCACGGACATCCTGGACCTTAAGGTGGGGGTATTTCCGGGCTAATTGTGCTGTGCGGCGGATGGATGAGGTTCCCACCACGGACCCGGCGGGGATCTCGGACAGACTCTTGTATGGCAAACCTTGTTTCACCACAAGGACATCCCTGCTATCTTCGCGGGGCATGCTCGGACCTAGCTTGCAGGAAGAGGGAGAGTAGTGGGGACATCTGATAATTTCGAAGAAGTCGTCGTCAGCACTTTTCTTGGGTTAAGACAGCTATGTTGTTTGAAATTGAAACACTTAACAAACCTTTCAGCGAGTGCACGATAATATCGACCTGTCCGTCGATCATCAATTCCTCCAATTCCTCCGTCCACAGGTTCTTGGTGTTGAAATCCCGCAGTGCAATAGTGGTATTCAGGTCACCGGCTGTCTCTTTGGAGAAGATCTTATATTCATATTGCGGGAATGCCTTCTTCAATGCGTCAAGGACCAGGTTTGTCTGAAGCAGAGCGAGTTTAGATTTGCGGGTGCCGATAGTGATGGTCTTTTGGGTGGGGGCGGGGGTAGACATTTTGGGCAAAGAAAGCGTATGCGGAGAATAAGCTAAAGAACGCGAGTAATTGTGTACGTTGTATGTACGTTGTATGAGCTATTGCCCAGATACCAAACAGCCGAGGAAAGTCACGCGAAGAGGCGAAAGTGGATTTGGAGACCTCCGATCACGGGACACGTGCAGATCAGTAATTCCAGGTTTGCTACAACATTTAAGTATACAATAATTAGGGAATAGAAGATATAGGAATAATATTAGAGTTAATACAATACATGTAGATCTATAAAATTAGAGATAGACTATCATCAAAAAAGCAAATTGTCTAAGTTCTTCCCCAGTTGATCGTCAACCTCGGCTTCGGGACGTGGAGATTGCGAGACATGCGACTTATCTCCCCCGGACTTCCCATCTACGGGATTCTGGAACCTCCATCTCTCCTCTTCATATAATCCATTTACCTTCCCCCCCTCCACATTCCACATTCCCCATTCCCCATACATTATACACTTGATCTCCCCCGGATCCCTGTCTTTGCCACCCTATTTCATCATCACTACGGCCCATACAAGATGGGAACGAACGGTAGAAGCACCAAGCTTCCCCTCGTACCTCTGCCCAAGGGCTCGGTTCTGCTACCCGGCGTGACTCTACGCATTCCAGTCTCCAACCGTCCCGATCTCGCCAATCTCCTTTCGTCACTTGTGGACAAGCCTTCGAAGCGAGATGCGTCTACTATCACCTTCGGCTGTGTTCCACTTAATTCACCGTTCCTGAGCCGGGATGGACAGCAGCTCCTCGAAGGCGAGGACTCTGACTCGGAGCGAAAAGAGGAATATGACTCGATTGACGCCGGTCAGGCACGGAAGGAGGATCTGTTCCGATGCGGAACCATTGGCAAAGTCATCGGAGTTCAGCGCCGGGCCTACTCCGAACCGTTTTTGCTAGTTCAAGGATCGCAAAGGTTTACTATTAAGAAGGTCCTGCGAGACCGGCCATACTTTGAGGCCGAGGTCTTCATTCATGATGAATCCAGTTAGTTTCCACGGACACAAAACATAGAGACCACATGGCTAATCATACTTCCTATGCTTCTAGACTCTGGCCAAGGTGATGCAGAAGTCGCTGCGCTATTCCAACAACTGAGACAGCTCTCTCGAGAGCTTCTTACTCTGCTACGCCTCTCCTCATTACTGTCGGCAGCCTCCTCTCGCCTCTCGCCACTCGTTGCCCGAAAGTTCGAGCTCTATATATCGAAGACGGAATTGACACAGGCCGGGAAACTGGCCGATTTTATGGCAGATGTGTCTGATGCAAGCTTTGAGGAAAAGCTACGTATCCTCGGCTCGCTGGATGTTAAGGAACGGTTGGAGAGGGTTGTTGAGATCCTCACCAGACAGGCACAGCATATTAAGAGTAGCGTCAGGGTCACCACGGTTGGCTCGACGTCGTTCCCCTCATCCGGGATGGATATAAGTCAGATTGACCCCCGTGAACGTGAGCTGCTCGCAAAGCGTGCAATTTCGGGTCTCTCCGGCATGACGCCCCCTAGCGGACGTGGCAATGACGAAGAGAAGGAGCCTAATGAAGTAGATGAGCTACAGCAGAAGTTGAATGATGCGCAGCTTAGCCCCGAAGCTCGGAAGGTTGCGGACAAGGAACTGAAACGCTTGCGAAAGATGAACCCTGCCAATGCCGAGTACGGTGTTTGCCGGACTTATCTGGAAAACTTGTCGGAAATTCCATGGACCAAGGTGACAGAGGATCGGCTTGGGCCCGACACCTTGAGGAATGCCAGGAAGCAGCTGGATGAGGACCACTACGGATTGGAGCGGATCAAGAAGCGACTGCTGGAGTATTTGGCTGTGTTGCGCTTGAAGCAGTCCACCAACTCGGACGTTGAACGCCAGATTTCAGGGCTCTCCAAGGATTTGGACGCCTCGGCGGTCGGAGATGTTGAGAAGGATGTCCCCCTGCTGTCAGAGACTGACCGGGTTGCGTTGGAGACCCGCCTTGAGATCCTCAAGTCCAAGCGTATGACCGACAAGTCCCCTATCTTGCTTCTAGTCGGACCCCCTGGAACTGGCAAGACCAGCTTGGCCAGGTCCGTTGCTGCCTCACTTGGCCGAAAGTTCCACCGGATCTCCCTTGGTGGTGTCAGAGACGAGGCTGAAATCCGCGGCCACCGACGCACATACGTTGCAGCCATGCCTGGTTTGATTGTGAATGGGTTGAAGAAGGTTGGCGTTGCAAACCCCGTCATTCTGCTCGATGAGATTGACAAGGTCGGCGGCGCCAACTTCCAAGGAGACCCGTCCGCCGCCATGCTTGAGGTTCTTGATCCTGAGCAGAATCACACCTTCACTGACCACTATATCAACATCCCTATTGACCTGAGCAAGGTCCTCTTCCTTGCTACTGCCAACTCCCTGGAGACGATCCCGGCACCTCTGCTTGACCGCATGGAGACTATCTCACTGTCTGGATACACCACTGTTGAGAAGAGGCACATTGCCAAGCAACACCTGATCCCGAAGCAGATTCGATCCAACGGCCTCACCGAGGGCCAGGTAAACCTGTCCGACGAGGTGATCGATAAGACCATCACCTCGTACACCCGCGAGTCAGGTGTGCGCAACCTAGAGCGGGAAATTGGCTCTATCTGTCGCCACAAGGCCGTTCAATATGCCGACGCCGGGGATGCCGACCGCCTAGACGATTATAACCCTGTCGTATCAATCGATGATCTGGAGGATATCCTGGGTATTGAGCGATTCGAAGAAGAGATCGCCGAGAAACACGGCCGTCCCGGTGTAGTAACAGGCCTTGTCGCTTACTCTACCGGTGGCCAGGGCAGCATCCTGTTCATTGAGGTGGCAGACATGCCCGGCAACGGACGCGTCCAGCTAACCGGTAAGCTGGGCGACGTGCTCAAGGAATCTGTCGAAGTAGCCCTAACATGGGTGAAGGCACACTCCTTCGAGCTCGGTCTCAGTCACGACCCCAGTGAAGATATTATGAAGAGCCGTAGCCTGCACGTCCACTGCCCCTCCGGCGCTATTCCCAAGGATGGTCCCTCTGCCGGTCTTGCCCACGCTGTTGCCTTGATTTCCTTGTTCAGCAACAAGCCCGTCCCACCCCAGATCGCCATGACTGGCGAGGTCTCCCTCCGCGGCCGGGTCATGCCTGTCGGCGGTATCAAAGAGAAACTGATTGGTGCTTTGCGTGCGGGCGTCAAGACCGTGCTGCTGCCAGACCACAACCGCAAAGACGTCAAAGATGTCCCACAGGAAGTCAAGGATGGTCTGGAAATCGTCTATGTCAAGTAAGTTATCTCAGCCCAACCTTGGTTTAGTTCAACTGCTAACAATCATTCACAGGCACATTTGGGAAGGGCTCCGCCAGGTCTGGCCCGATGCCCAGTGGCCAGGCCAACACCAGATGAACTTCGTTGAGAGCCGACTGTGAACCATTCCAAGGTTGTCAACTCCTAAGTATAAGGCGTCTTGCTTTGCCAGTCCCTCGTCTGTTGCCAGAACTGGAGCCCACCTACCCTCTTTTTTTGCATAGCGTATAATAGCCCGAGGCCCCAGTGATTTGTATTTAATCAGCTTGTCTTTTGTGATGCGTTCATGCCAGTCAATATTTTGTGTCTATATCACTCTACATACGGTTCCAATTCTACAACCAACACATAACTTGCAATTTACAATGTTTTATCTTAGAGATTCGTGTAAACCTTGACCAGATCAGAAAAAGATGATACGCCATATTCAAGATGTATACAATCTACCCCAAGAGTATAATACACAGTTCCAGTCAAAATAACATGGACCATAAGATAGAGCAAGAAACACCGATTTCCCCCAAGGGAGGGAGAAAAAAAAACCATGAAGAACAATGCAAGGAATCCCATCAAAACCGATTACCGTGATCCATGCTTCCGCCCCTTACCATACCAGGCCGGCAGCGTAGGGGCACGGGCGAACGCACCATTCTTAGCCGCTTGGTGTGGCTCTAGGCCCAGAGCCTTCCAGGTCGGTCTCCAGGTCTCCTTGTTCTCGAGCAGCGCCTTAGCCTGCTCCTTGTAGGCATCACGCAACTGCTGATCGGGCTCTTCACCCTTGTTGGGCCTGGGGTTCTCCTTTTCTTGTTGGTCGATCTGCCACTTCTCGGCCTTTGACCAGCTTTCATGCTCCCATCTATTTGTGGATATTGGTTAGTGAAGATGTTCAGTTTGGTTGGAGGGCGCATGTGTAGTATGGAGCATATAGAAAGAGGGAAGACAAAGGAATGGAACTCGAAGAGGACGAGAAGGTTAAGGGTAGGCGTCACATACGGGGTGAGATCCTTCGGCTCCTCAGGGTACACGAAGGGCTCCTTCAATTCAACGGTCATGCGCTTCTGCGACTTAGGTCGGCGCCACGGGCCGAAACCCTTGCCATCGCGCGAGATTCGTGTGATCGGTTGTGCCTGAACGTAACTGCGGATGCTGAGGGTTCCGACTCCATATAAGTGCCATAGGTAGCTGCGGAGATCGAACTTGTTGAAGTTGAGGGGGACGCGGAATTGAGCATATCGGGGGGTGAGATTGGGGGGTTCGGACGAGAGCAATGCGGAATTGAGGTCTATTGGGACGATAAATAAGCTGGGGTTCTTTTTTTATTTTGCGGCAAATGTTCAATTGGCCGCTTAAATCTGTTGAGATGCTGTTTTGGTCGAGCGGAGTAAATTTTGGGCAACGTACAGGTACACGGGCTTGCCGACGACGCTGGGCCATTTAGATTTTCGGGGGTTGCTGGACCCCAGCCTGGTTTTGTAGGCGGCGCAGGGCCTTCGCTTGAACACTGTTGAGGCGCACCATCGCGTTGTTGAGTGGAGGAATCTGGAGGTTGGAGGTGCTTGCGGATCGCGTATCAAAACTGCTTTGGCCGATCTGGTCACGTGATCCCAAAGTATGCGCCAATAGTGAACGACACAACACTCACTGTTGGACATTCAGTCAAGAGTCGAATTGATTACGCCGTGTCTCCAGTATAGTATTGGGTATATTTTTGATATTTCTTTCCTAAACGGAGAGTTTAGGTATTCTAAAAGACATCCCTTGATAGGAAATTCTGCAACCTATATTACATGCTTTATTCATCGTAAATAGTCATTAAGAAAGCCCAAGATCATTTCCTTTTATTGCTCCGCCGATCCAGAGACTCGAAGTTCTTCCAACCGTTTGGTGTTGTCATCGACATCTTCGGAGTCCTTGGTCTCGTGGGCATCACTGGCATCCTCGGCTTCAGATCCGGATTCTTCCTCATCATCCTCATCCTCATCCTCATCGTCGCTGTCCTTAGAAGCCTCTCCATCTCCTTTGACTCCAACGTCTGCCATATAAGCCTCGAGCTCACGGGCCATCTTGCGCGAGAAACCTGACGCTTCAACTTCAACATCCAGACGTTTGCCGGGGTTCTTGAGGAGCTTCTTTCTCGCCTCGGCGAATGTAGGGCCCTTTGAGTCGCTCACGAAGTGGAACTTGCGCTTGAAGTATCGCTTGATACATTCCACATCACGGTCAAAGTACATTTCAGCGTTAACGTGGTCGACAGACACCATCTGCGGGAAATCAATGAGAACCGGGACCAGCCGGATATGCTCATCTTCCTCTTCCTCAGTGAGCTCTTTCCCCTTCATTTCGGGGTCTAGCTCTTCCTTGATAAGGATATTGAACTCGTTGAAATCACCATGGATAAGACCATATCGCGCAAGTTCCAAGATCATATTCATAAGCTCGGAGTACAGCCCAGCGGGGTCGGCGACTTTTGAGATTTGGCGCAGAGGGAAAGCATCAATTAGACTCATGACGATGGTGTGTCGGTTCTGGGCAATGGGCTCGGGGACGGAGAATCCGTTCTCGCGCAGAGCCTTCATGAAAGCGAACTCCTTCATTGCTGCCAATCGAGACATGTACATCCATGGGGCTGAGCTGCGGTGTCGTAGGTAGTCGCGGTTTGTCTTGACTGTTCGGAACGAGATACGGCCGAGACGGTGGATTTTCATAATGCGCTGCGCTCCGGTGCTATCTGCCACCACGATGATGTCTGATTCTTTTCCAACCCCGATTTGGTTGCCAACTGAATAGATGACCTTTGACTTTTGGTGCGCGTTCAACGCAAGATAATCCAATCCTCCGTATGCGAGTCGGTATCCGTCATCTATAAACCGAATACTTGTATTAGTGATAAGCTCAGATGCAGAAGTACATGGAATGCATACACTTGGCATTCTTGACCTTTGCGATCAAGTTGATTTTCGCGAGGTTTGAGATTGCGCGATTGACACCGCTGCCGCCTCGGAGGCCCGAAAGCTGTGAGATCAATGGCGTTGGGACGACCTCATGGTTCCGGCTGCCGGCTTCACACTAGAAGAATCTACATGTTAGCTAATGAAGAATGCGCGATAGAATATCCCCAAAGAAAGAATATCGCGGGGTAAAACCAAGAGGAGGGGCCGATAAGTACCGCTGCAAGAACTCGGAAATCCTCGGAGGTGAGGTAGCGAATAGCCTTAGCGTCGAGTTTCATGGTTTCGAGGAAATGAAGGAGCCTTTCGCTTTCTTCTAATTTCCTTGAATTGATTCGTTGGCGACCAGAACTTCAAGACGAGTTGGATCACTCAACGATGCAGCGGAGGAAAAAAGTTGATAAGAACCTAGCCCTAAGCCCTATTTCCTATCCGGGCTGAGAACCTTGATAGCATATGGATAGCACCTGGGCATTCTGCGATGATTACAATGTTGTAACCGGATATCTCTCAAACGTAGATGTATACAAGGGCCTGGTTCAAGATGAGTTCTCTACTCGTAAACCAGGCTCTACAAATCCACCGAGCTCCAAAATACCTACTGCATAGTCTACTTATTCATAGATCCAAGCAGATGTAGTAGAAGCCAGACAGATAAAACTGTAAAAATAAATCCATGCTATTCTTCATTCGTTCTGAATACATTAGATCCAACGATAACCCGACCACTATACGAGTCCCGCTGGTTGCGAGCAATGGATGTAAATCGGGGAATATCTAGTCTAGCTTGCTTATTCGGGGTTTTCATAGTCCGGGTTCTGGAACATAGGTTAGTACTGGCAATTTGCACTAGAGATATGTAATACGTACTTTGCGCAAGATGACCAAGCCTTCGAGTGTGCTGCTCAGAGGGATGTACTGCTCATCCTCGAGCTCGGCTCTCTCACCGTAGGCCAGGAGCACTGGCGTGCTCTGAGTCTGCCATCCAGTGATGGTCTTCGGACGACCCGCCTGGCCGACCACGTCCACAGCCTGACCAACGCGGACGTTGACGGTGAGTGGCTGAAGGTCCTCATCGAGGGTAATAAGGAAGCGGGGGAACATGGCGGTAATGAGGAAGTAGAGCAGGTAGTGATGTTCAGCGAGGATGAATTGCTTAGCATCGATGAGCGATACAAGCACAGTAAGCAAACCCGCTGCTGAGACACGGGAAAGGACCTGTCGGTCGGTGTGGAAGGGATTAAGCGTCATGGTACCCTTGCCCATGTGTAGGAGACCCTGGGCGATGCGAACCATGAATAGTGAGTTCTGGTCGCGGTGGTAGTAGCTGGCCAATTGCCGGAGAAGCTGTGCGATACGGGCATTGTTGGTACCAGCGCCACAGAGACCCATGGCGAAGATGGCATTAATGGCAACATCGTTGTCATTGTCGTGACTGTACCGGGACAGTGTGTCGTAAACCTTCATTTGTGGGTTGCTGGGGCTGATCAGGCCCATAGCCAGGGGAACAGCCCGGCGAATGTTGCTAGATCCGTAGTGCATGAGGTGACCGAACTGGCGGAGAATCATATCCTGTCCGACATCCTCGCCCATGGAAATGAGAGACAGACCGAGAACAGCATACGACTGAACAAGCTCATCGCCCTTGTTCTCCTCCTTTTCTTCAATGAGGTCATTGCAGATGTGGAGAAGCTCTTGTAGCTTGAGCACCGTGCCAGTACCTGCCCAAGCGCATACTGAGGCAAGGACTGAAGTGGGCTTAGCCATGGGGTGGTCAACTGCCTTGAGGATGTCGAGGATGACATCAACCTCCTCTTGGCGGCCGAAGTACAGAAGTGCCAGACCAAGGGCCATGAACCTTGTCCACTTGTCCTTGAGCTGCTTCTGACGCTCCTCATCCATCAAGGTCGTCGCGATTGCCTCGCTAACCTGGTGGTTTGATGAACCAACAAAGATGAGACCCAGTGAAACTGCTGCCATGGCAGACAGCTGCATGTCTAGTGAGGCGTCCTCCACAATCGGGGAGGAGAACCTCAAGCAGTTCTTCCTTGTTAGAACCGGCATATGCCAGACCAAGACCCATGATGGATGCAACTCTCATCGGCACGTTCTTCGCCTCAAGGTTGTCGGGATCACTCAAGAGGGCAAGGGCGGGGTCAGAGTCAAGTCGGACGCCGGAGTTCAGGATACCAATAGCGAGCAGTGCACCAGCCTTAACCTGGTCTTCTTGCGCGTAGGTGAACTTGTCGATTTTATCCAAACCGTCCTCGACATCACGGTGTAGCAGCATACCCAGCGACGCAGTTGTAGAAAGCATGCCATCATCCTTGGTCTTCCACACCCACGGGCGCTTATCACCCTCCACTAGCATCATCTCATCGTTACCAAAGCCAGAGTTGGCAAATGAGTTGACAAATGCGCTGGCCAAGTTGTGTCGTGCCGAATCAAGATTGGTGAGGCCGGCTCCGCGACTGCTCTCAAGATGTGTCTTGTAGATATCCTCCGGCATCTTTGGGTCCAGAATATTGAGTTCTTTGCCCAGAGACTTGAAGTGCTTCGGGATAGAAGTGTTGTTGAGACAATCAGCCAAGGCCTCTCCCTCCTCATCCTCGGCCGGGAGGTCGAGCCAGATCTGCTGCCGGGCGACAAGGAAAGCCATCTGTTTCTTCAAAGACATATCAGTCGTGGCGTGGATATCACTCTTGATGAGCTCAGTGTCGTTCAACCGGATAGCGAGCACGATCGCTTGCGAAAGCTTGTTGTAGCGGACGTAGATCTCGTGGGCGGTTCGAAGGAATTGCTGATCTTCAGGGTAGGTGAGTAGATTGACCATGCTGACCATATACAAGCAGACTCGAGCATATGTGTTCTCGTCGACGAATTGAGGAATATCTTCGATGATTTCCAGTTCGCTCATGAGATCAACAGCATCGGCTTCAGCGTTATGACTCAGGAAATAGGGCACCAGCGACAACGCAAGGTCCACTAGATCCTGGGTATCCTGCTCTGCGTTCAACCGGTTCTGATATTCTTGTCCAATTTCCAGTGCGAGATGTCGGATATACTCGTGACCCCAAGAGCCAAGGTCTTCCGATTTGGCCAACAAGCGGTATTTGATGGTCTCCAGCTTCTCTTCATCTCCGTAGGTCATTCCAAGCACAGACAGCATATCGGCCAACGAGTTCTAGGAAGAAGACTATCGTTAGATATGACAAAGCGATATAGGCGCCGGAGAACTAACCTGCACAGGGCCTGGGACCCATTTCTCGTATAGCCCTGCCAGGTCATCATAATGGGGTCGGAGGAACTTGAGAGGCTTAGGAACAGCTGTCATGGAGGAAGTAGAAGTCTTGATAAAGTTCTTGATTGCATCCAAAGCAGGCCCATAGAGCGAGGTATCGGGTTCCTATTCAGAGCAAAGAAGAGGATTAACGTCATCGTGCTATGCGCACGGGACAGGAGGGTGACTGTACCTTTAACCGCTCAACGAGCATCTCAAGTTCGCTCTTCAATTGTTGATCCTCTTCACTAAGTTCCTCTGTAGAGAAGCTCCGTCAGCATGTTGCTTCGAGTGCTACCGTGGAGCCTTGAGAGAAACCACATGCTCCGTTGCGAGAACCTTGGGAATGCCTTATCGCAACGTACCTTCTTGAGATGCCTCATCTTTCTTCTTTTCGTCTGCTGGCTTCTCGCCTTCGGTCTTCTTGCCATTCAACTCACGAACATCATCAACCTTGCCCTTGCCCTTGTCGGCGGAGGTTGGCCGTTCGCCCTCGTTGGCCATTTCTGATGGTAGCTGGGGACCAAGTCGGGGGAAAATCGAAGCGGCGTGGGAGAGGTAGGTATCAAGCAGATGAGCAGAAGATAGTATTACAACGCAGAAATAGATGAAATTCTGCAAGTAAAGAGTAATGCAAGTGGATTGTAAGCTGGTGATGGAGAAGCAGAGCTCGGTCTGGTGCAGCTCCGGAATTAGATTACATAAGGTGCCAAGCCCTCCAGGGCTGCGGAAGGCCCTCGTCATTGTTTTGGACTTGCGATGCAACGCAACGATTTCACTTCTCTGACTCGAATCCTTATGACTTTGATTTACAGAATGATCTTTGGGGGTTTACGTTCAAAGGAATATTTCATTTCCTGGTTATACATAGAAAAATCCTCGGTGCGGTTTTTTGTTTTTACTGCCTTTGTATACATCTGAAAGGAACATCCAAAAACAGGTTGATGTGTTCTTACATGTAATGTCCATAATATCATCTTGGACCGAAGAGATCGGATTATTCGATGGTACGTCGTCAAGAACATGCGCCGCACGAGCGGCCGACTATCCACGTGTATCCTGAACTTGGTAAACATGCCGGTGAAATGACACTTCAGATCCTAGATATCGCCGGGAGTTCATTCTTGAATGCAAAATAATAGGTCTGTCGAGGGCTCATCAACCTTGCTATCTCTGGCACATCCTCCGTAGTAAATTCGAAATTGCTGGGCGTATTCTTCGGTCTGTTGGGTGTATGCCGCGGCCGTTAATCCCTCTCCGTCGTATGAAAGCAGAGGCAAAGCATCAAGATCAGGAAGACCTGAAGGGAACAAGTCAAGCAATGGCATAATAGTTGATGCACGGTTTAACGATTTTTCAATAGACCCAAAGCCAGAGGAAACCCCACCTTTCAGCGGCTGAGTAGGATCATGAATAATTTGAGTGGCTTCTTCGCCCGAGGTTGCGGGATTGCCGTCCCCGAATTCTTCTGGGGGCTGGTAGAGCTCGTTGTGTACTGTGGCAATCGAGGAAGATTTGATGCCTGGGAATGCTGGATAGAGGAGATAATATCCTCTGGCCCGGATCATCTCAAGCATGTGTTCCATAAACGCCGGATATTTCTCCGATATAAACTTTGTTTGGGGGGCTGCCGCGGATTGTGGAGTCGACAAGCGGTTAGCCATGAAGGAATGGAATTCCGCCCATGCATCACCGAAATATAAAGCTGCATTACTATTGGGGGCCTGCCAGAGGAACGAGGGAAGAAACTGTTCTTTGCCTTCAACGGTCATGGGCGGCGGGGTGAAAGATTGGCTATCACCGGTGGGTTTTGATGACGGTAGTTCGAGTGAAATACCGATCATCTTCGAGAATATACGCTTGGCTCGGGAAGACTGTTTGTAGTTCAGTACAGCAAACTTCAGGTAGTGATAGAACGATGGTGCAAGCTCCGTCTGTGGAGATAGCAGAAGCAAATGTGTCATCCCAGGGTCCCGTGGATAGAATGACTCCACAGTTCGAAGCGATGATTCCGCTGTGTCCATGCCATGCGGTTGAATGCGCCGCCGAATAGTGATTCGGCCAGGAAGCTGGGTCAGCCCGCCCAAATGTTGTAGAAATTGAAGCAACTGCGAATCTACCCGCTGCGGGAGCTCTATTGTCAAGCTTGGAGTCGATCCTAAATAGTCGGCTGCATCCAATGACTGGATAAGCCTGATCAAAGATCCAGAAGATTCGGAGGGTGCATGCACCACCATTTTGATTTGCATATTATTCCACGCTATTATACGCACGATCAGCATTCCCGGACACGACGTATCAAAGAAGGGGAAGATGACTTACATCGAAGAGCTTCACTATCTAGCGAGGCTATCCACATAAGGTCCCTTGAAGCAGCAGAGAGAGCAACGTGAGGGAGGCCAGTTTCTCGAGAATAGACCTCAACTCCGGCCCAGAAAAAGGAATCCTCCCACGCCCGACCTTGTGTAATGATAACATCGGGGCTGATGTAGGTTTGTATGTTTTGCAGCCCTGCTATCACTGACCGTTTCATACGACCATCTGTAGATTTGGGTGCATAGTCCGGCCGAGCATCTGTTGTCGCTAAGTCAGTAAAACGTGTTTGGCCATCATAATCTGAATAGCATACCGTGCCAGGTCATCGGGCATTCACTATCTCTGATTCTGTTAACTTCTTTGATTCCTTCAATCGAAACTTCCTCCTTTCCCATCAATGTGAAATGCACATAGTTCAGCCGTTGACCAGCCATCCGACAAGCTAGGGGCAAAAGATCCGACACAGTGTGGAGACTTGAGGCTGCAAACACAACTGCACGGCTGGCAGATTTCCGTGAATACTTGTAGCGAGGAAGAGAGTTGGCCAACTCGTAGAACTTGATCATCCCATCATAAGCTTCCTCATTCTGGTTCGATTCCGACACCTTGACTGGTGGCAAATCGCCCGGTTGTACAGTATCTGGCTTGGGAACAGCAGGTGGCTTGTCTGAGCCAGCCCATCTGGCAAGGGTTTCTTCTCGTAGCTTCGCGATCGCAGGGTCGTACCGATCTACGGCGGGCCTCAGGTCCGTCGGCATGTGCTTGAAGAACTCGTAGATGAGAACAAGCGCAATAATCACAAACAGTATTCGGCGAGGTCGAGGCATTGCTCGGTGCTGCAGAGGTAGGAAGCGTGCTCGATCAGATGGTCGATGGTCGTCATCTTTCTTGCCCATCTCTTCATCAGCCCGAAGGGGCATCTTTACGCGGCTCATGATGTGCGCCCAGAATGATTAAGCGCAAGCTCCGTGAGCTCTGTGGTTCCCTTTATGACATCGAAGCAACCAATAGATACAGGGAACAAATGCGACCGAAGTGTTGCGTATTCATTGCAAGAGGAAGAATGGGAAGAATGCAGAGCAAACGATCTCCGCAAACAATGACGCTGGGCTCTCTTATCGCCTTATCGGATCTTCGCCTTTTCTCCAACTACGCGCAGTTCGCAATTCACTTCCCCGCCGAACACTTTCCTGACAACTGCAATTCATGATGGAAGACGATATGCATATTGATCCTATCGATCAGCGCGGCACCAAGCGCGCAGCAGAGGAATATGAGCCTCCGGAACCCCCCTAAACCAAAGAAAATCAAGGTAAGGCAACGCGTGCACATGAGTCTCGTCGTATACTATCACATAGAGCAAATACTAAGTTCCACACAGGCGTTGGATCCCGATGTCGTAAATAAAATTGCTGCTGGGGAGATTATTGTTGCCCCAATGCACGCACTGAAGGAGCTCATCGAAAACGCCGTCGATGCTGGCTCCACCTCGATTGAAGTCCTGATTAAGGAAGGGGGTTTGAAACTACTCCAAATTACCGATAATGGCCATGGTATTGACGTAAGTTATCTTCGATGTTACAGGGGCCGTCTCTGACTTTATCTAGCGAGATGACCTTCCTATCCTCTGTGAGAGATTCACTACATCTAAGCTCAAAGAGTTCGAAGATTTGACCTCCATTGGGACATACGGATTTCGCGGTGAAGCTCTCGCTAGTATCAGTCATATTGCACATCTGACAGTCACAACGAAGACTGCTGGATCCAGCTGTGCCTGGCGAGCACATTACGGAGATGGCAAGTTGATACCTGCAAAGCCAGGCCAGAATGCAGCACCCAAGGCAACGGCTGGCCGAGGAGGAACTCAAATCACCGTAAGTTAAGCAGATGAAAATACGGCATGCTCTCAAGTTAATGAGTCCCAAGGTGGAGGATCTCTTCTATAACGTCCCGACTCGTCGGAGAGCTTTCCGCTCGGCAAGCGAGGAATATGCCAAAATTCTCGATGTCGTTGGCCGATACGCCGTGCACTGCTCCGGGGTCGCTTTCTCATGCCGCAAACACGGAGACTCTGGTGTGAGCATCTCGACTCCGGTAAGCGCAAATACGGTCGACCGGATCCGCCAGATACACGGTAGTGCTGTGGCGAACGAGCTTGTTGAGTTCAAAACCGAGGATACGAAGTTCGGGTTTCGCGCTTCCGGCCTCGCTACGAACGCCAACTATCATGTCAAGAAGACAGTGATTCTACTTTTCATCAATCACCGCGCAGTGGAGTCGACTGCTGTTAAGCGTGCAGTTGAACAGACTTACTCTGCCTTTTTGCCCAAGGGCGGCCACCCTTTCGTCTATCTTGATCTCGAGATCGAGCCTAACCGTGTTGACGTCAATGTGCACCCGACAAAGCGTGAAGTGAATTTTCTAAACGAGGACGAGATTATCGAGCTTGTTTGTACTGAAATCCGATCCAAGCTGGCTGAAGTGGACTCGAGTCGCACATTCCTAACACAGAGCCTCCTACCTGGTGTGCAGACGATCGAGTCCATACAACGCGATCAAGGCGCTCCAGTCCACGAGGGTACAGCAGAGGCAATAAAAGCCGGAGCGACACCCAAGACACCAGCAACCACAAAGAGACCCTACGAAAACAACCTCATCCGAACAGATTCCAAAGTCCGCAAAATCACAGCAATGCTAGGCCCAGCCACAGCCTCACCCCGCGACCCATCGAACCCAGAAGCACCCATAGAAACCGACACGCCAACGACATCAATCCTAGACAACGGCCTGCAATACGAAACAACAGATCGTCAACCCCTAAAGATCGCCCTCACATCCGTCAAGAGTCTCCGAGCCTCCGTCCGCTCCGAAATGCACAACACACTAACAGAGATGTTTGCGTCACACACGTACGTCGGGCTAGTCGACGAGCGACGCCGACTCGCAGCCATCCAATCAGGCGTGAAGCTATACCTAATCGACTACGGACTCGCATGCCATGAATTCTTCTACCAAGTGGGCCTAACCGACTTCGGGAACTTCGGCGTAATCCGACTCGACCCAGCGCCGAAGTTGGTAGATCTACTGAAAATCGCAGCGGAATCGGAACGGCAAGAGCACGCCGACTCCAACGGGGAAGAGGCCGATTCCATCTTCGCTAATGCACCGGAGATGATAGCGCGCACGCT